CTGTCCCTTCATCGGTATTATTAGCGAAATGCTATATAAAATCACCTAATTGTTATATGTTCATACATATATATATATATAAATAGAGTACACCATTAATTATAATCATTCCAGTTAATAGAAAAACAAAGGTTTTAGGGCTAACATTTTTATGTTTTTTTTATCGATTGTTATTACACCAAAGGTGATTAGGTTATCTTGTACTCTGCCCAATTGAAGCTATTATTACACCAAGGTTAAAATCCAGCCCTGTCGATTTTTAAGCAAGGCGCACTTAACTCATAAATAATTCTTTCACAGTTTCAGTAGACATTCGTGTTTAGTTACTTATGACGAGGAATGTCGTAAGTTTAATAAAAGAGCGCTCAATATATTAAGATTTCTTATAACTCCTTATGTTAAAGGCCGAATTTAACAAAGTAAAATAACAAATGACTGATTGTTATTCTAATTAAGCTAATATAAATATAAACTTCAAATAAAATTTCGTTGTAGGTATGTGTTTAAGTCTCCTGCTTCTACAAGTATTTAGCATTTTACAGATTTTTATTACCATATTAGCGTGAAGTCAAATATTTTTCTTTAAATAATTATATAAAAAATTGATATGGTTTATCTTAATACGCCTTTTATGTGTAATTTACCTATCATTTTATGCAAAATCTGTCAGGTGGGCCACACCCGTACACATGTTAATGTACAAGGATTCGTTTCATATTAACAATTTACATTCAAATATATAATTAATTCACGTGAATGCATAATCTTGATTTTTTGTAGTATTCCAAAATACTAGTTTAGTAATATTTTTCAAGGATTTTTTCTTGAAGTATTATGATTCCAAATCTATGATTGTAACATGGCTTTATTGAAATAGTTAATAGTACTTAAAAATATTTCTGCAAGTATGTTATTGTTAACTGTAGTTTTTCTGAGTAATATTCATTTAATAAAACTTCTAAATCATTTTCCAACTTAAACGTCAAAATTAGAAAAGTCACCTCCACTGCTGCATACTACTTAACATACAGACATAAACATGTCTGTTAGTAACAAACGTATGTTACTACATACAATGTAATTTTACTGTTATACTAAAAATATTTTGTTTAACACTAAAATTACATTGTATATAGAAATAATATAAGTATAATAATTTAACAATATCCGCGTTTTAACTCGTTTAAAGTACTTTTATTTGAATTATTTTTTTATTCGCAGATATTATCTTTTTTTGTGACAACCCTAGCCCGAGCGTCTGGTCAGCTCATTATTGACACAATAAATTCTAACGCACGCATTTTTAAGCCGCGTGCGTGTGCGTCCACGCACACAGGTGCATTGAAATTTACATTCGCTTTTTTTCTTTGTGAGCGCCCGTACAATATATCTACTGGTTTTAAATCTGATTTTTAAGAAAATCGAGATAAATTTCGTTGCATAACTACTGACTAAATGTTACAAATAAATGTTTTTACCATCTACTGATTATTATTAGATATACCAATTTGTGATTATTTTCTTAATGATGTTAAGCCAGACTTAAGATCCTATTTAGGGGTTTATAATTTCGTAAATTATAAGAATTTTACATATACGTAACTACTATAACCCGCGAAACATCTGGTAGATATTTTAATGTAACGGTTTAACGGTTTAAAACGTGATATATTTAACCGTTAACGTGTTTTATTTAAATGTGTACTACTCGCGTAAACTACAGACAGTATTTTATCTGGTAGATAATCACCAAGACAGGCACAGAAATATGTCTGCCTTACGTAGAGAAACCATTATTTGAATCTTTGGTCTTATATACTATAAGACCAAAGATTCAAATAGTTTGTTTTTCACACTACGAGTCATTTTAATAACAATAAAACAATCGTTAATAACAAGTTATTCTTAAAGCTACTGAGCCATTAAATAGTCTAAGAGTTGAATATCATTAATTTTTATTCACGACCCCGTTTATATCTCATTAAGGGCTTCGCATACACTGAGATTTTACGACTTTTTTAATGAGTGGAAGTTTTATTTGTTTTGAAAATGTTTTAGATAAAAATTGATATATAAATAATTATTGCATACTTTACTTGTGTTTTTACTAAGTTTATTTCTTTTGAATAGTGTACATAAGTAAGTTGTTCTTGTTCTATACCTAAATAGATTATACACATACAGATTATACATGTTTGTATATACATACATGTATACATAATCTATTTGTGTATAGAACAAGGAGTTTTATTATGTATATGAACTTTATAATTACTTCGCTTTTTGTCGAAATTTTACTGTTAGGGTAAACTTATAGAAATAGAAAATATGAAAGTGTCTAAGTGTCTTCTAGTCCCCTGGCAGCAACGCATGACTAATCATCATGGTCACTAAGATTCATCATTGATCTTGGGTTCGATTTCCAGCAATTTAAATGCGTTTCTCCAAAAAAATCATGAAACATAGTACACTTCGGCTGGAAAACCTGGACATTATAAGTAGTAGGAATATTAAAATTAAGTCTGATTAACGAACCACCCTCCATAAACGGAATCTGTGGAGTGTCCAAGTTGTTAGAAGTGTTTACATGTGTAGAGTAATGTGGAGTATTTCTACTTCCACTTTACATATAGTTAGAGTATTTCTACTTCCACCAAGTGATTATGTTTTCGTCTGTCATAAAAAATTGAGTCAAATGTAGTACTTACTTAGTTGAGAATAATTACCAATTCAGCAGGTACTCAGGTCTTGCTTTAACTGTTCTTTAAATCTACTGTTATTAACACGATTTCAGCTTTAAGTTTATTAAGTTAATTTTCAACACTTATCTTTCGTACTAACAATCAATTAAATCTAATTATTCTGTCAACAAATAAACCACAATTAGCGCTCGTAAAGTGGATTTAATTCATTACTGCATTTCAAATAAATATTAATTTATAACCATTTGTTTTGTAGGATAAAGTTATTCGAAACAGAGCAAGTAAATTTACAATGTAAAACATATACATAGCTAGATATCTAAAAAGTTTTATCTTCTTGAAATGATATGTATATATAATCTATTAGTATCTTCGTTTTGCTGTATAAGGTTGATTTAAAAAGTGTGTGCAATAACAAAAGAAAAGTTAAGTTCATATCATCGTTCACATCGAATAACATTCCTAAATATATAAATACATAATTTGATTTTATACATACACTCGGATATACAAGTATTAATAGGTTTAAATGTGAATATTTCGAGTACTGCTATTCTTTTTGTAGAGTAGGTAAGTTCATTTGGTAACTTTTACAACATCTGTAAATGCAATAAAAAGTTTGCATGATGCGGTCCCGTTTTCCGTCACGGCTGTTAGTTACTGTTAGCTGATTCTTCCTTTTATTTCTAACAGTAAAGCTTTTGTCTTTTACAAATCAGTGTTATTCTCTTAAGAGAACAACCAAAACCACTATCTATTTTCTCGTTTCGTGGTTATATCTATATATATAAGGAACGCTTTAAAAAGGCGAAAGTGACATTCTATTAATTTTCGTGAGTTTTGAGGATACTCTTTCTATAATAATTTTACTGTCACACTTAAGTATGAAGCCTTCCTATTTTATGTAAACGATGTATTGTTATGCAGATTAAATGACATATACTTATATACTATACTATAAAAATATACAAACTACTTGACGCGGTAGTTCAATTGGTTCGAGCAACAGCACGAAAAGCTGTGGATGCTGGTTCAAGTCCCGCCTGTGTCGTAAATTTTTACATCATAAAATCGACTTTGAATTTATATAAAGCCATCATGTATGTATCAAAATATTAAGTGTTCAAAATTTAAAAATCGAACATAAATTGAAAAAATTTTCGACTCGGGCAGGACTTGAACCGGCTTCGTCAGCGTTCCTTGCTGTTGCTCGACCAATTGAGCTACCGAGTCCTACACCTCATCGTAGATTTTTTTCAACTTATTGATACATGTTCAAAATTTTATTATTATTAAAATTTTACGAATGTTTCTACAACAATGTAGTTCTGATTTTCAGTTTCGTTTATCAAATGATATTTCTTAACTACCGAGCTCAAAGCTACATAAAAACCCACCGTTTAACCTTTAAAACAATACAAGTAAAACGCACAGTAAAAAGCTGACGGGTAAAAGAGTGAGCAACACTAGAGATAGACATAGGTCCTCAGTTCAACTGGGCGGGGCTGGACCACGCCCTGCCAGTATCGATTTCTGTGGAATATTATAATTTATTCATATTTCTTCTATTTTGTCAGTCTTGCTCAACAGGATATTAAGCGCCCATCTTTAATCCATAAATTTTAACCTTTATGATTGTCTGCGGATCCCTAAGTTTTAATACGTCATTGCGTAGGTATATGTAGGGGATTTGGTTAGGTAGGTACTGATATTAAGTGTGTTTATATGAAGATATTTTATACGATATAGGAAGACAGACACACATATTCACTTGATGGCAGGTGATATCTCAGCCATATAACATCTAAATAAGATGCCCTGTCGGGCTATTTTGGTTTTTGATATTCGGAAATTCACAGACTAATCGAAACACGATTAAACTTCAAGGCTTATTCAATCTGGGGACAATGGTTCATGACCGGGACGGAATTTCGATATTCCTGTCACTCGTTTAATCAATACCAATTATAAATTGATTAGAAAAATTTTGACCTACCAATATTGGCTACTATTACACTAGCAAACTCTCTATGTTCGTTTGTCTACTCTGTTCTTTTTGCAGTAAGTTTTCCTTAGAAATGTAAATGAATAAACAGTGAACTAAACTAACTTAAGAAGTTGAAAATAGAATCTATTTAATTCACCGCTAATTAAACTGAGTAGGTACCTAGATAGATGTTGAAAAATAATAAAAAAACTGGTTTTAGAAAAAAAAAAGTTCTAATAAAACAAAAATGACTCAAAATTAGATACCTACATTTTCATTTTGAAGTCCTAAAGATCCACGTTTGTCCATAGAAAAACTCCGCCTCTCCCTGTGCGTGGGTTGTGGAGGGCAGATCCACGACCAGTACATCCTCAGGGTTGCTCCAGATCTGGAGTGGCATGCAGCGTGTCTCAAGTGTCAGGAATGCAGGCAGTTTCTGGACGAGTCGTGTACCTGCTTCGTTAGAGACGGGAAGACTTACTGTAAACGGGATTATACTAGGTGAGTGGTTATTAATTAGTTAGGAGTGATCATACTAGGCATCTTATTTAAGAAGACCTGCATCTAGTTCAGCACGTCTATGACAGTGATAATCTTATTCAGTTGGTTATTTTTTTTAAAACAAGTACAAAAAAAAATGACAAATTAATAACAATAATATTAAGATTTCTTATGAAATTTAAGACATCTCAATAGAAAAATATTTCTATAAGTATTTAGGAGCCTTAACCAATTAATTAAAGTATATTGTATAGGGGTTTTTAGGGCCTTTGTATTTTAATTTATTTATGTTTTTAACATATAATGTCGCTGCTTAGTTGTTCCCGTATTTATAAAAAATCGTATATTAAAGTAAATTCAAATTGAAACCGTTTAATTTTACTATTTCCTTCTGAAAATGCGAGTTCATGAAATCACAACACACGCAACGCAAAACACAATAAGTTAATTTATTTATATCTATGACCCGACGTGTCCGTAGGTGCGATCAATAAACTAATTTGTTAAATCCGTAATTTCGATGTATTTTACGAACAATGATTCAGTGCAAACAATGTGTTCCGGTAGACCGTATGATCTTCTATTTAGTTGCAATTAGCACTTTGTGAACGCGTCATTATTATATCTATAAAATGTATATGTATAAGCAGATATATCCAATCGGCTTAAGAAATTAATATGGATTTTCACCAAAATATTTCATAATTGTTCATGATGAATTTTATTATTTTCGTATATTTATAATTCATGTAAGACAGTGGGTCTTTTTAAATTCTCGTTGTCACGATTATTTAGTTATGTAAGTATACATTAGGTAATAGTTAATTTCAAAAGGAATACTAGAATCCTTCGCCAAACACCAACCTCGACGGAACAGATGGCGCTAGCAGTTTTTACTTTGACGTCAGAGACATCTCCCATCTTTAGTCTCCCCGTGACTACAGATGAAAGAAACGTCGTTAAAAATAATTTTCAAATAAGTTTAACTATAATGTTAAATTGTTTTATTTAAATACTAGAGTCGTAAAAAATTAAATTAAGTTTTCTTTTTCGCGGATACTTTTTTAAGGATGTCCTATCTCTTTGTCAGGTGTTAAATGACTGGTACTTTTCACCTACCAATGTAAAGTTAGATTCGTGGGAAACTATAATTCACAAAATTAACATTACTTATTTTACACGGATCTTACACGTTTGGCAGACAACTGTCAACGTGCAAAATGACTCATATAGCGGTTAAAATTATTTTCAAATCATTGACCATTTCGATTAACACCCAAACCGTTTTCTGAATAACAATTCGAGAGTCATTAACCTCTCAAACGAGATTAACTTCCACGCATAACTGACAGATAAACATAACAAGATCCCATTATAAACCCTCGGGAATATAAATTTAGATCATAGTTTACAATGAAATCGTAAAAAACATAACCGCACGTCAACATTGGCGCCAATTTTTAAACAAAGTCGCATCTTCTAAAGTAACTTTTGTTTACATTTCCACCCTTCCATCTCGCGGCTAAAATATAGAATTACACATTAGCAAACAGAGTTTAGTCTGCGCTACTTATGCATTTGAGTATAATCTCTATTGCATTATAAATAAAGACGACAATTGCTTGCGCAAGATATTAATATGGCTGTATATCGGATTGTCTTTGCTCTATGCGCCGAGAAAAACAAACTATGTCTATGTATTTTGGCGTCAAAACAAACGTCAGTTTGACAGCGCGCCGGGCGGTTGGAACCCGATATGTCTATGGTATGTTTATCCGTTATCGGAAAAGCTGTTCGATTACCTTTTGTAATGTAGATCTATTATTTGCTTTGGATTCTTAATTCAATGTTTATTTATGCGCTTAAATTCTCACGGTTATCTGTGGAATTTGTAAAATTTCCTGAGTTTACGTTACTTGTATCGAATATAACTAACGGAACTTAAAAAGCAATTAGCGTTACATTAAGTACGAAAAAGATAATCTGTGGTTATATTAAACTATGATTGATGCAGGCCACAGCTTTCGTTCAATGAATAGTCTGTTGTTTATTGTTAAGACCACAGTGTTAAATAGCATATTGCTAAACGTCACAAACAAATACGTCACAGCCGACCAGATGTATAAATAATTAAATTTTAGTAACTTAAGATTAAAATAAATTAAAAATAATACTACCGCCTTTTTTGTTCCAAACATTCAGGGTCCTTTTTCTTCGACTTATCAAAATATCCCATTCTTATAACACTATTGTTTATCTATTATATTATAGTATTTGTAATCCGGAGGAATGGAAAGGCACGTGCTCTTGGTTGTGCGTTTCAAATTCAATTTTATTTTATTTCAATTGTTAAGAATACAATTTCACGTTATTCATGTAAACATGATATATTCAAACGATTACATACTTAAATTATAACTAAATATGCTATGTATTTACGCTAACCAAACAACCATACCAAACCGAACCATAAATACTTTTTGTAGGTTTGGTTAAATATGATTCCTACCTATAGTTAAAAGTCTCGTTGACCGACACCCCGATAAAGATTCTCTTTAAATTTCTTTGAGAGTCGAGTAAATGTCAATTCCATAGACATCCTTTGGTCGGAGCGAACCCTTTCGTAAGGAAATACAGGGCAGCTATGTTTACCTCGAGCGGGCTATCGTATTTCCGTTTGTGTAAACATCGGAAACATTAGTATTTTAATAAATTGTTTTTACTAATCCGGTAGAGGAAGGACGTATCAATTAATGGTATCAATTTAATTATCCGGTTTTAATTGATATTGAAAGCAGTTTTTCAATATCAAATCTAGTTTGAGTTCAGTAAAAAGTAAATGTTAAACCGAAAAATGGTTTTATCTTTATGGGTTAAGACATTCCGACCACGGCTGCTGTAGTTAAAATAATTTGTAAAAAAGTTTAACTAATACATTTCACGTTTAAACCCGTTAAATATGTTTTCCTTAAACGTTTGGATATATTTTAAAATTTTCAGGATTTTCTTACCGTTAAACATTCGTTATTTCAAGACTTGTTTGATTAATGAATTTAAACCAGCATTCACCTGTTTAAAAACTTGCTTGGATTAAAATGTGTAGGTATATAAATAACTATTATTAAGAATTGTCTAAATTAATCTGTTTATATGTAATATTGGAACAATATAATGTCAATATAGACATCTTACATTTTATCTGACAAATAATAATAACGACCATATTTTGTAATTACGCGCGAGTGACGTACTTACGTTAAATTATAGATACCTATACAAATACAAAACATAGCACGTATCATTTATATTTATTACTAGCTGATCCGGCAAATGTTTTGTTGTTTGCACGATTAATATTATTATATTGATACGAACCCTAACAAATAATTCGTAGTAAAAACGGTTCTTGAGAGTTAATCGTAAAAGACAAACATACACTGTCCCGGACATTTAAAGAAAATTATCATTAGGTCATTTGAAGAAAAGTGATTTTTCATCGCAGTGTACCTAAAGCCTAAAGCTTTTTATTATAAATTGTATGTCCAACAGAAAACACAATTCTCGATTCGACCAAACAAACAAACCAACTCTTCAGCTTTATAATATTAGTGTGAGTGTCCAAACGACGCCACGCTATCTCCTCAAATAGTATCGATGTTGTCAAAGTTAATCAAATTCAAATTATTAATATTTACCAAGTTATCTGATAAGAATCAATGTTTTTAAAATCCGTTATCGCGTAATCTTTCGATAATGCCTTATAATTCGGCAATCCTATTTCCTTCATATCTATTTGAATCAAGGTCTAATTTCAAACCCGTGAGCTCTCAAGATGAGAATAGTAATCTTACCATAAATATTCAATTACATAGATACAATAAATGGTTGATAAATGGGTCATAGTATAAATGAGTCCGCTAAAGGCAAAGTAGCCTAACTTCAATTTTATGATTTATAAAACATATAATCTACAAAGTCTGAAAATTAGAATCTACCTACAAGAGCACAGTCACTGGAAAAACGTTAATAATAATTCTTACACAAATAATAGTACAAATTCATTTGCGCCTAAGTTAATTGCGCATTTTAATTTTTCTCCTTTTGTTATTAGGCCACTCTGCATCTAGCAGCCTCATATATCAACACTGTAACTCTGTAACAACTAAACCTCAACTTTGATAGACCATAATGATGGACTTAAACGTGCATGTACAATTCATAGCTTTAGTTTATAGATTGTTGTATATAGTCTAAAAATCTTAAATAAGCGGGTAATCGTTCTTCGCCAGGCAGTGCAAATATCCTATTTTCTATGAAAATAGATTTGTTAATGTACCCACTATGTAATTTCTGATAGTGGCTCCATTCAAAGCATTTGCATCGAAACTATGCTTTATTTCCCAAACTCGAATTCACACAGGCAGACTCCGTTGTAAATTAATTTATGTATCTTTTATTCGATAATAATATCGATCGGCAGCCATTTTGACGAATAAAAACATGTAAATTATTTGTTAACAGGACTTTTAAGAGATATTTGTTGAATTAATGTCCGAGTCGGCATTGAGAGAATTACATTTTTTTATAATTTATGCGTGTACAATTATACCGGTCGGTTTTACTTTGAGATTACAAGCGTTTTAATACGTACAATTGCACGCAACAACAACTTAAGAACAAAGTTAATAAGTTAGTATAAAGTGGTTATTTACCAGGGCAGCAGAAAAAAAAATATGTTGCACGATTGTTTTTTCTATAAAAAACATACTGTTATATGATAAAAGTACCAACCTATATTTAAAAAATGTTTTATGTGCTCTGTGGACAACGCTTTTGATGATACGACAAAAAATATACGCGTATAACAACACGTACTACACCACAACTATTTAATCTACAAAGAATTATTGTTTTGAAGACCTTTAAGTGAATAAATAATTATAATTAAATATATAATTTAACGTTAAAATATATGAAGTTTATGTAAAGTTATGCATTATGTTATAAAATGCATATTTTGAACGAATTTTAGGAATTAAACACGGAAATCTCTTCTCATTGTATAAAAGGAAATACAGATAACATAAAAGCTTAAATAAACCTCTTTTATTTAGATCTATTTTGGATCCTCTAACCCTACAAGGATGTGCCTCAATTAGCGAAATGCAACACCATACGAGCTTCTTGGGTTACCATCAGCCGGGCACATAAATAATATTTTGACACGTGCTAATGGCGCCCGCCCGCGCTGAGCCGGAAAATTGACTTTTGACCTGAATGTCATGTCCTCACGTTACAGAACAAATCTGTACTAGAAGCAAAATGTCCGCATATCCAGATCAAAATAGGTCGAGAGCGCATCTTATCTAGATGTCATATGGCTGGGGTATTTCTTCTACCATCGAGGGAATCCAATGGTTGTCTGTCCTCCTCTATATTAAAAAAAGGATATCATTGAATACTGTAGTTAAAATCATATTTCTATACCATTACCCTTCTCACTTAATTCTTTACCTACCACACACACATCTGTACATTTCAGAATATCTAAACAGTAATAGGTCGACAACCCATCTCGTTTAAATGTTTAATGGCTGGGATATTTTATCTACAACCAAGTGAAATAGAAGCTTTCACTTGGTTGTAGGTGAAATATCCCTCCTAATAATGTCCTCAGCGACTATGAAAAAAATGCAAGAAACTGGTCACCCTTTTTCTCGTCGAAATTAATATTTATATTTTAATTTAAAGAGTATGGATAGTCGTAAAACGTGTAAAACTTAAAAAGCTTACCAATTAATGCCACAATAGAACATTTGTTTTATTAACATTCGTAAATAAAAGTTAAAATTGAAAAATTTTATGTTTCTTGTCGATGTATGTATATATATATTCTATGTATTTCGACTCTGAAGGAATTCCTTCTATAATCTGTATAATCACAGCCTGTTTTATTTCCACCACAGAGTAAATGTATTTCTCCCACATGACATAGATAATAAATGTGTGTGGTCGAGCAGCTGTAATCCCTAAACAGATGTATTTGTTCTAAGTAATAAGATATCCCTTCATTCGCCGAATATAACGACATTTCTAATTATAATTTTGCACCTTTATTTTTCTTAGTTACGCATAATATTATATGAGTATGTTAAAAAGTGTACATTTAAGTAAAACACTTAACGGTTTAAAACGAAAAATATAATACTTATCTTATTTAAAATATATCACACGTCATACGTCGTCAGATCGTACTTAAAACAAATTATGATAAGTTAACTAGTATGTTTCACGTTTTAAACCGTTAAAGGTGTTTTATTCATACAATGACAGTTTATTGCGTTTGAAATTTAAAAAAAAAACTTTTTTAACCGTTCAAGCAGTACCCAGCCCTAAAATAATGGAGTCCTTTAGAAGGGGAAAATGCAAACCTGAAAATCCATAAGTACATTTTGAAAACCCCCTGGGGGTTATTGACCGGCACTCACACCCTCCAATCTCGCTAAAAGCTTTCGCTATAGGTAGGTATAACGCCGCTGTTTATGTGTCGATGTGCCCATGTAGGGTAGTTTGACTTTTTAATCGCTAATGCGTTTAGGTGATTTTGAAAAGATACTTCGAAAATCTAAATGATACCAACTTGTATGCAATTTTATTACTATATAGATTAAATGTTTTTAAGCGGTTAGGTTAGATTATGCTTTAAAATAATATTATTGTGTTACACATGTATATAAACTTAAAATCACAAACAGTAAGACTAGATGTTATAGATTATACAATGTCCAATATATTTTATTGAAGGGGGCATAACGGTCGAAAATTAAAAAAAAGAAATATGATAATGTATGTATGTATGAAAAAAAAGGATATTAAACATTTCTTATTTTCCTATTTTTTAATATTTAGCAAAAAAAACATTCAACATTTACTTGCCATATTATTTAATTACCTATCCACTAAATAAAACGTTATTCATTTCTTTTTTCCTGTACTTCAGGTTAGCGTTAGCGCTAAAGCTGCCTTTTATTTATAAGTTAGTACGTAAGATTTTTCCTCATTAATATGTATTTTCTGTGGTGGTGTTTTATACATGTTTTTATTGTCTACAGGTTATTCGGTACAAAATGCGACAAATGCGGCGCCTCCTTTAGTAAAAACGACTTCGTGATGCGCGCGAAGACGAAAATCTATCACATCGATTGTTTTCGATGTTGTGCCTGTGCTAGACAATTAATACCTGGTAAGTTAGCGCGTAATTTTATAAAGCTGAATAGTTAGTTTGTTTGAACGCACTAATCTCAGGACATACTGGTTCGAATTAGCAAATTTTGTGTTGGTTAGAGCATTTATCGAGAGAGGTTTTAGGCTATAAAACATAACGTTGCGACCAATAGCAGCGAAGAAATAGTAGAAGATATGAAAAAAGGAAAAATTGATCTTTTTTGAGGGTTTCCGTTACGCGCGAAAATTAAATGGTTTAACATACTCAAAAAAAGTGTGAAAGAATGATCTAAAAAAAAAATAGAATATATCTATTGCAAGAACGACGGGAGGCGAACGACGTCGTGGGTCACAACTATCATTTATAAATGCTTTAAAAACTACTTTTGATGCTCGCAATGCAACACCGTGAGGGCGAACATAGGTAGGTAGTTAACTATAAACCCGTAGAGATACAATTACATATCGATATTCGTTTGTTTTCAGGTGATGAATTCGCGTTAAGAGAAGGCGGAGCACTGTATTGTAGAGAAGACCACGACGTTTTAGAAAAGGTAGGTACACGCGTATGCGTCCCGCATGTTCCGCATTCCTATTTGTCTATCACAGACCACGCAGATCCATCGATATGACCAGTTAAAAACGTGTACCTGGATTCCACTAAAGCAAAGCTTAAAATGGAATGACGTACGGCAGATACCTAGTTTGGCTACGTCTTTAAACGAACGAAGTTCGTGTTTGACCAAGGTAATTATGTGTCTAGTTACGTAAACAGTGTTATCTTAAGGGGCTAGGAGGAGAACAGCTCATAGTCCAGTATCTGCTTTGCTTACCAGGGCGAACTCGCCTACTGAAAGTGTATTCTAAGGTGGCGCGATAATTATCTTGCCTAGCTCAGTATTTGCATTATTGACAGGCTTACTAGGCCCATTCAGGACGGATATTTTTGTAACACCTACGACCCTCTCCTGGAGTGCTAGGCCAGGCTAGGAATAAAAGAGGAAACATATTAATCTTTAAGGGGTTTCCGTTGCGTGCACTGCGAAAACACGTTTAGAAGGATATACTGTTCCAGACATTTTAAAAGTATTCTTTTTTAAATACTTTAAAAATGTCTGGAACAGTATATCCTTATCTTTTCAGGATCACAAAAACCGTTTTTGTGGTAATAAAATTTTAATCGAAAACTTCATACTACTAAAAGAACGTTTACCAGATCAGCTAGAATTAAATAAAGATAATTTTTTTTCAGAGTGCAAACACGAGCGGCAGCAGCGCCAACAGCAATGCTGAAAGCAACAACAACACAACACTTAGCAACAACAATTCACATCTTCCGCACGAGCTGGGATCTATGAGTGGTGAGTATTTTCCTCATAACATCAAAAACGTATATCAAGGCCCGCCTCTTTAGCGAATTGCTAGACGTGTTAGTCGCGAGCGTTCCTTGAGCACAGAAGTCTTATTAACTACTAGCCTGTCTATAAAAGTGATCAGTAAACGGGCACATAAATATGTAAGCCTCATGTTCGACGGGAGAAATCATTAAAAAATAGAATTTGCGTTTAATTTAATAACTACTTTGTTTACAACTTATATTGAATCTTAAACATATCTAGAATATTTAAATAAAACACTTTAACGGTTATAACGCGATATATTATAGTTAAACTTGTTTGAAAATTATTTTTAACTACGGCCCGACGTTCTTCCCGTGACCACGGCTGCTACAATTCAAACAAGTTTAACTAAGATATATCGCGTTGAAACCGTTAAAAGTGTTTTATTTAAATGTGTACTACTCGCGTAAAGTACAGACAATATATCTAGGATATCAGTCACCTAGATGCCTTTTTTGTACATAGATGTATAGTGTATTTATAAAAGAAAAAAAATGATGTGAAGTAAAACTTCTAGTAGTCAATAAATACTATATTCTAACTAATTCAATATAGTTTTTGTCGCTTTAATATACACATCGGTGCTAAAATCTTACATTTTACAAAAGAATTATGAATATTGACAACGACACGTAATACCGTGTTATCAGCTTATCAGCTCGGATTCTGGTTTACAATGATAATCGACGCACGATCGGGCTGTGATTGAGGGAACAGTCGGCGGCGCAAGTTGCGTTTTAACTTAATACTGAATCACTGGTTGGTGTGATGTTGGATCGAACCCCACCTTATATAATAAATTTGTATTTTTTGCTAGTACGTTTTTTTTCGTCTGGAAATCTGGCTATTAAATTTGGGTCGTATCTCAATTCCGTCCAGGTCGAACGAACCACACTATATATGACTATAGATGAAAATGCGTTTCGGATTTAAAATAGATCGATATCGGATGTTGTAAGACTGGGTTATTTCACCTTTAATTTCACTTTGCTTGTCTTTCTCCCTCTATAGTAAAAAAATAATGTGAGAACACTGAGTAACTAATTCCAATCGTGGCACCGTGGGTAACGTAATTTAATATATGTAATTCATACTTATCTACACCGGTTTGAGTGTCGAAGGTGTCATAGAGAAACTTACCCCGGGACAAAATTACGTATTTTGTCCCGGGGTAAACTATAAAAATTAGTTTCGGACTAATTTTACTTGTTCTTTATAGGAGAATAATTATAATAAATTATAGTTATCCTAATAGGAAAGTATATTTTTTACCTAACTTTGCATTTATTTATTCATTTTCATAGTTTGAAAATCTACATGAGTGCAGTGACGGAAACTTGTTAGCATAATTTTACACATATAATAGTTAAATTAATTTTGGCCTAAGTTAATTGCGCATTCCTTATTGAAAATGGTGTTTTTTTGTTATTAGGCCGCTCTGCCTCTTGCAGCCTCATATATTCCAGTGGAATATTTTCTTTTTTATATTCATTTGTTTTAGAACTTAAAAACTTTTGTTTCTAGTAAAAATATTATATTACTAATTAATAAAAAAGACATACATCCATACATGTCTAACTACACCCGACACACATTATTTACGTAATCAATCAAAGTTTGATTAATTAATATTAAAAGATCGACTTGCGCTGCCGCCTGTTCGCTATCAACCTTTGAAGTCCGCCGACAAAGCGACCGCCCTGTTTTAATTCCGCCGCGTGAAAACTCGAGTGCCGTTCATTTTTTATCTATTGCAATTAGTTTGCGACCGTCATGTTAAACGGCGGGTTAACTTATATTAGCTTGATTGACCACAATGTCTACGAGAGAAAATTCTAGATTAGATTGAAAAAGCCCTTTGCTTGTCTAGAGTTTGCTGCGATCGCTTCTTAAAATTTTTAAGAGAAAACCCAACCTTTGCGTCCAGTCAACGTCATGATTTACATTCTGTTATTTAAGCTATGTCTGTATATCTATATAGGCTTTACTTCAATAAGAGAAACATACACATACATATTTTAGATATTACACAGCCGGCGTATTTTATCAACCATGAAGTCTCTCCTCCACTATCATAAAAAATAAAAAAATATTTTTTAAGTCGGGTTCAGTCGACAGAAACATTACCTCGATAATTAAGTAGATACCGAAGACATTTTGACAGTAGTCTTATATGTTAATTTTTAATTAGTTGTCATGTTTCATCGAGTACTTCTTTACCTAAATGCAAAAAAATTACACTGCGTTAAGCGCGAGAGGTCCTGGGTTCAAATCCCAGGAAAACAATAGATTGTTTCGGTCGGACAGGGCAAAGTCTGATCAACTATTTGACTCTACATAAAACCGATAGGTGAAACGGACACAGAAATATCTTCGCCCAGGGAGAAACAGAATGTCACATGTTACATAGGCAAGTCGTTTGATACGAAAAGGGTGAATCTATCTATAAATGAGGCCAGAGTAGCCTAACTGCAATTTTATGACTGACTTATTTATATTTTTGTAGTCTATAAAGTAAAAAAAGGCCGAAAATTGTTAACATAACTCTTACTCAAAAAATAGGACAAATTCATTTTCGCCTAAGTTAATTGCGCATTTTTATTTTCCTCCTAATTGATAATAATGTTTTTTGTTATTAGGCCATTCTGGCTCTAGCAGCCTCATATTATTTTTGTTCTATTGACGATACACACATTGTTAGTCCAGACATGGTAGATGAAAGTGAATACATTAACGAGTTAATTACTAGGGTCCAGCGAGGCTAGGTGGATTATGGAAGTGTGAAGTGGGACTGCAGTTAATCCACCGACCCTCGACGGGTGACCAGTTAACGGACTTAAGCTTGATTTGTTATTTATAACTATTATATAACCAATTTAATGCTACTTTCATCTCGAAAGGCACCACGTTTCGAGTGATATTGGGTTTTTTTATTCTTACTTCACTGATATAGACAAAAGACAGTTGAACATACACAGATATTTTGTTCTATGTCTAGGTACAAAGCGTTACAGTAACTTAACGTTATGTATTGTTGTTATTTTCCTCTGTTCGGGGTTCACGTCTGTGCCATCAATATTTTCAAGATTCCCAAAAAAGACTTCTTAAATACTTCAAAGTATATCGCTGTGTATTTTTTTAAGCGATATTATTATTTTATAGATTCGGGCAGTGAATCCGGATCTCACAAGAGTGGAAGACCGCGAGGGAGCGCCGCAGCTGACGGAAAACCGACCAGAGTTAGGACTGTGCTCAACGAAAAACAGTTACATACATTGAGGTAAGTTTCCCATTTCGTACTTATTTATATATTTTAAAAACCTTTCATATTTAATCTTAATATATATTAGAAGGAATTATAAGTGAGAAACAATAGAATATTTGACATTCTACACGGCTCTAAAGCCCATAGAACTAGCTGAATGACCGGGATATTTATTTATTTATATCAAGTTGACATTTGACAGATAATGTATTGCCATGTGTTACTATTTTCCCGATTTTAAGTTAAATTTTATCGGGCTCATTTGTCTAATGGTAGCAATATATCGCTAACAATCTATGGGTCGTGGGTTCGATCGCCAACATGTTTCAAATATTTCTGAAAAATGTTGGACTTCGTCTGGAAATCTGGATATTAAATGGGTGGTCCTACTACCATATAGAAGTTCCGTCTGGGTCAAAACCCACATATAAAGAAGCCGTGAAGGTTAATCGCGTTTCGGTCTCTGTCTGTGAATCCAAAGGTAAAATAGCTCGACAGCGCATTTTGCTTAGATGATAGAATCTAAACAAGATGCGCTGGCGCCTATAGAGGCTGGGGTATATCACCTACCATCAAGTGAACCCCTTCTCTGTCCTCCTCTATGGGTAAAAGAATATCCCCTATTATCAATATGAATGATTTAATAAATAATATTCATTTGATATTAATATATTTCATTACTGGAATTAAATTATAAACAGGTAAAAGATGTCGTTACAATTTCCTTTATTCTAATTTATTTCAGAACCTGTTACGCGGCTAACCCGAGGCCAGATGCTCTCATGAAGGAACAACTAGTAGAAATGACTGGTCTCAGTCCAAGAGTTATCAGGGTCTGGTTCCAGAACAAACGTTGTAAAGACAAAAAGAAAACGATTCAGCTGAAAATGCAAATGCAACAAGAAAAGGTGAATAGATTAGTGTTTTTTCGATATTAGACGACCGAAAATCTATTAACGTGATGACTAAGTAGAAAATAAACCGTGAAAGTCTTCACGTGACAGATAGGAGATAGGCGAATCACTGAAGTATCTAACGGTTTGAATTCCGTCTGTATCATTGAATTTTTAAAGCGTCCCATAACCCGTACGTCAACGTAAATGTAAGTAGGTATGTAAAAACTATTGTTCAAGTGCTCCATGATAAAGTTCGTTTTCTCAAACCCTGACGTTATTTTTGTGTTAAGATTTTTAAACAACTTGACTTCCCATTAATACTGTCTGTAGTTTACACAAATAGTACACATTTTAATAAAACACTTAACACTTTAAAACGCGAAGCAGATTTAACATTGGCATTAGGGACACCCTCATCTTTGTTCCTCCCGTGACCACAGCTGCTGAAAGCATCCGAAACATCAAGTTTTTGTTATAATGAATTAAAAATAATATATTCGCCGTTTAAACCGTCAAAAGTATTATATTAATGTTCTCTTTAGTTTGTTTTTCAAGTATATGTTTTTTTGATGAGAGTATATTATCCAAGCAGGAAGGTCGTCGGCTGGGTTACATGTCAATGGGAGTTCCTCTGGTGGCTGGCTCTCCTGTCAGACACGAACCGGGGGCTGGTGGAGCAGGAGGACTTGCTCTAGAGGTGAATATAATGAACTTTTTTAAAATAAGCATTTATCTCAAAAATAATTCAATGAATAGTTTATAAGCTAATTGAAAATTATTAATACTCAAATTACCTTTGTAAAGTTTAACGGTTTAACGGTTGTAATTAAAGTTTTTATTAGATAGGGTAGTCATTAAACTAATTGAATCATAAATCAATAGATCGAAATGTCAAAAAGATCTCTTAAGATATAAAATGATTCACTGACATTCCTGTAACAAGTAGGTTAAAATTTCTGTTACATGAAAGGATATCATCCAATCCAATTAAGCTATAGGTATATATTATATAAATTTCCAAAGCTCAATTAATTTAAATTATTTTCAAAAGTTCTAGCAATAAATATAATTAAAGTTCGCATTTACAGGTGACTGCCTATCAGCCGCCATGGAAGGCGCTATCTGACTTCGCACTCCACGCCGACCTTGATCGAGCGCCTCACCACAGCGCTGCCTTTCAGCATTTAGTGAATCAGGTATTTAATTTTTAAACCTATAAGAAGGGTTATTGTTTTATTATAGTTTGCGTGTATGTTTCACTCCGCTTAAAAAAACGAATCATATGCGAAACGAAAAAATGAATCTTAGTTGCAATTAAAGCTAAAACGGATTTTAATCTAGGTATATTAATATTATAAACTTGAAGTTTTTATTTCTTTGAACACGCTAATCTCCGGACTGACTAGTTCAAATTGAAGAATAATTTTTGTCTTGATTGGACTATTTATAAAGGAAGGCTTCAGAAGAAACAGTAGGAAATATGGAAAAAACGGGGAAAATTACTCATCTTTGAGGGCTTACGTTGCATGTGTTGCAAAAGAAAAACCAAAAACGGTTGCAAAAGCGGTTCAAGATACCCAACGATTATGAATGAAAAGAATGATTTTTCTTTAAGTGGACTATTTGTAAAGATGAGATTTCCAAAAATAACTATTCTACGAGAAAGCTGTGAAACTTAGAGATAGTTCCTAAATAACCTATATTTACTACAATATAATTTTTTTTCAGATGCACGGTTACGATGTCCCTACCCTGCCGCCACCTAGACCCGCTCACTCAGGCGAAGACAACTACGTGACGTATCTTGAGAGCGACGATAGTCTTCCACCGTCCCCCTAGTGCCGTCTCTCGTAACCCCGAACGGGGCTGGACATTACAGTGATATAGTATGTTATTGTGGTTGATCCGTATTTCAATGTCAAATCAAGTGATTGTTTAATTACTACCTTTTGAATATAAAACAAAAATTGTTCTTGTACAAATTTTCTGAGTTAGTTTATGAATATATGAGCTGGGGTTGAGTGATCTTTTTGTACTAAAGCACAAAAATATAAGACAACTTAATATAGTATAACAATTAATTGACATACCGAAACTGGCAAATAAATACCTTTAAATATTTTAATAAAAATAAGTGATAACAGCTTGCCAGTGCTACTAGCGATTGTGATAGGTTTATTTTATTTTATTAGATATGGAGGGACTGTATTTCAAAGTTGTTTCATATTAGGAAAAGTATTTTTCCGTTATCAAACGTTTACCACTAGAATAACAAAAAAGTAATTGTAATCAACTGTAACTATACCATTATTTACCTTATTTAATTTAAGTTAATCGTAAGGCGTGTAAATAAAACATATGTATAAATGTGTAAGATATAAAACTAAGTAAACATCAAATATATTACTAAATATTACTACGAAATACAAATCAAGATACCTAATTTTAATCAAGAATTTGTGTAAATGTCATGACTCTAAGCTTAATCGTTTTAGGTTCTCTTCCTAAATGGAACACATGATTTATTATTTGTCTTAATAAAAAGAAAAATAATATCATTAAGCAGAGCCTTGTAAAAAGTGCAAGTTGCCTTAATAATACTTAATACTTGTTTAAAATCTATTATTATGTTACGGTACAAAATTTTATTCATGATTTTGTTATTTTATTACGATAACGTGCTTTTTTTGAATAACGTTATGGATAAATACTGTCTATAGTTTACGCGAGGTAGTACACATTTAAATAAAACACTTTAACGGTTTAAAACGCGATATATTAGTTAAACTTATTTGAAAATGATTTTTAACTTCGGCCCGACGTTTCGGATGCTTTGCAGCAGCCGTGGTCACGGGGGAGACTAAAGATGGAGGATGTCTCTGACGTCAAAGTAAAGAATTGCTACTAGCGCCATCTGTTCCATAATGGGATCCATATTAAAAACTTGGATCCCAATAAACAGCATACCAGCAAACGCGAAACACCGTTAGTCAATTCTGTAAGGACGGCCAGTTTCGCCAAATACCAACTTGACGAAAGATGCTAGGTAGCAATTCTTTACTTTAGTAGAGACATCCTCCATCTTTATCTGTACAGTTAAAGATCGAAACTCGCCAATTAAAAATCATTTTCAAATAATTAACTAAAATTTCAGTTTTATTAGGAAGCAAAATAACTTATAATGTACAGTTTATAACATTATTCATATTTGAAAAGTTTTGTACTATCAATAAATTCTGTAAAATAAGCTACGGGTGGTGTGCTATGCTAATCTTTCATAGAACTTACCAGATGTTTAATTTATTCTGTAGTTAAATATACACTGTATTTAGATTGTGAGCATAAAAATATAAAATAAAACATCAAATACCTTGATTTTGTTTATTTTTGTAAAAAAAACTCTTTGAAAATAAATAACCTTTTTTCTTTAACAATGTTGGCATGGTTTATTTTTAAGAAACTTAGTCAAGAACAAAGTTATTACTTGTTTATGAAACTCTTGTTTTTTTAAGTATCCCCTCTATATTAAACTCAGTATTATCAATAGCTTTCTATTAGTAGGAACATAAAAAATAAAGTGAAAAACATGAAAGGAGTGCAATATTTTATATTTGGTAACACTATAAGCCTCACTGTTATCCCACAGCTGATTGTTGACATATGACACTTGACAGTTCCTGCAAATTGTCATAATTATGTTTTTATGAGCAGTGTGTTTCTGTTTTTGTTGACCTAAGGCTTAATTCTCTCTTAGGTTATAACTTTAATTGGAAGTACATTTTAGTTTTATGATAAGTGACTCGTAAAATTGCTTCCAGAAATTCTTTAAGGGTAACAGATGATTATGTCTGCAGACCGAGGAACTTTCAAAACTTCAAGAACGTCCTTGGTAAGTTAGTGGTCCGTAATAAGGGCCTATAATTTATTATTAAAAATGGATACTAAACTTATAACTTGGGTTTGTTCTAATTAATCTAACATCACTAATTTACATCAAACGCCTAACTGATTAATATTGATTTTATACCAGTAATTATTTATAGTGGAATGTTTTGGGGGTAAAATTTTATACCAGATATATATGGGCTTGTTCCAACATTACACAGTGTTGAAACAAGCCCATATCTTTAATTCTGTTCATTAATATTTAATGAGGTAGTTAAACTTTTTTATTGGATTTTATTACTGATTTTGTAAGATTTAAAATTGCATGCCAAATTATTTAATTGTCAATGGGTAATTGATAAGGCTCAAGGATAAAATTATACTTTTTATTAATAATTAGTCTGTTATTATTAATCAATAAATTTCTTTGGTATGCATAAACAAACACACTAGATCATGTTCTACAGTTTAAGATGAGAAATTATGGCATAGTTCAAACTTGTTTGCAGAGGTCCCAGATACTATCAAACAGGCTACCTTTACTGTCTTTAATGTCCGTATTGCTACTGTACTTTGAACTTTATAATATTATCAGTTGTTTTTCAATACATATTTATTATTGTTAACTAAAGAAATTAAAGCAAACAACATTATCTCTTGTATATTTTATGTATGCTACAGCATACACATTTGTCTACAATAAAAATAACTATACTATAACATATAGTTTGTTTCAATAGACAACTGCGGGCATTGTTAAGATTAAACTTATCAGATACCATTTTGGCTAAGATTAGTTCATTGTGAGTGTTTGTGTAAAATGGACACTGAAGATAATATTGTAAGTGATCTGGTTTGAGCCACAATTTAGTTTTAATTAAAGAATATTGTTTTTATCTGTTAACTAGTTACATTGGCAAAATTATGATGTTTGTTGGGACTTCATATCAAAAAACATCATGATATCTTTTATTGATGCAAGATTTAACAAGGGCATATGCTAGGAATAAATTTCAATGCAGAAGAACAGTGTGACTCTGTCCTAATAATAGTTTTATCCTAAATGATAAAATGAGAGACTAAGTATAATAGGTCTCTGCTGGTTATATCTCGTACGTAAACAATGATTAGTTAGTAATTTTCATTAAAGATATATGAGCACCAGACTACAATAAAAATTTAACGCGACTTTTATTATATTTTTACTATAAGGGTCTGTAATCCGGTTATTCACGTTGACCGTTTTTGTGTCCGTTTCGATAATCAAACAATATTTGTTTCTCTGTAGTTCGAATCCTTACGTGTAACGAAACGCTAGGAATCCCTAGCTTACGTTAAATAATCTTTTAACCATTAATAAGACTACCTCTTAAATTTAAACTGCTTTGGTTACCAAGAGTGTCCATCATTCTAACTGTGTAAGTCTTAGCGGCTATGCGCCAAAGAGTTTAGTGTTGCAGCTTCTTCTACCCTTAATATAGAAATCTAGGACTACAAAAGGTAAACCTTGTTACAGACGGGAAAGCGAACATATGCGGGCGTCCCTTCAATAGACTACGACGAGACGAAGAACGAGAAACCATGGCAGCGGGTTAATTTCAGTACTTAGACTTGTTTATTGTGATGTTAAGCTTGGCAGGTTAAACTAGCTGGTAAAGTGCCTGTTACACTGAGTACAATTATGTATAATATACATTATAAAAATATGTAAAAAAATCAGACAACTTACCATCTAGTTTAGCTTTAAAAACTGTAGTTTTAGCTTTAGTCTTTTGCTTATTTACCCAAAGTTTAAATTTGTGAATGTAACTGAATTGCTTAACAAACGATTAACGCTTTATGGAGATGTACGCTATATTATTTTCCTACATTTGTGTGCATGGGATTTGGTGCTGTTAAATATTTTTACTAATATATTGTTTATTATGTTGGGCACTACTTGTGTTGACCTGTCGTGCTTGACTACTGAACGGATAACAAAATGATAAGAATTATTTTTACAGGACCATACACATGTTATTTCATTTTATTTATACCTTCTAGGCAATAGATATGTTGGCGAAAAAAGGCACACATTTATATGAACCCGTCAAATCAGTGAGTAATATGAAACATATTTGAATGTGTTGTCTCGAATTTTACTTCTTTATCACTACAAGAGTGACAGTGTTTATTGAAATTGTGCCTTATGTCTTGATTGTTTAGGTCTATATTGCATTACTTTTAGCGTCACAATAGTATATGTCTCTGGGTCTCCTATATGTTCGGATTTTGGGCCTGTAAGGATAGTTTTATCTTCGTTGTAGTCCTATTTGTTGGAACGTGCTTGCATCAGTTTCTACTTATACTTTACTTTGTTCCAAAACACTCGCCGATGCGAACGCGAACGCGTCTAGCGAATGTTCTAATAGAGCCATGAATAGCGGCGATTATCGACCCCAACAAAAGCATAAATGAGTATAAAGCGAATCACAAAGTCGCCCAAATTGACGCTTCCCATTCGCACCGGCGATATTCTTGGCATGTCTAAGTGGTAACAAACAACATAACTAAACTAAACCAGTAGGGTTTATTACCAATACTATATGCAACAGTCTCACTTACACTATTAGGTGAAAGTAGTACGTATCATTAAATTTTACATGGACTTAAATGTGGAAAAAAAGTATTTTTCTCTTCATTCGCGTTAAAAATAAATACACAGAAGCTTCGTATGGATTTCTTTGTGTTTAATTGTTTATATGTATAAACAATTAAACACAAAGAAATCCATACGCTTGGTCAATGTCTATACATGTGTATAGACATTGACCAAGCTTATCTTTTAACAGAATAGTCCGATATCGATAGTCGTTTTTCATTACAAAGGGAATATCTCGAAGTAATTATTATCCATGTTTTGTCTTGTAGTATTTATAGCTTATCATGCTTACGTATGAAATAAAAATTTACCAGAATCGTGTTAATCTAAAACTTTCTCTTTATAGGTACCAAGTCCCTACATTATACTAGTGTTGGGATTTTACATGCTCCTGGGTTATTGTTCTCAGCTGGTTGAAGATGCTATGCCCTCCGTCATTTCTGATAAGGATATTGCTGTTGATGTAAGTCTTCTCGAACATTCCTTTCAGTACTTCTCTATTACGTACTTTGACGGGTACACCATTGCACCTACCAACGGGTAGTGCCTTCAGTTCTCTGTCTGCTTGGGTATTTTATAGATCCATATTTATTTCTAGGATACAAGCACATTCAGTGAAGAGTCAGCGCGCAGATATTTAGACATTATACTGGGCAACGAACCGAGGGTAGCCGGCACGAAATATCATCTGCAAAAAACGATAGATCTCAAAAATTTGCTTGACGATGTAGCTGCTAGAGCAAATATACCTGTAAGGACCGATTGGCAGTTTGTTTCCGGTAAGTACGAATCTTAAGCTTGTATAATAAGCATCTAATTCCAAAGAGAACGTCGGGAGTTCGATTTTTGGATGTACACAAATATAATTTTCTCTATATAAACACAGGTGTTTTCGAGTAAACCAGGAAGATTTAATTTAATTAAGGTCCTTAATTAAAACCCTCATAGGAGCGGACAGGCTTACTTAATCGTAATTGAATAATTAAATAGTCAAAGATTTAAAAAAAAAAATTCCTAATAGGTCTATAAAGAGAAACGACATCAAGACCGAATTCGAGCAGCTACCTTATAGCAACAGCGTTGACTGTTGTAGAAACTAAAATAACATTTATAATGTCATAACTAACGCTACCAGATGACGTTAAATGAGATTTAAAAGTTGATTAAATCGTTCTCCATATTATTAATTATTTAATTCCCATTTAAAATTAATTGATAAGAGTTCTTATGTTAAAGGTATTAAGGTCGATAATGGATCTCACTGTTTTACACTTGTTTGTATTTCCGTTTGTTTCAGGAGATTACTTTTTAGAGTTCAAACTGCCCTATGTTAACTTATATCAAAATTTGTCGAACGTAGTGGCGGTGTTGGAGGGAAATAGCGGCTTCAATGCTGATGGCAGCACGCGAGAATCACTACTTGTCAATTGTCATTATGATTCCGTTCCGTTTGCGCTTGGTTAGTTGACACATTATTAATTTAAAAAAAATAATGAGGGAACTCGCATGAAATATAGATTATTACAAGAAATTTTAAGTGATTCGGCAATGGTATTTTGCTATATAAATTATTTCTATAGAATATTTTGGTAAAAAGAACTATAACTGTGACAGTTACCCATATGGCGTTGACATCTGTCAGTACCACATAACTAGGGTTGCGACGTTTTCGAACTCATTCTATCGCTGTCGATACTCGCAGCATAAATATTGTTCTCTCTAATGTTGTTATGATATTGGCATTTATGACTCTTTAATGGCAGATTTACTAACGCACAGTTTAACTACGATCCTTGATATGTTAAATCAACTTTATTATGTCTGATAGATGCCATAATCTATTCAATACTATTTTTGTTATTGTTTTAAAGGTTTTATTATAACACTAAAGACATCTGACAGATTAAACTGTCACGCTTACAATGCTACAGCGCACATATCATAACGAGTGCGACCCCTAATGATAACTCTTTACAATATTCTATTGACAGCTCCGCCGTTTTGGAGAAGTTCTTGAACAAACATTGTGATTGAAGAATGTTATATATAAAAATATATAAGGTTAAACGGTTTGCCTGTCCGTTGGTTTCGTTCGAATTATTTTTTAAATACCTATCAATAATAAATGAAAATTATGAAGACCCATAAAGATTGACCATTTAGATGAAATAAAAACTCTTTGGTCGTGAGTTAGTCCCAAGCGAGTGATTTAATTTTAACCTTATAATAAGCATACTTAATTTGTACCTGCGGTTAGGTTTTAATTGCTAATAAGGTATTCCTCCTTACAGGTGCATCAGACAATGGTATATATTGCGCAGTGATGGTAGAAACGCTGGTCCGTCTATCCAGAAGGAAAAAGAAATTTAAGCATAACATAGTGTTTTTGTTTAATGGAGCGGAAGAAAATCCTCTACAGGTAATCTACTATCGTTTAGTATCGTGTTGTGAGAAATAATTATACAGGCACTTGATGTAATCATTAGAAATTCCTCAAAATGTTTTAAAGACATAGATCCCTAAATTATAGTGAATTTAGACCTTACGGACGAGTACGTTAAAATAAAAAAGCGGTTGAGAAGGGTCCAGTATTCAACTAATTTGTAACCAATTAAGAAACCGAATGTGTCTGCCCCATGCCCTTGAATAATTCGCTATTGAAATAAAACATTTTTGACGGTTTAAAACACGAAATATATTAATTATTTACAATTAATTTCATCCTGACGTTTCGCATGCTTTGTAGCAGCCGTGGTAGTTGAAATAAATTGTAAATAAGTAAGACGCGATGCATTTTAATACGTTAATTCTTTTATTTAAATGTGTACTACTCGCCTAAACTATAGACATTACTTAATTCGCAAATCCCCAGGCTAGTCACGGGTTCCTTTCGCATCCGTGGTTCAAAGGTGTCACAAATGTCATAAATTTGGATTCAGGCGGAGTTAATGGAAAAGCACAGTTATTTCAGGTAAAACAAAGTTGTAATTATTATATATTACGTCGTTTTTTTTGCTAGATAGAAAAAATACTATCTCACGTTAATAGTCATATATTAAAATAGACACATATAAAAAAGTTGGTAATTTGCCATATTCCATCTTAATTGTTAATTAGTAGACACGCCGGGTATCTGCACAATGTAATTTCAACCTTCACTTACGTAATATTATAATAACATGTAAAGATCACATGTTTTTTTATACAAATATGTTTTAAAATAGTTGATTATTAATTCTAGGCGACAGATCCGCGTATGTTAAGCGCTTACAAATACACAAAATGGCCGACAGCGCAAGGCGCCGGCCAATTTTTATTCTCGACTGGTATTATACCGTCTGATACCGATTTTAGGATATGGCGTGATTTTGGCCACATACAGGGTAAGTTTCTACAATAGTTTTAATGACACCATTTTCCAATAAGCTATCTTTAACCTGAATTCAGAACGGTCCTCATCAAATCCTATTAGAATTAATGTTTAAAATCTGGCAAAATCTGTGATAAATAAATACTAGATATATTATTTTTGTAAATAGGCTTCAAAAAAGATGTTTTCAGTTAAAGGTATAGATTTGGCGTTCATAAAGGGAGGTCACGTGTACCACACTCGCAACGACCGCACAGAGTTTATAAAACCGGGAGTCATACAGTGCGCCGGCGACATGCTATTGAGTGTTGTTACGCATTTGGCGGACGACGAACAACTTGCTACTAGGGTATGCATTTACCCATATCTAGACACTGCTTTATTATTGAACTGTGGCAATAGTGTGTAGAATGTAATTTTTCGTACCCGTAGTGGTTACAAAACTCAAACAATAATGTCTAGATGTTCCAACCTAAGTCTTACAGAAAACCTTAGGCATATTGTCATAGTGGGTCGTCATATTACCGACCTACTTTGTGACCATTGAGCCGGTCAAGTATTAATTAAACACTATGTATAACTAAAACTAAGCCTGATATAAACTGAGGAAGATCCTATTACTAGAGCACACAACATTATCCTATCTTGTTATATTAAGTTATACTTTAAGACAAAAGTTTTTTTTATGTTTAGTAATAAGTGTAAAGTTTTTATGTGCTAGTAGTAAATAAAATTTTTCTTTCTTTCTTTCTTTCTTTTTAAATATTAGAGATTTAAAAAGGACTTTAAGTTTAATAGGACAAAAGGTGTTTAAAGTTATTTTAACTATTGCAAAGCAAGAAACAAATAAAATGCAAAGTTTAACTAAAAAATATATCGCGTTTTAAACCGTTAATTTGTTTTATTCAATGTAGTACACTCGCGTAAACTACAGACAGTACTTAAAATGTTGCTTAAATTGCTATTGACTTCAGGAACCGCCTTCTTCAATAGTCTACTTCGATTATATGAATGTGCTGCTAATATCGTACTCCAATTTGATGGCCATCTTGGTGGATATATCTGTCTGCCTGTTTGCGGGACTAACCATACTCTATTATATCTGGCTGGTTGGATTTCGTGAGTATCAAATATATAAAGATTTCGACTTCGTAGATTTTGGAACACAATGTGAGTTACACATTACCTCAGAACGTATCTTCTTGCTCCCCTGAATTTACCCCCTTTTCTTCAAGGATTATCCAGTATCCAAGAGCTGTTATGGGCGATGTGCGGTCGACTTTTGTGCGTCGCTTCTGGGCTTATTGTGGTAGTAGCGTGTGTTATTTTAATGGTTGCCACAACTACTCAAATAAGGTAAGTCAAATATGGTTTCTTCAACAGCCCGTCTCGTTTAGATATTAAATTATGAATACCATGTCTGTCTGTCTATAAAAAAAAGGGGTACAGAATTTTGTTTTTCAAATGTCAACTAAAGCTGCATCGCTACGTAACGGCGGACACTCAACTATTTTTTTTTACTTTTAGATATTTATCCCAGCCTTGGATTATTGTGGCGGTATATTGGGTTCCATATCTTATTGTTGCCTCTACCGTAGCTCAGCTGTTTGATTCTTGGAGGACTAAGAAGGTAAGGGTTAATATGTCACAATCGAGACTTGCTTTAAGACTCTAAGTAGCATTTCCAAGATGGCCGACATGGTCAATTGTCAGAAATGTTATATAGTATATTTTGCGAGGTGCATTTTATTACTTGTATTTATACTCGTAAAAAAAGAGTGTTTTGGGGAGATTGAAAAACGCAGGTTGGCTCTTCAGCTGCAAAGCATAAGACATTGAACCTCAATTCTTAAGAGTTAAGACTGAAATTACTTTGTGTGTGATCAACGTTGTATCGCTGTGAATGCCGATCTAAGCATCGAATTTCGCCCGTTTCATTTTTTTTTAATCTTAATATTTTTTTATTTCGATCAGTGATTATTTCTTTCAGACCGGTTTAAACCGAAGCATACGCGCCGCGCAGGCCGCTACCGCGACTAGGCTACTGGTGTTAGTAGCATTAGTAGCGCTACTGTCTATCCCGGGCACGGGCAATGTTCGTTATGTGTTGACGCTTCCTCTCGTCTTCATGAGCCTTTCCGCCCTCATCACTCTCAGCGCGTTGAGATATACGAGGCTTGCAGGTGCGTTTACGGCGAAGCGTGTGCATTCGCATTGTTTAGACGCATTTCTTTTTTCTCATTTAGAATATTACTATTTTTTATGATAGAGAATGATAGACACAAGCATGGAATTCACTCGATGGAAGGTGAATCCCAAGAATAGTAGCTATATTAATACGCAAGGGTTAAGGGTGAAATTACAATGCGCGAGAGGTTCATGTATCAATAAGTTGAAAAAATTCGACGATGAGGTGTAGGACTCGGTAGCTCAATTGGTAGAGCGCAACAGCACGGAACGCTGACGATGCCGGTTCAAGTCCTGCCCGAGTCGAAAATTATTTTCAATTTATTTTCGAATTTTAAATTATATAGTCCTTAGATTATCTAGGTATTTGAACCCAGGACAGTTCGCCTATTTCTTTAATGATAAATACCCCAGCCATATAACATATCTAAACAAGATCTGCTGTCGACCTATTTTAATTGCTTTTTGTACATATAACCGACATTTAAAACTGCGGCTTATTCATATGTTGTGTAATTATTTCCAGAATATATATGTATTATAAAATTAAATTGAAAATAAAATAATTGAACATCATGTTTTTTTAGGTTGGCAACACCTGTCGATAGAAATGTTACTATCAGTGCCAAGTGTGATGTTCCTATATTCGCTAGCTTTGCGCATTACATCGTTCCTGGTGCCTATAATGGGCCGGTTCCCTAACGGCCAACCGGACTATCTTATCGCGGCTATCAGCTGTTTGTTCTGTGTATTGAGTGTGATTCCTGTGGTAAGTAACTTTTTGCTTTTTACATTTGGAAACCCATATAGAAACGAATTGTGACCAAACATTTATATTACATTGTATTATGTCCAAAATATCCAGAGCTTGGGTAGATCTATTGTTTTTTAAACTATTAGCAAAATCTCGTGGGTCTCGTGGAAATCGAACCTAAGTCTGGTTTATTATTTGCAATATATTGCTTTATGTAAAGATATAAGTTGTATTAAAATTAATTATTATATATTATATAGTTTTTTATTTTACCTATTATTTATATATTTAGGTCTTATTTCCTTCAACATTATTTAGTTCCAAATATGTTTTACAGTCGGGCATCGAACTGTTGTTCTCTCGCAAGCGCTGGTGGATTATGTCTGGCGGCCTATCAATTGTGTGCGTTATCCTCATGTTTATACCCTTCAGCCCGTACCAAGATGATGGTGTTGCTGTGCAGCGCCATACTTGGTTTGTAAGTATAATTAACCATGAAACGGATTCAAACGGGATATAGTAACGTTGGTAACGATTTTACGAGTATTGAAGACTTATGACCCGACGTGCTATTCGATATTAATGATGGTATTTAAGAATATCTCAGTAATTTAATACTAAAGTCTGCTGTATGCAAATGCTGTATTTAATTGCGAAATATAGAAGTTGACTTATTTATAATTTATTTAAACTATTTAAGTAGAAAAAGAAAGAATTCCCAATGGCATGGTTAGGTTATATACTTTTGAGTACTTCAGTTGTACAAAATTACTAAGACGTTGTACCTACAAGGTACAAGTTTGAATTTTTTTTATAAAGAAAGTGTTCTGTCCCTAACTAAACACAATATTCAAATTAAGTAACTTTTAATTAAATACCGTTTGTAGTGAACCCGAGTAGTTCACATTTAAATAAGTTTACCATATTTCGCATTTTGCAGCATACAGAAATAGTTTCGTACAATCGCAACGGCACTGCTATAGAACGAACCTCGGGCGTTCTCATAACCAAATGGGACGCAAACAACATCCAATCAGCGAAGACAGCACTGAAAAACAGCGGACTGAACACGAAGCTGTCCCTCTCAGCGGACTGCGAGAGAGATCCGTTCTGCAATTTGCCACTTCTAAGACCGAGGTTGGGAGAGTATTTGTGAGTAGCTTATCCGCTATTTGTACCTAACAATGCTTAGCTCAAAATCCTAAGTGTAGTAATACTTGCAAAACTAACATATCCACGTTTTATGTAAATAACTTAAGTTATTCATAATGAGTCATTAAATACAACAATATATTAATTATTAATCTATAAGATTAGATTGAATAAAGTTGACGACACAGGCGGGACTTGAACTGGCATATACAGCGCTTCGCACTGCTGCTCTAACCAATTGAGCTACCGTATACGACACCTTATAGTCGAGTCAATATTATATAAGTTTGTATTTTATATAGTGCCATCGTGTGCAAAGATATTAAAGTTTCCAAATATATTACCAAGTTGATAATTAGTAAACACGATGTTTTTAAAGATTTGTATTGTAACTGTATTTCCTTCTGTTGATCGTTACCATTTTAGAGCCTAGTGTAGATGGAGTTTTACTATTATCCATGTCTTGACGTTGTACACACAGGTTGTATTTTTAAAACACACTCTTTAGATTATTAAAAGTTATATTTCAAACCATAAAGTACACTGCCACTGTCACTGATATCAAGTCTCTAGAAACGAAGGCTTTTAGCGCCCTTTATGACAAATCTTATATTGTGTTTCAATGTTTCTCATTGTTTCAGGAAGGACTCTCTATTCCTTTTTATGGACCCACCGCATCCATTCCCGCACTCCTTGCAAATGACGAACAAGAGCTGTGTTACTGACATCTGCATTCTCAACTTTGTCATGATAGGTGAATTGAATTACTTTTAAGTCTCTTGAACACTATGACGGTACTTTTTACCCGTTAATAGGATCGGCTATTAAATAATATTAACAGGGTAAGGATGATAGTGGAATGTCCACACAAAGGGGAACTTTCTTATCAAAACATAATTTTAGAAAGACAGTCATTTTATGGAACTATACCAATGAAATTACCAATATGACATAAAAGTTTATCATGTAACTAATTCTTCCTTTACAGGACCACCACACAACACTTTAGTATTCGTTCCTCAACCCAACGCAACTCTCTATAATTGGTCGTTTTCATCTCCACTCAACGAGTCGAAGAAACACAGAGGCCGACCTGTTTTTATTGTCACTCAGTCGACAGCCACTTACAGTGATTCCCCGGAGCCTTTGGAGTTTAGCTTGACTTTTATTGTGAGTATTCTTTTAATGATAGTGGAGGACAGATAAGGATGGGGGCTGTTTCACCTACTTAATAGAAGGTGAAACAGCCCATACGACTTCTAAATAAGAATCGCTGTTGATATATTTTGTCTTTGGATATTCCGAAATCCAAAATGGCGCCGAATAGCGATAAAATTGATAGCGTTTTCATCCGAGAACGTGTGGTTCGTGACCCGGATGGTAGTACGATATTCCTACCACCCAGATACTATCTAGATTTTCAGACGAAGTACAACATAATCGAAAATAAATTGAAAAAATGAATCGGGCAGGACTTGAACCGGCATCGTTAGCGTTCCCTGCTGTTGCTCTACCAATTGAGCTACCGAGTCCTACACCTCATCGTCGAATTTTTCCACTTCTATATGCACCTCTCGAGCTATTATTATAATATATATCAGGCGAATTACAAAGTGCCTTCATGTGCAAGGACGTGTAAAAAATAATAAAATTTTCGAAGTCCAACATGTTTCATGTCTTTTTCAGGTACCCGCAGTTTTACAATCTCAGTCGATTGTGTCCATCAGCCACGCTGCACACAAAATCCAACATCCAGAAGATCAAACGCAGGCTTTTACCAGACTAATCGAATCTGCGCCGAAATACTTCAATATCGCGCCTACCATTTGTTTCAAGAGCAATTACGAATTTTAGTATGTTTTAGGGACGGTTTATAGCTGATATAGCCGACTCAGAATAGAACCAATCTACCGAGTTGAAACGTGGTTTATTATTTCGCGTTTTATTCAAGTAAATTTGTTTCATTTCAATGCGTTATATGGAGAAATGTTAAAGATGTAACTTAGACTATACCTTTATGATAGTTAAGTATATTTCATGATATTTTTCATTTCTAATTGACCTTAAACCTAAGTTATTGCAGCTTTATTCAATAAACAAAGAACTTATATGCTCAAGTGATGCCTGTGAACAAATAACAATTTTTAATATACCAAAAACCTAGATGTAAAACTAGACGTAACATTCCCTAATAAAGTCTAAGACAAAAGAAGAAGTAGATATTTTTTACATCTTCTAGTCTAGAGATAGCTATATTTTTATACGTAGAATAAGAAATTAGTATATTTTGTATTAAAAACATTGAAATTGTTATCGAGTGTCATTTATATTTAAAATGGTTTATTAAAAAAACAAAAAAATAATTTAAAAGTAGTTTATTAAATCAGTCTCCATAAATCACAAGTACGGTCGAATTTATTAACTAAGCTCAAATAGAAAGTTGCAAAATTAGACCGTATTAAACTTATAATATACAAGGTCAATAACAAATAGCGAGAGAATAATGTATAAATTTTATTTATCCACAGTATAAATAAACAATACAAAGTTAACAATAAAATAAAAATGCAATATTCTTCATAGCTTCGTCGTTTAATTTGAGATCTTAAAACAATAAATAAACAGATGTATCGTACATATTATTTATTAGCACGAAGAAGCACAAGTGAAAACGCAAACTACCCTACCTAGGTTTGAAACAAATTTAACTTACGTCCACAAAATTAGACCTTTGCTCAACAAGATAGACTGAGCATTCGTAACGCATTGTATTGTAGGCAAGTGTTTCCTGTTACAGATTTAAAAAAGAATAATCAGAATAAAGTTCCTTAATCAGTCTAAAAAGGGGATTAATTAGTACAAATATACCAAATCTTCATAATAGAATTATTGTAAAAGAGAAAAATGATAGTAAAACTCAATCAGAATACACATAATTGCAAAAGCCAGTCTCAAATAGATTAAAATAGGAATTCAAATATATTTCTTATTTACACAAAAGAAATGTCTCGAGAAGCGTCCATAAAATTATATATGTTTTTTGTAACACAATGTTTTGTCCATAGAAACAAATGGAAAAGTTTAATGTTCACAATATTCGAAGCTAACTAAATATAAATTTAGAAAAACAGAAAATTTAACAATTAGTTTCAGAGTCAATCTTTAACATAGTTCTTTGGAAAATATACACATGTTTGCTTAAACTCAAAATAATAGTCGTTACAAATATTGTGACAAAGATATCTTATCCATTACAATCGCTTAGGTAGCATTATATAATTAGTTGGTGCCTAACTTTCAGCCTATGTTAGGAAAAGGGATAATTGATACAATTTTTTTTATTCTTCTGGGCTCTCATCTCATAATTAAAGTGTTTTGTGACATGCAAAATGTTATTTACTCTCAGTCCTTTAAGGAAACCAGTAGATGGCTTATGAGAAAAGTTCAATACAAAATGGTATAACCTAGTGTAAATAGCAGATTCTGGATTCGCGTAAATTGTAACTTTTCTTAAATATACATAGTAAGCTAAAAAGAAAAATATGTCTGTAACTTTTATAAATTGAAAAGCTATTTTAGACGCCTTTCAACGATGAACACGGCCTTGTTCGTGGGTTCGTAATCCACTAAAATATCTTTTCAATGTCTAAGCTCTGATGTATACAATAACATTGTAAAATAATAAATATTACTTCTGAAAAAAAAAAAGTTGTACAATTTCATGGAAGCCGTAACATTGATTAGAAGCAAACATACAAATTTTAAATGATATATTCCATTAATTGCTAGACTTACATTTTTATTACTTAACTCATACATTGCTAGATTGCAAACATTAAGAGCTATATAAATACATAGATAGATATATATTTTAAGATCCTTTTATAAAGTGTTTCACGTTTGATTTATAACACTGAAGTGTAACTAAGCTAATTCCAAATAAAAACTACAATAATTAGCAAATTTCAGAAACTCGTGAAGAAAATTTCACTACAAATACCAAATCGAACTTTGTGTAACAATAAATAACAAAAACACAGTTAAATTACGTAAAAATTGACAGAAGTTTGTAAAGAGAAAACATTCGCTGTTTTTCTTTAATCAATCATTAAACATATTAATTAAGATATTGTTTGTTGAGCTCACGTGACAAAACACATATATGGATACAGTCCAATTACTATAATAGTGTGAACAAAACTAGAATGTTACAAACTTGCAATATCAAATATTGTAGTACTAAAATGTTATAGTTGATTGTGTATCTGCCAATATCAAATACTGTCTATAGTTTACGCGAGTAGTACACATTTAAATAAAACACTTTAACGGTTTAAAACGCGATATATTAGTTAAACTTATTTGAAAATGATTTTTAAGGGGGAGACACCCCGTGACCACGGCTGCTGCAAAGCATCCGAAACGTCGGGCCGAAGTTAAAAATCATTTTCAAATAAGTTTAACTAATATATCGCGTTTTAAACCGTTAAAGTGTTTTATTTAAATGCCAATATCAAGTTCAGTACAAAATATGCACTTGACCGATTTTTAATGTGTAATTATTATACTAAACAAAAACAATGCTACAATGTGTATCATAGATTGTTAAAAATAGATTTACATTCGCTGATAATTTTTTTAACAGTCGCGACTTATCGTGTACCAAAAAACAATTATATCATGACGTGTTTAACGGTTTACAACACAAAATATTTTAGTTAAACTTACGATTTATCGTAACTACAACCCGACGATTTTGGATTTATTGCAGACGTGCTCCTGGGAGTAAAGCGAATATAAGTTTTACTAATATAATTCACGTTTTAAACCGTTTTATTTAAATGTGCACTATAATAAGTATGTACAATTTTCTTGCTTTCAAGCAAAGTTATCTTGAAGTCTACGTAAAGTAAATAAAACGTTTACTACCTTCTACAGTACACTCTTGTAGCTTAGTGTAAATAATTTTACAGTAAATAGTTCAATCGTAAGGGCCTACCAGCATGACTGTACTATCAAAGAAATAAAATGAATCCTTTATGACTCAAAATACTAACGTACATATTAAGAAACAGGCAACGTCTTCTGGGATATAGTATCAAACCGACCTATAGTCTAATTACTCGAATTTGTGCACAAAACATTTCGTCGTGCACAGCATACTTATAAGGTAAGCATTTATTGCAAAGTAACAGTAAGCCGGCTAGCAGCAACCATCTTGTTATTGAATTTCTTCTTGAAACTCTCCGCTGCGATTGTCGTTTTGAATGTAATTTTTGCGGTTCGCGCCTCCTTATCCAATATTAAGCTCTGCAACATGAACCCCGAGTTGTCTTCACTCGCTCGTTAACGATACACTTATTACTAACCTTACGTATGAACAAAATACACATATAAACATTTATATCACAGATATGCTTAGTTGAAACACATTTTCATCCTCAATGCCTTAAGTATATCACAGTACAAAAGCAAAAATTGTATTATTCAATAAATACGAAGATACAATTTATCTTATTGCGACTAATATATCACAGGAAACAGGTACAAACATCACTTACATACTAAAGAATTAAGAACACAAAATGTTTTCTTAACAAGTATTTATAAAAATACAATAGTATTTCGTAATCTAATTTTCTCAATTTAAAACGGTTTAAATAAAACCTTGAAATCGAAAACAAATTTAAATACCTCTAATATGTATAATATGCTTAGGGTGTATATAAAAAAAAATAACAAAATTCGTGTCGATTTTGACAATTACTCAAAATGTTAATATTTGCTACAAAATGTTATTTGTTTAATATGAATAAAACGTGCACATAATACGTATACAAAACAGTCTTCGCTTTTATTATAAATATATAATTTTCCTAATAAATATAAAACATTGAATATAATAGCCGGCAAACTTCTTGAACAAAAAGTGGCGTAGCAATTAGTAGTGTACATTTTAAAACAAAATAATTTAAATATGTTAAGTATTTCTTTTTAGTAGAAATGTTAAAGAAAATGCAAAATGTATTATTTCAGATATTATGTAAGATTTCTATTATATTTTAATAAAAATGATACGCCTATCATACCAAAATCAGTACAAGCTGAACTGGAATTTGCAGTTGATCAGCAAATCGTTAACATTCGTTTTTGATACAACAGCGAAATTAAAATAGTAACGAATCAGGCAAATGAAAGTGCACGCGAGTGTATATCGCTGGATATCCCCCCGGGTCCCGCTTATTCCACCAAAGAGACCCACAAACTACTGTTCAAGATGTTTGCCGGATATTACAAAACATTTTATCTGACAGTATAAAGAGGTAGGCAATTTCACCGTTTTGTAAAGCTTCAAAAAGGGAGGTTCTTACTTCGATTCGTATATATGTTACTTGTTAAGAACCATATACTAGATATTTTTATATTAACTCTTGCTATATAATAAAGATATACGTTGAGCTTCAAATTAATTAAATAATTACTAAGAGTGAACGATTTAAAACCACCTAAAATGCTAATATTACCTGCACCAAGTTTCCGGCTAGCGTCTTCAGCCTTGTGTCGGTCATTCCGTGGGGTAAATTACTCACGTCCGCCATCAAACCCACTTCCCTCGAGACGTTCTCATCTTCTGAGCCGCTCTCGTACTCAATTTGCGGTTCGTCATCGTTCTTTACGATTTTCCTGGAGCCATCGTCACATTTCACTATTTTTCTTGGGACCTCTCGAATATCTTTGCTCCGTTTGCTTTCCATTTCGGAGCCTATGGCGGTTTTAAACGCCCGGTTGAAAATCCCGGGGTTTGGTTTGGTGGGGTCGGTCGCTTCCATCCGGGAAAATACCGATTTTTCCTTTTCAGCCACTTTCCTTTGGAGTATGACGCGACGGCTGATGAATCTTTGGGAAGTATCCTCCTCGGTTTTTTCTGCCTGAAATTATAAAAAAAATATATATTAAAAATATACTTAAACGATTTTTTTTGACATTGCAAGTAGCAAACATACCTTTTTAGAATCGAAAATGATCCGCTGTCTCGATTTTACAGGTGAACTATCCGTCTGGGGTTTTATCTGTGGAAAATAATTGTTATAAAATTTAAGGATAATACGTAAGTATATTTAGAAGGTCTACGACATGAAAGTTACGTACCTTTTCAGGCTTTCTTTCCACGCTTTCAACAGGTTTTGTTGAACTTGTCACTATAGTACGGCGTATTGGAGATTTTTCTACAAACAACAAATGTTTTTGTGAATTTTACTTGCTTAAGCGATCAAAACTCTAGAATATTTTGAACTGTTCTAAACTTAAAACATGTTAGTATAGTTTAACTTCAAATCTTCGCTTTATATATTTGTATTTTCTTCTTTAAGTTATTATGTCATGTACTAAGAAAAACATAAACAATGTACAAAATTATCAATATACCTTTCTTTTTGTTTTCCGTGGCAGAAAATGTGATTTTCTGCCGTGTAGTGGCAGTGTTAGGTGGCTTTTTGTCAATTGTCTTCGGTGGTAACTTGCTGCGGAGATCTACTGAAGGTTTAGAGGACTCCACCCTAAAAATATTAAGAAGAACAGTTAAAATAAACATATTTATCTCACCATTTTATTGTTATTAATACTTTTGCGTTAACCGTAATGTTTAGTTGTCCTTTATTCGTTCATCATTTGTTTTATGTCGTAGCTCCTGAAGAAAAGTGTTTCGTAAATTTAAATTCTTTGGCTTAGTGTCTTTGCTTCCTTTGCTTTTATTTTTAAGTACATATAAATAATCCTACTTTCTAATTACAAAATAAAACAAGAATGAATTATTTGAAAGAAAGACAGATTGACTATTCAATCAGGCAGAGTCAGCCATTAGATAAGTTTGTAGCCACAAACAAACTCCGTCAAAATGAGGTGCGCACGCGCTTATAGACTTCTCACCACTACTTCTTATCGCCTTGGTGACGTCATCTCTGTATTCGTTTAACAATTTAATTATTTTTAATTAAGAGGTCGTTTGCAGCCTTAACTACTCACTTCACCGTCTTCTCCTTGTCTTTGAAGCGACCGGAATCGTCTTCGTCAGATAGAATACCATCTATATCTCCTAATATGAGATCTAGGTCATCGTCGCTTTCGTTCCGGGGCGGCAGAGGGGGGGTGTCGCTGCGCTCTGGCGTAAGAGTAGTCGGTTGTGTTTCGCGAGGGGGTGTCAATGCTTCTGAAACAAAAGGTCAAAAGGTTTATTATCCAGCTGGATAATGAGGAAAATTAAATTAAACATAAGTCAGAGAGATTAAATATGAGGAAGTAATCCCTCTAAATGGCACTACCCTAATTACCCTTTAGAATAACACAACTAATCTATCTTTTTATCTGTTATCTTCTTTGATGGTAGTCTATTTGTTGATAGGTGGAATACCCCATGTAACATCTAAACAAGCTTTGCTGTCAAGCTTTTTTGCCTTAAGAGTTTCGATTTAAATTAGGTATTTTTTTTACGTACACAACAAAGAAATTGTTACAAAGGTAGACCACATGGTGGTGGTAATACCAAATTATATACCTTCTGTATACTTTCAATAAGTACATAACTACTGCGGTAGATGCCAAATTTTTATGATACATATTCTCACACGATAACACACACTCACACCACCATCAGACATATATCTCAGTCACTTACCACAAGTAGAGTTAACTTCCACTTCATCTCTCAACGGCGACGCATCCTCTTTCTTACTATCTCTTTCCGGTTCTTCTCTCACCATCTCCTCTTCCCGCTCAGGAGATGTTTTCGTGGTGTCTGGTTTAATCTCTTCTTCGCGTGTGCTAGTTGGTTTCTCTTTGATATCCACCTTCATTTCTTCTTTTGGTTTATCACGTTCTCTGTTTGGTGATACATTTCAAAAAATTTAATTCGCTTAAATAAGTAATTTAAAGAAAGGGTAAAAGGAATCGTATGGTGCTTTCATTAAAATTAAAAATAGAGGTCGATTTGTTAGTGCAAAAGCACGGAACGCTGTGGATGCAGCTTCAAGTCTTGCTCGTGTCATAAATTTTTTAATTATAAATATAATACTCCCAGGTGTCGATCGAAATAAATGTCATTATAAAAAAAACTGACCTTTCTTGTAATTGCTTCTGAAGTGCAACCGCGTTCTTTCGCCTTCTTACTTCTTTTGCTCTTAACACTCGTTCTCTCATTGTTTCTTGTTCACGAACTTTACGTCTGTATTCCATTTCCTAAGGAAAAACACATTAGTAGTTAGTTTAGTCCTTAAAAGCTACTAAGTAACCCAGCCAGTATTAAATAACATACCCTTAAATAAAACACTTTAACGGTTTAAAACGCGATATATTAGTTAATTATTGGAATTATTAAAAATTGGATATTGCTTATTTGGAAATGATTTTTAACTTCGGCCCGACGTTTCGGATGCTTTGCAGCAGCCGTGGTCACGGGGAGGCTAAAGATGGAGGATGTCTCTGACGTCAAAGTAAAAAATTGCTACGCTAGCGCCATCTGTTCCGTCGAAGTTGGTATTTGGCGAAACTGGCCGGGTCGGTTAGTAAATTCTGCAAGGACTCGCGTAAACTATAGACAGTATTTAGTATACCTTTAGTTATTTAGACCGCGAAACATATAAGTTTAAGTACTGTGTGTAGTTCACGCGAATATTACAAATTTAAATAAAACAATTTTAACGGTTTAAAACGTAAAATGTATTTCACAGTTAAGCTTATTTACAATTTATTTGAACTACCGCAAGACAATTTGTAAGCTGTAAATAAGTTTAATTAATATATTTCGAATTTAAAACAGTTAAAAGTGTTTCATTAATACAGAAGTTTATATATTTACGGCTACAACAAAGTTTTGAATCAAACCAAAGTATGTGCTATATTTTATGGAAACAGCAGAATACATTTTTAATGTATTAAGGTTTCAGCCTAAACTGTATAATTTACCTATGTGTATAAAATAGTGGACGACTATTTGCAAATATTGCTGGGATTCAAACTTACTTCGTCATCGGGAGGTGGCCTGGGTCTTCGTTCATCTCGTCTGTCTCTATCGCGAATGTCTCTTGGGTCTCTGTTGTCTCGAAGGTCTCTTGCATCACGTGGTGGTGGAGTTGGTGAACGCGAACGGCGAGGTGGCGATGGTGTGCGCATACTATAAGAGTTCGATAATAATAACTCGTCCAATCAGACCCAAAGTATAGACCCAAATAAAACGGGGGTGAACCCGGGACCACGACTGTTAGTATAAATTGTAAGTTAACTAATAGACCACCTCTGTTGCTAAGTGGTTTATCGTGTTGCCTAACAGTGAATTCAGCGAGGAGTCTTGGGTTCGACTCCCGGAGACTGTTTAGTTGGGGCAGGGCACAAAAATGTGTTCGCCGATTTTCTGGGGGGTTTCGTCGGGGTTAGACCTCACGAGGGAAAACGGGTTCTCACTCATTAGTTTCGCATTTTAAACCGTTAAAAGTAATTCTCGTTATGATAATAATAAATAATAGCCAGTTAAAGCACTGTCAAGTGTAAAATTCGTCTTTTCTGTCTTTTGTTTTTGTTTTCTTTCTTTGACACTTCTGTTAAAATTGTTACTCACCGTCTCCTAAGACCAGCTCTATTCGCGTGTATAAACTCCTCTTGCTTTCGCAGCAGTTCATCGTCGCTGCGCCTCGAGCGGGCAAACTCATTCTCTATCTCTATTGTTGTGTTTTCTATAAATCTGTGAAAGAGAAGACAATAAAAGTCTATTTTTATATTCATAAGAGACTACGCACAGTATTACATCAAATACATACACGTGCAATTTAAATTAAATTTTGGTCATGACGTGATTCTGACGGGCCCGTCGGTGGGTTTGATGCCCACTGCATCCAACGTGTTTCTAACTAATTTACAATTTCTCTGTATATTAAATGGGTAGTAGGAATATCGAAATTCTGTCTGGGTCACGAACCGTCTAAAGATGAAAGAAAAAGCCGTCAAGTTATGAAAAACCGCGTATCTTCGAATTCGCGTAAAACGGGGTAGCGTAAGTCGGAGTATTACTGTATGTACAAACGTTCTACTTAAGTATTTATGTATATTTGTAGTATACTAGTAGGTTATGATGTGTTTATTTTATACTTACCGCTGTGGAGAACGTCTGGCTATGTTCCTGCTAGCCGCCCGCGCAAGCGCACTTCTTTGTTCAGCTATAAACCTTTCTGCAGCATCGTCTATGTCCTTTATGGGCCCTGTTTGGGATAATAAAATAATATGACACGGTAGTTCATTTCATTTGGTTAGGGCAATAGTACGATACGTAGATACCTGTATCTACAGCGTATCGTGTAAAGGCCTGCCCGTGTCGTAAGTTTTTTTCAATCTAGAATCGGCTTTTAATTTCAATACTGTTAATTAATTATCGATTTTACTGCTATTTCGCTATTCTTGTGAAAAAAAAAATGAGTTCAAATTCTATACAGTAATAGTCACCAAACATTTAAAAGTTATATGTCTATATTATTTTAAGACAGTTATGTGATAGTAAGTTAGCTGGGGTTGAAGTCTTTACCTATCTTTCTATCTATACCTTAAGTTAACTATTTACCAAAAACACTTAAGTTAAAATGAGGTAACGATTCAGTTTGAGTTCGATATATTAAATACGATAACTTACATAGTACCCATTTTCAATTATAACCGCTTTCAAATTATACTTATGTAACAGCTATTAATTATACTTTTAACCTCAAAAAGTTTATAATCATACACAACCACACAAAGCATTAAAAATTAAAATTGCAAGTAACATGCAAAATAACTAAAGGAAAATACCAATTAACTACCAAATAGATAGAGTTAAAATACTAATCTTTATTTATTTACAATACAGTGTAAATTCTATGTACCTGACCACCTCGATGCTCAGGATAAATGACGAAAAATTCTATCACTTTACGTTTATTCTTTAAGCATTGACAGTTAAAGGTCTGAACATGTATACCTATATTATTTCGGTAGATTTTTTTTCTAATAATTTAGCTAGATTTTAATATATTAAATATATCATTGTATTAAAACCAAAATTGACCAACCTAAGCCAAGTTATTTAAACATTTCAAGGTTTTTTTTAACAAATCAAGATAGAATTTACACTGTATACATTATTTCCTACACAGGATACACATATAGGTAAATGTTTTCGTTGAGTTGAATTACCGAATTTGTGTTCCAGTGTGGGGCTGAGTGGTGGTGGCGACTTTTGTATGCGCGTAGGTATATATGCTGGCAACCCTATGCACAGTATATACGCTTTAGTTTTGTTTCAGCAACTTTGTTAATAATTAGAATGGGTTGTTTCAACGTATTCATTCCCGTGAATTGTACATAACAAACGGTTCGTTATATTATAAATTAATCGACGTAAATAAGTAGTCTTAAAATAGCTTAAGCTTGCCTTTTGAATAAAATTTTATTATTTTCTATCGGTAAAACCCAAATATAAGGCCACACTATTTGTTAACCATTTTCCTATTTCATAAAGAAGTACCTTAATAACTTGATTACTATAATAATTAAAGACTGAGAACAAAACTTACCTTCCACAGGGGGCTGGAAGTTTCCTTTAAAATGCGGATTAATCAGCACTTTCTTGCCCGTTAACCCTCCCGGCAAATTTGGAGGCAAAACTGGCAACATTCTCACTTCAGGCTCTAGTCCTTTAGCAACTGGCAATACAGGTGGCGGCTGATGTATAGTCACTTGGGGAACATTGTTATGGGGTATTACTTCTCTGTGCCCAAACGGACGGAACATAGGCCGCTCAAAAGGTTGATTCGGTATGAAACTAGGTCTTTCATCTAAGTTAGGTCGAAATGGGAATCTCTGAAAGTTTTGGAACAGTTCCCGAGGTTCGGGGATAATGGATTGTTCTGGGGAACGTTGGAGCATATCCGGGCGGTGTTCCGGGATATCAGGGCGATTTTGGGGAGGGCTCGCCCGTTGTGGTGGCGGGAATGACGGGCGCGGGTTAAAGTTGCCCTGAAAAATAAACTTTATTAGTATCGTTGCAGTCATATTAACTCAATTTTATTTTAACAATGTTCAATTCTTAAGAAACGAAAGTATTCAATTTGTGTAAGTTTAGAAAATCAGCGACTGTGTAAATTAAATATCGTGTAATATGTTATTATCAACAATATAATATTTATAGACAGGGTTCCCCTTTCCAGAGAAATGTCCGGTTATCCAACTTCGTACCTAAACTTATTATATGGCATTTATAAAAAATTGGAGCCATTGAGTTTTGTACCTTATATTCTATGTATGCTATGTAACAATAGCATTTCAAATAGAGCATCATTTAACATCCATTGATGATTATCATCTTCATGGTCTTAAAGAAGTTATTAACAAAAGTTAACCTATAGTCTATGTTTATACCTAGTTCATTATAGAGGCATTTTTTCTGTTAAATACTAACCCTAAAGTGCATGTTATTTCTTCGATATGGATGGTTATGTCTGTAATGGGGAGCGCGCCAAGAACTACGCCCACGGGGAAAGGATCCTCGGGGCACACACACATTATCTGCAGCAAAACAATGATTTGTATAGCCTAGTTTATTTAAATCTTACGGTCATCTGTGCTGTAATCTTTAATATATATTAAGAAAAATATGTGAAGATAACTTAAAATATAAATGGACATCAAAAAATTGTTTTTTTTTTTTTTTTGAATTAGCCCCTTACCTAGTGAATCTGGTATAACTCTAACTTGCGGCATCCGCTGAGCGCCAGCTGGTCTTTCTGATATAAATCTTTCCCTGTTGCGGTCCATATCTGCTAAAAATTTACAAAAGCCACAATTTTATCTTATTGAATATATATGACAAAAAAATTAGTATTTAATAGCAACACTTGTTACAAACTGTTGTGCTTTGTATGCTTTAAGTTCTTATAAAGAATACTGTCTATAGTTTACGCAAATAGGACACATTTTAATAAAACACTTTAACGGTTTAAAATGGGAAGGGAGGAAGGAAAGGAAACAGGGAGTCTCGACGTGACCATGGCTGCTACAAAGCATCAAAACGTCGGGCCGAAGTAAAATCATTTTCAAATAAGTTTAACTACTTAATATATCCCGTTTTAAACAGTTAAAGTGTTCTTTTAAAGAATACAAATTATAAAAATACTACTTACTTGGAGTAGGTGGCATTTCTGATGGCACAATTTGTGGAGATTCAATAGGTGCTGCGGGCTGCAAAATTTGTAATAAATTTATTAGAATAACCTATACATAGTCTTTTATTCAACTGCAGACAATCTTTAGAGTTAAATGTTTAAATAATGCCTTGCATCAATCAAGAGAGGATCACAATTTGATATATAGGGAAATAATACTATGTTACAGTTGATACAGGTACAGAAAATTGATCAAATACTTGCCTAGAAATAGAATCAAGGGATAGACTAAGTAAACAAAAAGTTGCAAATCTATAGATCTCTTAACTCTTTCAAGATAAACATATTGGTGCTTTATAAAAATTCACATTTCTCTTATGTGAGACATATATGGGGAACATGATCAGCTTTCTATGACCTAAGAACTCCATGTTATGCATTTAACTATTGAAACACAAGGCAGTTGCTGTAACGGTTACAGTACTTACAATTGCTGGTGGAACTGCATGCTCAGGTTCATACGGAGCATATGTACAATGTTCTGGCCTTGTGTTAGGAATTTCCACTGTTAGGTTTGGTACCACACATTCAGTTTCTGGGGCAATGTATGGTACTGGCTAAAGGGAAATATATAATCATTATTAAATTGTTAACACAAATTTCCATAAATGATTAAACAAGAAACCATAGCCATTCATAACTATATTATATTACTGTACCTATACAAAGCTATAGTAACCCAATATTCCCCCAGAATTGAAAAATGGGATCACTTATTATTAATACTAATAGTTTAGCACTAGATTAAAAAGGAATACTATTCAATGGTTATATTGCTACTATTGTAATAATTGTAATTGTATAGTAGTTGTTGTTATATATATATATATTATAGAAACTAAAGAGTTATCATTTTTAATAGATTCAAATTCAAACTCAAAATGCAAGTGCAAAAAGAATACCTACATATTTTATGGTCATGCAAATATCATGTATTTCAGTGAAAATTAGATAAAAAGATTCTTTAGTGTATATGTGATTACTTCTTCTTAAACTTCATAATAATTCTTCATAAACTCAGACATTGAACTTAATATTTGTTTTTCAGCTGTTTTTTAACCCCTATTTATTATTATTTAGGCCTAAATAATAATAAATAACAGATATCTACCTCCACATTCCCTTCATTATAATCTGTTGGTACAACATTGGTTTGTTCACGATAGGTGACGCCAGATGGAACGTTGTGTGAATTTCCTTCATAATCATCAGCCAATAGCTGTTCCTCTTCATCATTGCCAAGATTATAGTCTGCGAGGCTATGATCACCAAGATCATCGCCCAAAAGGTCTTCGCTGAAAGTAATAGAACCTTTCAAAACACATGGTAACTAGCACTTTCTAATACGTTTGGATATATATACGAAAAGAAAAAAACGAATAATTGAAATAGACACTGCAATCCTGCGTTGCAATTTAAATATTTTTATGAAAAAATTATTGTTAAATGATAAAATCGAATTAAATTACAAAATAAAAACACTAACTTGTCCGACATGTTGTCAAAATAAATCGAAATTGGGTTTTAATGTCGCCAGATATAGCTTAACACATACTTTTAATGGAACAATATGTGTACTTTATGGAGTACATTGAGTAAAAAATAATGAATAGAAATGACGTATATTTTATAAGTGTTATAATTTTACGTCCATTTAAAATTTTAAGATCTCATATATATCAATCATACTGTACCTCATTGATGTATTTCTTTCAAACATCTATTTGATAGTACCGTCTAGTTGGGAATTTTTACTTGCTTAACTGGCATCACCGTTCGTGCCATAGTATATACTAACTTGAATTGTGATTTCTAAAGATTAAATAATAATTATAGTATATAAATTGCCTATAGCAAAGAGTGACGAGTGTATGTACTATGTATATTCACTATATTGTATAGGCAATTGGCATAGGCTTGGCTTCTGGTTCAAGCAATGTAAATTTTAAATTACTTTATTATTGTAACCACGGATGTTCAAGTTTATTTTACTTAATATACACTTTTAAGATTTAACCCTAAACATTGGTAAAAATATGCAGTTATAATAAAATATATTAAACAATTAAACAGGTATACATTTTGAATACACAAGGCAATTGTTGTATTAGCATTAAATATAAAATAGGTGGCAGCTGTATCATCATGTCAGGATCTGAGGATGATTGTGTAATAGAGTGCCTTGACGAAGATGTTGAAATAGTTCAACATTACGTTCAAAAAGTGGATGATGTCAAACATATCATAATAAAGACGGAACCTGAAGACGATGAATTGCTGCAAGAGAGACCAGAAAAGAGGAAGAAAGTAAAAAGAGAGGAGGAGGACTCCGATTACGATCCCGCAGAAGAATACCGACAGCGTTTCAAGAAGAAGATGCGACCTTCCCGCCCAATTTTCAAAAGAGAATCTGTACCAGACAATACATCTAAAGGTGACATTTTTTTAAAGATTTCTATGAAAAGAGGAAATGGGTGAAATGGTAATGTGGACTGATCATCCAGCGTTCTGTGGGTGTCCCCAATAGAAAATAATTATAGTAATCATGAAAAATAGGAGATTTAAACTCTCTGCGCCTGGACCTTAAAGCCTAAAAATTATAAGATACTTTGATGCAACTGTACATTTGTGTAATTTTCACAATCCACAGGTGATTTCAGAAGAAGAAGATTGCTAGACATTCGTATTCCTGACTATGAAGATCCTTTATGTTTGCCAGTGAGATCTTATAGCACAGACGAGTATAGTGCAAAAAGGTTAAGGAACTGGAATAACTTGTGTTTGAAATATATGAAGATGTATGAGACACCTCTACGGCCAGATGTGCAGGAAACATTTTCATCTTCGAGGTGTGTTGTGCTGAGGAACGCATATAGTAAAGACAGTGGTAAGTAAAAGCCATGAATCTCTATTTGTTAAGTTCATGTGAAGATTTTGGTTGTCACTTGTATTTTAATCAATACTTTTTAAAATAGGTAAAGTTGACACCACTGTATGGAGCAAACTTACAGTGGAAAATAAACAAGGAATGCAAAAATCGGAAATATTTCAAGCAGTTTTACCAAGGTACAAGGAGAAAAAAGCATTGAACACAATAATACTGCGTCCAAAGCTATTAAAATCTGTTCAGTACAAAGAGGAAGTAATTCTAACAAAAGAGTTCAATAAGAATGAGGATATGTTAATTGTTTACAAACCAAAACAAGCACTCTCATGTACTTACAAGATGATCGAAGAGAAGGTGTAAGTAATTTTAATATCATATTCATACTGAGGGGAAATGGGTGAAACCGTCAACACTATGTGGACTGATCACACTTTGATCAGTGTCCCAAAAAATAATAATATAATCATATATATTATGTATTATAATATCACACATGTACCACTTCTGCGGTAAAAGAGATCCTTAGTTCCATTCAACTATATGGTAAAGGGCTATACATAATATTTGGTTATTTCTTGCCATGCTATTTTGCACTCTTAGATTTTAATTTTCTTTTTATTATATATGTCTCTGTAGATCATTTATCACTTTTAGATTTTCAAGATAATTTGTTATATAATAAATATTTATGCTAGTTTAATGTAATTTTGGCCGAATTTTTAATAAGAAAAGGATCTAAGCTGGCAAGACAGATGCTTTTGCTTTGCCAACAATAAAATAGACACTTTTTGTTTTATGATATGTATTAACCAATTTTCCTCCTACCTCTAATCATTTTGTATTTTTCTAGGGAAGGATCTGATGAAGAACCAAAGAGGTACCTTAAGGAGGTGGTTGCTTGCAAAATGTGTGCCCCTTGCTATCAAATGTCGTGGCGAGGAGTTCTTAAAAGCAACTCAAGTAGGTGTCATAATTGTCTAAGATTATGATTTGCAAAAATCCAGGTTTGAAGGGGCGTGGTGAGTGTTGTATAACCCAATGTCCTCCGCAAAGGGGTAATGATATCTCATTAGCAGATAACGTGAACTGAACACCTGCCCTTCTATCAGTGTACCTAATAGGAAGTAATAATAATAATTTACCTTGTCACTTGTTACAGATAGTATGAAGTGCTGCGTTTGTAATATTACTTGCTCCAGCGCATTTAATTTGCTGTCGCACCTTCGTGGTCACTCCCAGGCCGAAGTCAGGGCGAATAAAATGTTAATCTCCAAGACTCTCTCCGAGGTATAAATTAAATAAGCTCTTGCACGAAATGTGCTGTATCGTTGACTAGATGGACAATTTCAAAACATAATTTTACCTTATGCTTTAGGTTATTTTAAGTTGGTGCTTAACTATTAAATTGATTAAATTTTAGGTACTCCGCTACCACTATGAATGCAGAATATGTTCACAGAAGTGTGGAAGTATCAAAGGGTTACGTTCGCATATAAAGGCACATAAAGGTACGTTATGTAAAGACATACTATATATCTTAAATTAATACTATAAATCTTTAAACGACCAATATTCCACTCGAAATAAGGGGACTCAAGGGGGAAAGAAGTGGAAAGACAATGGTTTAAAGTTATCTTATTATTCCGTGGGATTAAAACTGTTTGATTTCCCAAAAAAATAATTAAGCAATGAAAAACACATCAGCGTTTCGTTGAGTTCTAATGTCTAACATGCTTATAGCATTAGTATAGCAAGTTAACTTCAAATTGTATTAGGCCTTCGCGGCCATTTTGCAAAGCTACTTAGATACTTAGTACTAAAATCGAAGCAGCACTGGGTAAACTTTGTTTACACATTATTAAATACAGTCTATAGTTTACGCGAGTAGTACACATTTAAATAAAACACTTTATAAACCGTTTACCGTGGGACCCGACCAGACGGAACAGATGGCGCTGGCGTAGCAATTTTTTACTTTGACGTCAGAGACATCCTCCATCTTTAGTCTCCCCGTGACCACGGCTGCTGCAAAGCATTCGAAACGTCGGGCCGAAGTTAAAAAATCATTTTAAACCGTTGAAGTGTTTTATTTCAATTTATTGTAATTTTTATAATTTGTTTTACTATTTCAATGTTAACATTTAATCTTTCAGGTAAAGAACCGTTTCTATGCGAAATTGGAGGTCATGTGGCGTCGTAGTTTTTTAAGAAGAGTCAATTTTAAAGTATATTTTTACTTGGCCAGCATGTTAGGCCCATAAGAACTTTTTGAATGTTATTATGGGAGAAAAGGCTTTTACCTGTCAAATAATAAAGAAATAAAGGCATTCTTTAATTTTAACGTAGTTGTTATTATTTTACCGTTTCGGTAGGTCAACTATTTACGCACTACTTTAAACGTGAGGAGACATGGCTTTAAATCCAGGGAAAGTTATAAATAGGTTTGCTCCGGGAAAATTGTAATCGACAACTTGCTTGTTGTTAAATTGATGATGAAACAGAGACGGGGAAAAGTTTATATATTTTTTTGTTTGAAATCTCATGATATACATAAAAATTACATTTACAAAAGGCAATTACATTGACGCAAGTGTAACAAATTAAATTATATTCAGACATCTTTTTGAAGACGAAATTAAGAATGATAGGAGTCTTATCTTACTTAAGCCACTATTATAAAATATGTTGAAAATCGGTCTTGTAGCGTAACTGTGTTGCAACTTATGTAATTATATGTAAAGACCTTTTTGGCATCCCTTTTTTCAAATTTAATGTAATATTTGTATATTAACTATTATTATTTTACTTTTTTTACCAGTGTACTAAAAGAATGCCACATAAAGAGATTTATTAAAGTAAGTTTTAACAATTGAATTTTTATTTTATTGTAAAAGCAAAGATATATGAACGTAGGACGTTGATCCCTACTGCGCATGAGATAAAGTCGAAAAAGATTTGCGCAATACTTCCGAAATTCGATAGTCACAGGCCTGACTTTAGTTCGTTAGCAAGAGCACGTCACTCTACGGTCGTAGGATCGCGTCCTGCACGTGTCACGACATTTTTCAATCTAAAATAGATTTTCAATTATAGGTAAGCTTATATATTATAACGTTTAGAAATCAAAATCTTTCACTTAATAATTTAACACGTACATAATGTTACAGAAAGAAAAACATCTGAGATTATAAATTAAACTCAACAAGGATACGCTAGATAAAGTTGGCATGAAACACATGTTACATTATTGCCATGGCAACATTTATATGCGAGGGTTGCTCGTTCAAAATTTAATTACGATTGGGGTTGTAATTATAAGATATGCACCCCACCGAACCAAGGTCGTCTGTTGAGTAATTAGAATGGCTGTATTTACGAGTAGTATACGGTACTGTTAGTCGAACAAAATACATATACATTATAATTACATACACATGAAAATTATGAGCACTTTTTCCTCCTTAAGTGACCATATTTTTTGACGATCGACTTTTGTTTATTTTCTAATTATTTTGTTTGTATGACCAAGCAATATTACTTCGTCGTTCTTAAATAGCGGTTTAAATAAAGTAGTTAGTAAATTTTGAACGTCTTGCACGTTGTCTAGTTTACTTCGGGTTCTTTCTAACCGGATTGCCTGGAAGAGATTGCTTATAGCGATAAGGCCGCTCGGCGCACGATCAATAATATTTTGCATTAATTCAGTTACAAAAATGAATTATTTAAAAAAAAAAACGATAAAAACACTTGCAACGTTTTGAAACGCAAAATGTAATATTTGTATTTCTTATGAGCTACAACCGATTCTACGGGTATCTGTCAGAAACGGAAACATACATAGGTATATTGAAGCTAGATCGAAGAATTTTTGCCTCTTATCCGTTCACATACTATTTTTGACTAACTCTGTTTGCATGAATTCTTACTTTAACTTGAGTGAATTACTAATTGAATCTAGATTCAGAGCTTCATACATAATTTTATATATACAAGAAAAATGGATATCCAAATGTGAAAAGCGTGTTTCTATATTTAGACAGTGATTACACTAAGTATTCGAACAATACACAGCCTGGGGTTACTAAAATAATTAAGAATCACCCCAAATACGAGGTCAGTCACCCCCCTCAGGGTGCCGTGGAGGTCAATGACCAGTGACGTCATTTGGGGTAAGACGTGACTTTTATATTTAAGATTATGTATTGCGCCGTCTAGATAGATACAAGTAACATAGAAAACGCAAAAAATATAAAAAGCTAAGTTAAGCTAAAAAATATAAAAATAAGCTATCTATCGAACCCTGAAATTCAAATCAACCTGTAAAATGTCAAAACGCTTTTAGTCAAGAATAACAGATATCAAACAAATAAAAACTTTTTCTAAAAAAAGACTAGTTTAGCTGCAGTAGCTCGCGTTCGATTACACAAAGATTGGATTTCGTCTGACAGGGATAATCTGTGGTAATCTGATAAGTACATACAAGACATTAAGTGTATTACGTTGTGTATTTATGTATTATGTTTGCGATTAAAAGACCCAAACTGATTGATCGCTTCTTACAGGATACGTATTTGATAGATAATATAGGTAAGAAGTATAAGATAAGATAGTGCCTAAATAACTTGATTTTTCAGTGACCGCTGATATTGGTGTCACAGCTTTTTAAACATCTGATTAAGCTACAGATAATAATAATAACGATATTATGTATTGTCTGTAGTCCACTCGAGTAGTACACATTAAATAAATATAAATATAAATAGAATGATTTGAAACGCGAAAAAATAATTACATATTTTTGCCCAGTCCCCGTGACCACGACACACGACAAAAGAAATAAAAATACAGCACCTAACACATTTCGCGTTTGAAACCGTTGTAAGTGTTTCATTTAAAGAACTATGATTTTAAATACTGTCTATAGTTTACGCGTGTAGTACACATTTAAATAAAACACTTTAACGGTTTAAAACGCGATATATTAGTTAAGTTTATTTGGAAATGATTTTTAACTAAGGCCCGACGTTTCGGATGCTTTGCAGCAGCCGTGGTCACGGGGGTCAAATCGTTAAAGTGTTTTATTTAAACTATGTTTTTATCTTTTGTTTTTCCTCATTTTTGTAAATAATACGACATTAATTTGTAATGTGGTACTAAATGAAACTGTACTGACGATCATGAATCGATTCACTTACAACTCATTGATAGTTTTTACTATAATACATATATATATAATAATGTAATGCAACAGCACGGAATGCTGGGGATGCCGGTTCAAGTCTTGACCGTGTAGTATTTTTTCAATTTATAATCGGTTTTTAATATATGCCATCATAACACGTGAAAAATATTTAAGTTCTCAATTTACAAGTTGTGTCGATCATATCTCAAATATCTTTAATACATTGAAATATTAAAAAAATAAGCAGAAATATTGGTAATGGCAATTTTCGTGGTCGAATCTCGTTCAGGGTGTATATTTTTTCTCTCTAATCTACGAAAATAAGCTCGATAATCCCTTTAACTAGGATCCAGTGAAACCGACAGACGGCTGGCTCGTTCGTTTTATTGTCTTTTTATGTCCCGATACGCATCCGTCAATAATTCATTAGTCTCGGGGGTGTTAAGTTGGGGCGAGGGATGCCAAATGTTTTTGCAACACTATGTAGTTTCGAGATACGAGGGTTATGAAATAGTTTTGCAGTGTTATTTTTCCATTGCAACAACATAGGGTTGCTCTTGCGCAGTATTTCGTATGACTTAAACTGCTAGGTCAATGATAGAAGTACCAAAAAAACTTATTGACCGGCTTAAATGAAATAAAAATCCCGTAGGACAGTATATTTCATGGTTTGATACATGTTAGTATTACTCCATAACCTCCAGACGAAATAGAGACTATTTACGATGTAAAAGATACGGAAAGGAGCAAAAAGGGCACCTTTTTTATTAAAACTTTAGACACTGAAACTCTTGCAAAGTAATAAATTTTCCCTTTTGACTACGATTTCCCAAGTGAATACCTCTGCACTTGTTTTCATTCATTTTAAAGTAAGTTTGTCTACGATAACAATAAAAATAGTATCTACAGTAAGCACTCATTATTTTAAAAAGAATGTTGCATTAATGTATTTAAAAATGTAGTAACATTTTATTTATTTGCATAATACAATCAAATGTTGCATTATTCTAAAATAGAAGGATTTTTTAGACGAGGTTTTAAAAAATAAACTAGTAAATGAAATATCGTTCTTGGACCTTCTTGAAATTAACTGCTACGAGAGTAGAGGGCGCTACGTGCTACGTACTTACTACTAGGCTTACTTCAGGCTTTATTAAAACGCTTAGTTTATTAATAAAATTGCATTGCAGTATACCTTATATTGTGGACGGACACAGTTCTATGTCTTTGTCATAGATCTATTTTATTTACTGGCGACTAAGGTGATATTAATTTCACTACAAGATTGATTTGATCACCCGCTACAGATATTTTTACGTATTCACAGAGTTTGTGCCCTTTCTCGTTAATGCAATGCCTAAACTTTAAGATTTATTTAGTCTATTATTTATCATTTAGGTTTAGGTATATGTTTATTATAGACTTTGCAACCCAAAACTTTAATGTTGTTGCAAAATAAAATGGAATAAAATTTACTTCATTGGTAAAGCTATGAATAGATATCAAATTTATTTAAATGATCTATTCATGTTCTTAATCCTTCTAGAGAAAGGCTTTAGGTTTATTTTGACAATGATGATATTTAACTGAGGGGATGTTAGGATGTAAATAAAATGACCACAACTCGGGTTTTTTATATATTTAGAACAAGAAATGTATAGTTACAACCATTGAGGATATTAAATATCATATTGTAAAAACTATTGTAAAAAGTGAAGAGAATGTGACAATTTTTTCTTTATTTTTTTCAATTATAATTAATTCCAATAAATTAATAATTATAGACACATAAAGTACGTGAAAATATTATTTAATGAATAATTACTTAAAACAGCCAAGTAACCGCTACAGATGTAAATATTTGGTTATTAATACCTTATGTTAGGAATGAGTATTTTTTAAAAATTTCTAGACCGAACTTGAAAGTAAGAACGGCTGGGCGATTTTCCAAAATGCATTTTCGTCGATTTTAAACCCGCATAGGTCATAATGTCATTTTGGAAAATCACAGGCTTACAAAATATTGGGAACAACATTTAGTCTAAGACGACACTAAAACTGAGTCAAATCGGAATTTGAGCTATGAATTTCGTCTCATTCGATGTACTGTCCTTGAATCTTGTAATTTTATCATCTGTGGCATACCGATTCAGGATTTCACCATTTAGTTCTTCGCATGAGACAAATTTCCTAGTATCTGTGCCATCTACAAAGCATCAGAAATTCCTTGAAAAATGAAGACGTTCAGGTTTAGCCTCGATCTTTAGATCGCTACTGTTTCTTGTGCAACTTAAATTTCTCCACAAAAGCTATAATGAAGAAGAGGTAACCGTTTAAACAGACACAATAATATAGAAACACCTAAATATCGGCGCACAATCGCACAAACTTTTCCCGCCAATTTGGATACAATTGCTTTTAATTTTACGACTAATTCAGGGCAAGTTGTGTCGATTGCACACCGTCACATTAACATATCAACTAAATCTGTTAATACCAACACAGACACCTACCTTATTAATAATCATAAATAGACGAACGAAATGCGATTAATACCGGAAGATCTTAAAGATTTTTTTTTTTAAAATTTTTTCGACATTTTGTAAAATACGTATTCGTATCAAAGGAGTCAGCAAGAAACAGGAAATCGGCTGACATATGTAATAATTTTATAAATACTTCATTGCTTCTATACTTTTGGAGTTGGTAAAATACTTAGACAATACTCTGTTGAGATCTAAATTATCTTACGACGCATTTTCTAATTATAAGCTAGTCTTAACCGAGTCGGAGTGGGGTTCGATTGTCAACCTTGTTCTGTCACCTGGATACGAATGTGGACTACATTTATGTACTATTAGGTATCACATACTACGTTGCATAATTACCTGGTTTGTCCCCATACCGTTTATCACTACTTTACCCGTTTTCAGTCAAGAGCGTACTTCAGCCGCGAGCACTTTGAACTTATCAGGATTTAGGACATATTCAAGGATCGAATCCTCAAGATCATATTTTATACCAATAGCTGTGGCCGTGGCTCAAGTGCACAGTTGGACAGTATCGTAAGTTCTAAATATAATTTCTAGATTGAAACGAAATGGGAACGAACCGATATGCAGAAGAGGAAACAACACCGAAAGTAACCTAATAAATAGACAGTGAAATCGATATTACTTGATATTTTTATTTATATTTTCTTATTAAATTCGAAACTATTCGGTAATTACGCCCGATGCCCCGAAACCTGTTTATTTACTTATTTATTGCAATCTAGTTTTCTCATATACACGATTGGTTTAAATTCCATTCCAGTTAATTTTCACTGTCTATAATGATTAGCGGAAAATATCGGAATTGAGATAATGTTGGTCGAATTCGCATTTCTCAGAACGACTCTAAAATCTCTGACAGGAATCTCGGATGATTTTTTGCAAAGCTATCCTATCTTGTACCATAGACAGACAATTTAAAGACGCCTGGATAGACACGAACCGCGAGGACGATTGTTTAAGTGTATATTACGATTCGATCATATTTATAAATCCCTTTTGCAAGAGTTCACTTCGTCCTATTTCATACAAATGTCCGCTGATTTAAGGGAGATGTGGACGCTTGGCTATATTTTATAAAACCATTAACAAAATAACGTTAAGAGCTAAGACTAGAGAAACGGTTCGAAAAGACAAGGAAGTACTTGGTGAGCAAACGTATTATTATTTTTCAAATAATTTTATAAGAATATAGCCGTCGTAGGTGCAAACCTCTAGCGTTTGATATATGTAATAGTAACACATTTAATCGATGTCTCGAATGGTACGTGGAAAATGCTTCGATTCTTCGATCGGTAAATGCAATTTATTGAGCATTTGACTAGATATCGCATTGACTACAACCGAACCATTTTCACGTCGCCCGCCCCTAATTAGTTCCTATGGAAGATTTCATTTCTTCTTTGTGTCTTATCTATTCGGAATGGCGTTTGCCCCGGCCACCGTTTGAATTTTGTGCTTATGCCCGAAGGTAAGGCCATTCTCACTTACACACCAAAAAGCTAACTGCGTAGAAAATGCTACTTCTCCCACAATTTGGACATTATTCACGCATTGTCGTCGGAATTTATTTTTAATGAATCACTTAGTAATAAACCGGCCAAAATATTTTGTACGCGTGATCGTGCACAGAATAAAGAGATAGAAATGATATCTGAGTGAAATGGAACGTGGCAACCTGAGAGACTTGACAGACGTCAAAAAGCGCGCCAATGCAACGCGAAAGCCAAACTCTCACATCGCATTTCTACCAAATTGTAAAAAATATACTCTCTCATTCTGTGATTTTCTCTTACTCCTCTTAATTTTAACATTCGCCACGTGTATTATTATTTTTGCTAATTTCACAGCCTCAATGTTAATTAGCCTATGCGTATTAGTATTGTTTCGGGATTGCCAATAATTAAGTTTATTTTTAATTAACTTTTATCAATTTCATAAAAAATGCATCAAAACACCCTTCAAAAAGTAGCCGTTATGCTATTGATAATATTAGATTTGTTTATCCCTTGTCACTTGTCGGGGTTTTTATAGTCTGTTTCATCTACAAAATGTGCAATCTTACGTATACATTTTTTAAGATGACACTTATTATATTCCAATTTGCCGAAGCAAAGAGTACATATGCGCAGTTGGTATGCAAAATTATTGTTATTTGATGTTTCGATTTACGCATGTTATAGATGAACCATTGGAAGGAAGCTTTTATAACTATGGCGACAATGTGTTTTGATATACGATTAATTAGTCAATTGGCCACGATGTTACACCTATTAAAACAATAGTTATATAAGCTGCCCTTAAACGATTAGTAGAACGTTTTGCAAGTCAGCCGCTTATATCTATGAAGATATGAATTACAGTATATTTAAAATACATATAAAAATATCAAGTTAATTATATTGTAGCATACCTACCCATGTGTCGGTTAAAAATTCACATTTACAATTATTATTGCTTCTCCGGTTTTACTCTAAAATCAGGCTCGCGCCCTCTAAGCTATTGAGCACTATTAATAATTTATTATTATCATTATTATAATTTTTATTAATAACGTCCGAAAGTAGGGGCACGCACAAAACATTCTACTAATACAGAGTGACGTATGTCGTTACCTATCGAGAGCCTAACCAACACTTCGATCCAAAATATTCGCAATTTCACAATTATCATTATTTATTATCTAAAAAGTCGATGAGTTATTAAATACTTTGGTGTTTTTGTTTCGATTTAAAAGACTTAACGTTCATACGACAATACCATTAAATAATATCAAAGGATTTGAAAATTTTTAAAGGATTCGGAGTATTTTTTTTTCAAATAAATTCCTCACACCATTACGTGTTCCCAATACTCATGAAATCGAGTGTCCGATATAATTTTCCTAATAAATTATTAAATAACCTTAGCGAACCACAATAATTGAAAACACATAAACTACATTAAATAAGATAAATGCACACCTAAGATAATATACACGTAAAATACAATTAATTGCACATACACTAAATTAATGAGTAAATCTAACAAATAATGTTGAAAAATTATCATTAATTACGACTTATCGTCAACATCAATTCGACAACTATTCCATAATATAATTCATTAATCAACCACCGTCCTGATGACTAGAATAGTTGAAATATTTATGCTGAGACGAAACAACACAAAACACAACAACTATTAACCTAAGACGGTACTACAATAGAATAGTATTAATTAATTATAATTATTTCAAAACTTGTGCATCACACCTCCACGGTTAACCGACCCCTCTATCCCTTTTAGTCAAATCAAACCTTGCGTAAGACGACACGTGTTCAAATGACACCTGTCATTTTATGACATTGACAAATATGCCAAAGACATCGACGTCATTATACAGTCGCTTCACATTATTAAAAAAGGTAACTCTCAATTTATCTAAATTAATACAAATACCTAATAATTAAACGTATTAAGACTAAAATGGAATGTTAAGCATTTTAAGCTGTTGCAAATCAAGCATATTTTAAAGATTTATAGAAACGAAAGGTTCATATTACAGTGGCCTGCCCGGTCAAACTAAGTTTACAATAATAAGTAAACAAACTTCTTTACTCCTTAATCCACGAAGACGCGAGTCTACCGACCTCTTCGAGTTATTTATTTAATATATTTTTATTAAATTACTGGCTATCAGTTATTGCACGTTTTACATTTATAATAAATATATAAATACTTGTAAATTTTTAATCTCCATCTTTGGTATGTAATGAGTACCTATTAGTTATTAGTTAATATCTTGAAATGTTACAAAACTGTTTTTACATATATTATTATGTATATATTTTTTTACAAAAATCGTAGGGTCGTTAGGACGGCACGATATTATATCTATTCAAGTTCGATGTTTTTTAGGTCTTTGTCGGGTTGAATTTGTGGTTGTCTGCGTGTGGACGCGGCGAAAACTATTTTATATATTTTTTAACTATTTACAAATTTCCATTTAAACTAAGACAATTAAAGCCTACTTCGAATAGACGCAGGGTCGCATCCATACATTAATAATTATAGTAGCAGGTACCGATCATATGTTTAGACATCGATTTTAACGACATCGTTAAGTTCTAACGCACCATTGCATTGTTCCGCGTACGAGCGTGTTACGTTGGCACCCGGCTTTGATCCGTCCCGCTCTCGCAGGGGTGGGTGCCGGGAGACTCCGCCCCATCCGGGTTTCGTCCAGAGCTCAATCGATTTTCCCCGTCTTCCTGTGATTGCGCGTGCCGAGTGTCACCTGAATACCGATTGAGACGTCGCAAAACTTTTCAAAAACTAACTTAACCTACTCCGCCAGCGAGCGACGGGCTCGGGTCTCGCTTCCGTGCAAAACGCACGCGAGACGCCCCGGCCGCTCCCAAGGACTCAATCGACGCCGTCTTCTCCCGAGATCTTTCAAGATTTTATTTTTAAAATTTTATCAAAACCTATCACAGTTTTTGATTAGTTCTCATTCTTAATTAGTTTAATATATGATTAAAATATACGTATAGATAATATATATTTCCAATCTTTAACAATAACACTATTTTAATTGGATACCCGCTGTGGTGCGGATCGGCCGGCCCGAATCCTACCTAACAGTTAATTGTGAGCGACAGAACTCTATCGTAATTTTGGCATTCGTCGATTCGAGACCGCAGTTAGATATGACGCCTAAAATGGAGCATAGCATATTATTGCTAATTATTATTTTATTTATAATCGAAAACTATTTCTCGATAACCACAACCTTTCATAAGCGAAGTTGATTGTCATTATGTTATTGACTATTTAATATGTATGGTTGTTGATTCAGCAGCATTTGATGCCTCCATCTTAACTTATTATTGCGCGCTCGTCCCATTCAGCGTCCGCCATTTCGTCCGGGCATGCGCAACGGCCTTCCGCCATCTTGATTTCCGTAACACTTAACCCACTTTCCGTCGGAGAAAATGGCGATCGGCGAACAAAGAGATGATGAGCTTTATCGATTAATTTACAAATTACATACAAAATGACCGCTCTGGTCGTCTTATCAGGAAGACACAAGTTTGTAGAGTTCCTTGTGTGGCTACGGAGGTGGTCGTCAGCGAGATTGGTATGTATGGGTGCGCGCCTGCAGTGCCGTCCTAGCGTCCGGCTAGGCCGTGTCTGAAACGATTTAGATCGTCTTGATTTTATTCGTCTTGAAACTGACCTGCAGGACTCTGTTTCCGAGCGTATATCCGTTCAACGATTGTATGGCCACAACCGCTTCGTCGTAATTTGTCATGGTGATAAATCCATAGCCCTTGCACTTGTTCGTTTGGAGGTCGCGAATCACCTTCACGCTCTGGACGGCACCGAAGGGTCCAAACAGTTGCCAGAGTACGTTCTCCTCGGTTTCCGGAGCTAGATTGTAAACAAAAATGCACCATTCTGAGCCGACGGCGCCTGGCAACACCCCGCCAAGTAGCTCGCCCGCCAAGGGACTGTAGCGCTGGAGACCTTTATTAATAGCTAGTAAGGACTTGCCTGAGCTGAATCGTCCGAGAGGGTTGGGGAAACGCAGGGCCGCCGGCAGGTAGGCCGCTAACGGAGCCAGAGCCTTCCCGTTGTTGCTTGGATTGTTAGCGAATTTCACTGTGATCGGTTCTGACGCTCCTTTAGGCACTGTCCCATTCAACTCTTGAATAGCCCGTTCGGCTTCGACGCGCTGGTCGAAGCGAATGAACCCGACGCCTTTGGATAGGCCTTGCTCCCCACCATTGAAAGGTCTTCCGCCAGAATTCTCGCAGAGTATTCTCGAAGTAATTATTCTGCCGTACGGACTGAAAAGCCGCTCTAATTCAGATTGAGTCATTGTTTTTGGTAGTCCTGAGACGTACAAGTTTGCGCCCTTGATAGCCTCGCTGCTCGGCCGCGCGTACGATACCTTGATAGTTTTGTTCTGGAGCCGAAGGCCATTGAGAGTCGCGATAGCCTTTTCGGCGTCTTCTGGGCGATGATAGTTGACGAAAGCGTATCCCAGGCTTTGTCCTCCACCGTGCAATGCATGATTCAGGGCGTCCGGGAACGCCGCACCCTTATTCCGTATCAGCTTGCAGGACTCCACTTCACCGATGCTGGAGAAAAGACTCCGTATCTCCTCCTGGGTCATGCTCTGCGGCAGATAGTTGATGATCAGGTTGGTCTTGGACTCCTCGCCGGAGCCATTCTGCTGTTCACCGTCGCCTTTCGACATGGTGGCTTTAAATCATAAACGTAAAGAACGAAAGGGAAACAAAACGCGGTAAAATAAAACACGGCACGTCCGTTCCGGCGGCCCGCGCGAGAGATATTGCGAGGGTTGGGGGCTGTCCGGGGCGCGCATGACACCCGCTATCGACCGCGGCTTACATAACCCCGTTCGTTCACCCCTCCCGGTTGGTATAGTGTCCGAAAAAACCAGATACAACGCAGCGGCATCGATCGAGAGCCCCGGGAACGATAACTCTTCTTGCTACGCGAGATTCGGCCTTGTTCTCAAGACAAAGGATGATTATCACCTCCCGACCTAAAAAGAGCTGGAGTCTTGATATTTCAGCTACATACCGTGACCTCAAAGATTTCTGGAGCGTCCCTAGGTACGTTTATTACGTACTAAAGCAAGAACAATAGTTACTGTTTTGTTAAAACTGTGCCAAATGCATTTGGCAACTTGAGATGGTAGTTATTGGTGATATCTTAATTGCTGCTCGCCAAGTACTTATGTAACAGGGCTGTAACTAACTGGGCTAATGTAGGTGGCTCGTTAGATTTTCGGCACGTAACAGCTTGCACGCTAATTCGTTCGTATCCTACAAACCTTGAGACCTCGAACCGGGAACGTAATTATGTAAAAGCCTTCATACCGTACTCGGTAGTAACTCGTATAAGTATTGACATTTGGAAGAGAATACATACATTCTACTACTATTCTTAGTAAAGACAATTGGAGATTTATCTCTTACATCCGGATGAACAAAGCTTACTAAACATCCTCATCTTTCTTTTGTATTATCTAGAGAGGACAAACAAACTTGGGATTCACTTAATGGAAGGCACTATTGTTGTCACTTGATTATCTGTGGACGTTGGTTTGTAACTTGCGGAAATGCTATATTCCTATCACCATTTAATATTGCATTTTTAGACAAAGTCCAACATGGTTTAGAAGACCTCTTAATTCATTAAAAAAGTCTCTACAAAAGCGGTTTTTTCAAAGTATATTCATTTATCAACAATCGCTATTAAATATATACATAAGCTTTAATTGTTTCCTATTTACTAAGCTTATGTTAAACTCGATAGTATAAATGTATTTTTAGCTCTTCAATAGCAGCTTGTTATGTTAACGTACAGAAGCGTACTATAGTCGCGCTAACATTTGCAAGTTAAATTGCTGAAGAGTTTTACTTAAGCGGCTCAATAGGGTTGCCATTGTATTATTTTTAAAAGAAAAAACTGTAACGAATATACGAAATAAATACGAGTATATTAATATGAAATTGTCCTCTATACGCTTTAGTCGCTTATTAAATATGTTTTATCGATTACAAGAGATCTCTTCGACATAAAATCAAAGAAAAGTTTTTTCTAAATAATACAAATGCGCAAAATATATTTAGTTGTAATAAGAAATACTGCAAGTATATCATTACAAATCGCTTTTTAACTACTAGTAAAGTCATATTTTAAACTGTAATGTTTTAAACGTTGTATGTGTATGTAAAGTATGTAAGTGTGTGCGGATATATGTAAAATGTTTTATGTGTTTAAATCACAAATAAATTTTAGTTTCCTTTTGTTGTTTATAGAAGAACATTTAGTAAATATTTGTGTTGCTTCATAATAATTGGAGATTGTACAAATATTACTAACATAAAATACGACTACAAAATGAGTACCTAAAGCAGAAAGATATATGAGGCCCTAAGGATTAAATTTTCTTCGTGACAGCCCTAACATTTTACAATTTGAATGCTAATCGCGAAGCTCTAGCCTCTACCGCGTACCCCACTCCGTGTTTTATTACTTCTCTTTGTTCTTTTATTTATTCATGAAAATTCTAGCAGAAACGCTTCACGACACCTATCCGCAATAAAAACGCTTTGAAACAACCGACGCTTTTCTTTTTATTGTCGGGAAAAATAGGGAAGAAAAGATTTCCATAAGACACAATGATCTAAATATTTTATTTTGAACATTTTTATCTAAACTAAAGGTAGATTTAACATTAAATTTGTGGAAAATATGTAAAAATACGTACAGGTCGTAATTTTTTTTCCATGATTTTTAATTTATAACATGTGAAAAGTATTGTATATAAAGATTTGAACGATAGGTTTCGTCCAGTGAACTGGCTACCGAATACGTTATGCTTAGTGCCGACTGGCGGTGCGAAATGCGAATCAAAAATAGGCATAATTTTTGCCAAACGGCAATTTTTCACCGGCGATCAGTAAGGGGTAGAACTCAAAACCAAACCCGCTTAACAGTTTCTGAGATAAGCACGTAGGTACAAACAAAATCTTCTACGGTATATAAATAAAACACTTTAACGGTTTAAAACGCGATATATATTAGTCAAACTTATTTTCGGATTTCGGATGCTTTGCAGTAGCCGTGGTCTAATATATAGCGTTTTAATCCGTTAAGTGTTTTATTTAAATGTGTACTAGGCACGTAAACTACAGACAGTATTTAATATATCGCTACAGTTATATTATACAGAGTGAATCTGTAGAACGTAATTCCATACATCTAAATATTGACTACTTCAATAGCGAACTTTTATAGTTTGGCTGGGGTCACTAATGAAAGGGCTAGGGGTGGCTTCGGGGTAAACCTATTGAACAGGTGGGGTCGGCAGGTAGACTTTGTACTTTATAATGGGATGGATTGATGGAATTTATTATTTAGTTCTTAATTACGCGTTTGGGTTTAACCGACTTGAAAAACGTGGAAAATAGATTGCATTTTTTTTCGTGAATAAAATACTACTTATGTAAGTTATAACGTCGTAAAGATGTAATAAATATGAAATAAAGTATTTAGCTATCTATACATGTTGTAAATTTGATTTTCTTTTTCAATACACTTGTTAAGTGCTTCATTTGCTCTTATATATTTTTTATTTTAATTTACCCTAGATACAATTAAGCTTGTTAACAATATTTTAATCTTTACGGCTTTAGTTTAAGAGAAGAGCTTATAAACAATTAATTGCTTTATAATGTCATGTATTTACATACACTGCTTCAAACTCATAATAGGACTAAAAAAGGTATATACGTGCTAAGAGAATGTACATGTACTTACATTATACATAGTAGTGCTAGTCAGTAGTTTTGATATAAATCTGTTTGGATAGTATTGATGGTCGGCCTATCGAACGCGGGGTCATCGACCCCTGGGGAGAGGGTGGCTATCCTGATTATATTGGGTGCTGTCTCCGTTGTTACACAACACGAGAAGGAAATATTTTGCATCAAATGAAAATACATATTATGTTAATAATTATAACTAAGTAACTCTTATTAATGGTTCTTTGACTGCATGCGTATATTTCTTGCATGCATTTATGAAATAGTAAATTTAACTTTTTGTATTTTGTATTATTCTAATAATACGATTTTGTGATTAACTTGCGACTAGAAGAAATAAGAAGGAGGTCTGCCATCAATTTCGGGTCTTTAAATCAATCACTTTAACGGATTAAAACGCTTAATATATTAGTTACAGATCGTGTTAAATTTAGGTCCTTAAAATTATCAATGATGCATCTTTGATAGCCAAATTTTATATATAAAATATGTGTTTAAGAAAATAAAAGTCCTTCTTATTTATCATTCTATACATTCAATCGACTATTAATTAATATTATAGAGTTGTTACTATCTCAATTAAACAATAAAATTTCTCACCTCAGATTATAGCTTGACGTTGGCAATCCTAGGTATGCTTTAGAACCACATAATCAAAATAATCGAAGACATGATAATTAATCGGTTTTATCATTGGTGATGTTCTCCGATTATTGTGTTATAATACATAACTCATATTAAAGAATTCTAGAATCGATTATACATAACTCATATTAAAGAATTGTATCCATGTAAGTTACAGATAAGAGATGATCAACGGAAACGCGCACATAACTCGAGTGGCGCTGAAAAACGTGGAACAACCCTAATAAAGACATTTACGTACGAATTTCAACCTTGTATAAAAGCGATACGATTTATTTTTGGTTATTCAGTTTTAATATCATAAAGCTCTGCTTGTAGTTCTGTTAGAATATTCTGTATTGCCAGGGAATAGAGTTCATATTTATGTGTGGGATGTTTGCGAAATTTCTTATTCAATACTTTGCACAGTCGTCGCCTACACAGCTGATGTTTTGATTAGTAGCTGCTACTGACAACGAAACCCGGGTAACGTAAGTTTAATTTAAAATCGATTATCTTAAAATAACAATTTCCATAGAATTAATATTTACTTAAATAATAGTTTTTACTACTATCAGTTAAGTAAGGTTTCATTTGAAAACTTTACAATTTTTTTTACATGTTATTGCACATGAAGGCACTATATGATTTAAGAATCGAAAATAAATTTCGACTCAGGCAAGACTTGAACCGACATCGTTAGCGTTCCGTGCTGTTGCTCTACCAATTGAGCTACCGAGAATACTTTTTAGGTAATATTTTTCTTATATTAGAAAACTCAAGTAGTAGAAACTTGATGTGTAGGGTTGAATTTATAATATGTAATACACTATTTGTTTTGGCATCTTAACATTTTCTAATATACAGAATCTAGTTATTACTAAAAATAACAAAAATAATTCGATACTGTCTATAGTTTACGCGAGTAGTACACATTTAAATAAAACACTTTAACGGTTTAAAACGGGATATATTAGTTAAACTTATTTGGAAATGATTTTTAACTTCGGCCCGACGTTTCGGATGCTTTGCAGCAGCCGTGGTCACGGGGAGACTCCCCCAAAAAAATCATTTCCAAATAAGTTTAACTAATATATCGCGTTTTAAACCGTTAAAGTGTTTTATTTAAAAAATAATTCGTCGTCTGTATTCTTTTCAATCCTATAATGTGCATACAACATTCTATCCATTTAAATGATAATTAAGAAGTGAATTTTTATTTTGCATTATAAAGATTCAAAGGAGTATATTATATTAGTAACTTTGTCATTATTATAAATTGTGTTGTTTTTGAATAAACGTATTTCTATTCTCTATAAAAGCATAAAAGGCCAGGACCCTATGAATACCAGTAGATTACTTCGCATTTGGTTCGAAATATTCAAATACCTATTAAATGATTTCGACTGTAATGAATCAGACATGGGCAACTGGGCTCTGTTTTGCATGTATTATGATGTTGCATAAATAATAACTCCATATGTCTAAACGGGACCAAAAGACGTAGGGTTGTAGACACATAAAAAAATACATTCAAATAATACAACATACAAAATTGTTTTAATCAGTTCATAACGAAAACCTGAAAGATTTCGTTGTACCTAGAAAGTTATTTCTTTTTAACCTTCTAAAATACAGAACAGAAAAATGTCGGATGAAATACAACAATAACATGTAAACAAGATGCACTGTGTGTATAAATATAGATATAAAACATTTACATTATGTTATGCAGTACACATTAATAAGCTGCAGACGCTGGCCTTGACCCGGACGAACTTTTACATTTGTAGCATTCATTAAATATGCCAATTTTCTAGAAAAGCCTAACATGTTCAAAACATTTTTTTTTATATTATGTCCTGGTAGTAATCGAATTAAGGACCTGACTATTAAACAGTAGTTCCATTGGACTATAGAGGATATCGGAGACTTCGTTATAATGAAATTTACCGTCTACTGATGAGTGACAACCCTATGTTTACCCCTTTAAATTTTACTTACGCATTTGTAATTCAAATGCAAAATAGCACGCGAATATTTTGTATTCTAAACACGGCATATAGAAGGCGCTTTGAATAAGTTATTTTTAATTAAGAATAGTTCCGATGTTTTGGTAGTAAAAATGTTATACACGTTTGGATAATTTTAATGTTTATTTTCTATTTTTAAAACGACACCGGCGGGATCCAAACTAACGAACACAAACAAAACATAAAATAGCAAGATTGTATAATGCACTATATAAAACGTTAAAGAGTTCGTTAAAACCCAAATTAAAATTAAATAAAACGTTACATAGATAAGTTTAAACTTTACCTTTTTTAGTTATAATAATATTTTCATTTCATAACTATTTTTAACTACTTAATATAAAATATTAAGCCGTTAAAAAATTTAAATTGCGAAAAGTTTAGCGAAATTCACTACCTACTTTTCTTCATAAAACTAGAGAAATCTGCGCAAGCCTTTCTTTTTTCGTAGTTGTTTTATCTTAGTTTATGAACATGGTCCAAAAAGCGCAACACAATGCCGGGTGGGTTCGTAGTTTGTAGTTCCCAGGGGAGACACGCGACAAAACGTGTGCGCGGATCTTGTTCCAGGTGGCGTATTATGGAGATGGATGTTTTGAAATGAAGTCATTTAAATAAAACAGCTTTGCAGCACCCATGACCACGGCTGCTGCAAAGCATCCGAAACCTCGGGCCGAAGTTAAAAATCATTTTCAAATAAGTTTAACTAATATATCGCGTTTTAAACCGTTAAAGTGTTTTATTTAAATGTGTACTACTCGCGTAAACTATAGAGTATAGACAGTATGATGTCATTTGTTTCTGATGTACATTTTTTCACAAAAATAGTGTACAGGAAAGTTCGAACTATTATAGTTTTTATCTGTTAATGCACATCAGAGCTTAGTGAATTAATTGTTTGAAACTAGATAGTTTCAAACAAATTTCCGCGTTTGTCGTAGATACGACAAACGCGGAAAAACGTTTTTTAAGACTTTCTATTATAACCAATTGATTTGGCAATCAATTGGATATAATAGAAATGGCAGATAAGTGATTTCTTTTTAAATTGTCTAAAAAAATGTCTTCAACCGTAGGTATATCTTTTAAAATTAATCGAAAGAATTACGGGACGCGGACTACGTCATAACACGGTATTGTAACAACTATAATTTATAAAGCTAAAGAAGTTGTTTTCAAAATAACTAAAAGAACTATTCCACGTGCACAAAGTCGCGGGCACAGCTAGAGCTAATGTATATTATACCAAAGTAAAAAAAAAAAAAAAATTTTTGGCCGAGTCCATTTCACCTATTTTCACACTTATTTACGGAGTACAAAAGCTAAAAATATATTGATCATTCTTGAATCTATAGAGGATTCGAGTACCGACTGCGTCATGATTTTTAAAATCATAAATCATTGTATTAAATCCAGTTAATAAATTGTTCTTTCCATAGTTGTCGAACCCTTCGTTCCGCTATTGCGCAGTTATAATTAGTTTACCCAGTGTCTTTTATCTCCCTTCGCCAGGTTCGAGGGGTCCCCCCATACTCCAAGAGCTGCTGATATTATTTATGGAAGGTGCAGATTCATGTTTTGTAAGAAATAACGATAAAAATTAATACGTAATTTCTTCTACACCTGGTTTTAATATATAAACTTGTAAACAAAACCTTCTAACAGTCGGCTGCTGCAAAGCATCCAAAACATCCGGCCAGAGTTAAAATGAGTTTAAGAAATATATTTCGCGTTTTAAACCGTTAAAGTGTTTTATTTAAATGCGATAAACATTAGTTAAACTTATTTTAAAATTATTTTAACTACGGACCGAAGTTCGTCCCCGTGACCACTACTGCTGCAAAGGTAGAACAGCTTAAATAGTACTATGTATACATTTCATTCTATCCAGTCGCGAAAAAATTAACAATATTTATATCGATATAGGACTGAGACTAGTGTAAAAGATGAATATTTATGTTACTTATTTTTCTTATTAATAATTTTGTCTCTCGGTCTATGCCAAGGGTGTTTCAACCCTTCATTAGCATTTTAATCCAGGGGCCTATCAATCCTTCCCTTAAAAAAGCTCTTATTTCTTTATTGTAGGGTTAAAATTCCATTAAAAATCTAAAATCAGATCACGTTTGACCAACAAGGCATCTGGGTCATAGATTGTGTGAGATTGCATTGTAAATTTTTCTTTTGTCAAAGTTAAGTATCGCTGTCAAATGCTTGAAAAATCCAGATTTATTGATAAAATCAGATTAATGTTACAATTTTTTAATGTGATATATTTATCTTACACGCTCAGATCTATATATGACCCTTGAGATTCAGATTGTAGGAGGTAAATTTAAATGGCGTAAACTATTACGCCATTGGAGTTTATAACTACTATAATTTTAAAATAATGGATAAACCACAAGAACCATGTAGAAGTGCACAGTTTTAGTTGGTTTTACAAGCTTATTTTTTAAACAAAAAAAGTAATTAATTTATACAATAAATTAATGTGTGTTTTTAAATAATTCAACTCTGTTCAAAAGAACTGTCACAACCAGATTTAATATTGTAAATTGTATCATTTTCAAATAAGAATAAAATTTTCAGTCGTTAAATACGACTCTGATAATATTATCAGATTTTATCAGATTTGACATAGGGCATCACTATGCCTTTGTAATAACGATATCGTTATTACAAAGATATAGTGATGCCCTATATCAAAACCTTTAATAAGTAGATGCAATATATTTATAGATCTGTAACTAACTCTAGTTGCATTCAGTTTTGGCAACCTACGCTTCCTCGTCACAGTTCAAATAGAACATCGTGCGTGCAAAAATAAACCTTTTGTTCATCGTATTTAAATACAATTCCCATATTCTTATGTTCTTCTGACATTTTCTAGTATGTACACGTGAATTTCAAGACGAGAATAACAAATGACACACAATCCGATCAGACGTAATTCGATTTTAGATAAACTCAGACGTTTTTCTAACGTGTCTTATAATTTTTAATGGTTTTAATTGAGTTCAAGTGATTATTAAAATGAATACTAAAAAAAGTAAGCATAAACGAGCGAAACCTGTACAGTTTTCAACAGAAAAAGTGGTTCAAGTGAATGAAAAAGTCGATGAACCTAAAATTGAAGAACAAGTAATAAACGACGACAAAGTTGTTACCGATAAAACTACTGTTGTGGATGTGCCAGTGACAGATGAAACGTTCGTTCAACAAGATACACCGGTAAAGCCGAAAAGAAAGAAAACTAAAAAGAAGAAGCAAGATGTAAGGGATGATAACAAAACTCCGGAAATTTCTAATGAAAAAGAAAGTGCTACAAACATAGAAGTTGTAAGTGCACCTGACGAAATTTGTAACATTAAAAGTGATATTGAAAAGGAGGAAAAGAATATTCCTAAGAAGAAAAAAAATAAAAAGAAGCCCGTTACACCAGAATCCTTAGAGGTTCCGCAAAATATAATAATTGCTAACGTAATTCCTATTTACGAAAATATTTGTGATGATCAAGAAAAATCTTCAAAAAAGAAACACAAGAAAAAAAAGCCTACTTGTAAAGCTGAAGACGTCATGTGTATATCTGCCTTTCAAGATCTCTTAGAACCGCAGAATTCTCAAGAACGATCGTATTTAACTGATGGTAGTAGCAATGAGGTTGTTAATCTAGATAAGAAAGATGAAATACTTTTAGAATCTGTTCAAACTTCTACGAAGAAAAAGGACAAGAAACATGCATCCGTGGAAAACTTATGTGAGGCTGACATTACACTGGTAAAAGATATTTCTCTTCCTGTAGAGACACTTTTATCACAAGAAGAAAAAAATCTAACTAAAGATCGTGAAGAAATTGATAAATTAAGTCCTAAACCGAAGGCTAAAATAGCAAAACCTGTTGATAAAAAGAGAAAAGATAAAAAGTCGCAAAACATATTAGAAGCAGAAATTGAAAACTCGTCGCAACAAAATAAAAATAATAATGTTATTATGACGCAAATTTCAGAAACTTGTACTGACAATAAACCTATTGGTGAAAGTGACAATATAGCTGCCTCAACGATTGATATTACAATATCCGATGAAACGAGCGATACTTTGGATCTTAATCGTGCTATAGAACTGGAACACTCTCAAGTCGATACTGAAATCGAAAATAATCAATTCACAGAAGTGAGACCATCAAGAAAAAAGAAGAAATCTGAAAAGAACGTAAATTCGAGTAATATTAAAGAAAAAAGTGTGCCGGTCGATAAGGGAGGAAAAGAAGGGTTTGACGGTGCCACTAATGTTTCCTCTTCAATCGAATTTGGTTTCAAAGACAAAGATTCCAATATAATGCCAGATTTCATACAGTGCCCGAGATCTAGTAGTCAACAACAATCCGACAATAATAATAATATGGTTATTAGAGAGATTACCTCTCCTGAGGAAGTGAGGTTGGAAATTCCCGTTTTAATGTCTGTACCTGTTATTCAAGGCTCAGGAGAGTCGCCGGAAGTACAATTAAAAATGGATCCTCTAGACATAGAAGTTACTGAGTTGAATTCGATAACCTCTGATATCTGTAAACAATTTAAAACAGTGAATGATTATCAAGAAATGGACGAATTAAAATTATCAATAGAAAAATCTTTAACTGAATTAACAGCTATTGAAAAAAGTGAACTTGAGGCTGAAAAAAAATTTGAAGAAGTATTAGCCTACAATTTAGAGCATTTAAATGAGAGTAAATCAGTAACGGAAGAAAACTTACCATTTTTACTGAATGAAAGGGAAACAACTTCAAAAGAGGAAAATAAAGGTCCCGAAATCTCTAACGATTCTGCAGTTGCACCAGTGTGCCCCACAAGAAAAGAGAAAAAAAGTAGACTTAAGAAGAAAGGTAAACAGTGTTTAGAAGCGACGCCAAACACATCGACTACATCAACTGCAAACGTCGATCAAAGTAAGGATAATTCGAATAAAAAGTCTGAAAAATGTGATAAAAGTAATGGGAGTAAAACAGATCAGCAAGAGAAAGGCAAGCAGCAATCTCTAAGTAGTGATATTGATATGGGTATAAACTCATTTCAATGTGAAGTAGTTTACGAACCTATTGAAAATTTTGAAGACGCGCTAACATCTAGCAATGAAAATATAAACGATACCTTTGAATTGATTGCCCAAGAAGCAAACGAGGTTCCAATTAAACAGCTATCATCTTTACAAAAACCTGAAATAAGTATCACAGAACCAGAAGATGATAAAAACAAAGAGAAGGATTTTAGAAAACATCCTATTTCGCAGCCAAAAAACTTATTAGGCCACCCCAAAATTCCTGTACAATCGAATAAAACGGATTATAAAAAAGAAAAGAACAAACCACCTAATTCAATATCCGCCAAAGTAAAGATAAAAGATGCAAACGAAGTTGAAAAGGCCAAAGGATGTAAAGAGACCCAAACGAAAAGCAAACTAATAAAAGGTACGCAAGAATCATGTACATACAAGACGAACGAAACTAATGATTTTTTATACAAATATAGTTTTCGGAAGGTGTTTCTGCCTAATATATGTAATGCGTGTAAAAAGGAGTTGGATCAACGAGTTGTTTGCAAATTTTGCAACTTAGTATTCTATTGTAGCCAGAAACATAAAGACGAAGATTGGCCTCAACATCAATTTTTATGTTTCGCCGTCTGCACTATAGCTCATTTAAAAGGTATATTTAATTTTACTCATATTTTTCAAAATACACGTATGTGTTGTAAACTTATCTTTTATTTGTAGAACAAAAGTTTATATATGGAAACACGAAGAACATAATCGGACAAGAGTACAGAATCCTAAGAATGAGAATAATAATGGCTTGTGAAAAGATGTTAAAACGTAAGTTAGTGCCGTGGGAGCAAGAAGCTTTACTGTACGCAAGAATTTGTTCTAACAGCGGCTGCAGGGAGTGGAAACAAAGCCTTTTAACTGACTGCAAAGGATGTGGACAGGTAAGAAAGTAATTCACTGATTGAATGTTAACTTTGTTTTATGTATTCGTACATAATTATACTGTATGTTTATTAGCCTTTTTGGTTATCTGTTGTTCACGCGAGAGGTGCACATTAAAAACTTTAAAATGCTTAAAAACCATTAATAAATTGCGTTGTTTTATATAAAAATTTGTTAATTATGGAAAATTTATCTTGATATTTGTTTTTATTTAACTCGAATAGCAATAATCAAACATTCAATATACATATCTTCTTTGTAATGTAAAAATTAGATAACAATATTTTTTATTGCAATATATTTATCTTTATGACCGTGTATTTTAACATTGATGTATTGATTGATTTATTGAATGAATTGTTGTTAGACTAATAGAAACTAAAATTAAACATTTTGGGTTGCCAAGTGAACTATATAGTGAGTAGTTCTGTCTGCAATATTTTAGTACATTACATTGTTGTTCTTCTCAGTCAGTAACTCATAATCAAACGTACAATAATACAAAACACTAATAATAACATAACACTTCGTTGTTATAAATAATTAAAGGGAGCTACAATTAAATTCATAATTTTCTCAGGTGGCTTTTTGTTCAGATTATCCTGAACATTTGCCAGTATCTCATCAACGTTGGTGTAATTCATATGGTCTATATCAGAAGCTGGTTAGCTACCAACAAAAACAGGGGCGGATAGAGCCACCAATGCCAAAAAAAGTGATAACTGATAACTATCAATTGCCTGAAAAACTTAAAGATGCGTTAGCTGATTTGTATGAGGAAAATATTGGTAAAGGACGATCTGTATCAAATTAAATAAGTCTAAAGTTCAGGTTTTTTAATTAACATCGATTAATTGCAGACATGTCTGATATAGAATACGCAGCTTTAACACAAATAGCTACAGCTCCTTTGACGACGATTCATAGTTTTCAGATTAGCAAAAAGAATACAAATGGAATAAGTAAGGTAACAAAGTTTATTTCCTACGAACGTTTGAGTATACTTTAGTAGTTACCATATATATTAAGGGTTATTATGTTCTCGTACTATTGCAGAAAACAACATTCACAGTACATATTGTGGGCGCTGAGCTACAATTCGAAGCCGATGTGTTAAATAAATGGGAATTGTTTTTCTTACATTTGCGGCCAGATGTGAAGGATTTGAGAGTAGTTCTAATAAGTCCAGACCTTAATCCTTCCAACCTTCCATTAGATTTACTCGGTAAAGTTAAGTGAGTACGATGCCTATTTACTATAGCAATTTTTATTACAATAATTCTGATGTATCGGAAATACCTTAATTTATTAAATAATTTATTTAAACTACTAACCAATTCACAGAAGCTTTACTGATTACCAATTTTCAAACAGATTATGTGATGAGTGCCGTTTGAGTGAACGTAGACTACTATTCAATTTCATTGACAAGAAAACCTATCAAGAGTACAATAAGAGCGAGGAATTTATATATCCAGATATTGGTAAGAGATTTTAACTTGTAGTCGTAGCTTTGCCGAAGTCCTTGCCATTTTGATTTGAGAGAACCTTCGACAAACTGGTAGCTGTGAGTAATATTCAGGGCAAAACACTACTGGGGCGATCCGAAACCCATATACCACGATTAAATGGTAGATGACAGTCGTCGCTTCGGTCAGGATAGCTAGACAGCTATTCTTTAAAGCCCTCATGATATATACGACCTTTAACAATGAAGGTAGACTTTGCATATACATTTATTGTCTTCCTTTCTTTTGTTTCAGTTTGTGCGTTCAATCCAAGTATAGAAAGAGCGACAATCCACAATGGCAAAGACCACTGGCCTTCAACGCTTACTTGCATGTCAAAATTGACATGTCCCTTGCTAATCACTGCATACACAATGAACGAATTAATCAGGGACGTTTCTAGGATTAAGGCTTTGTCGAACTACAATGTTATTTCAGAGCCGAAACTCAATGCCTTTGCTAGCACAAGACCGGATAGGAACTTCATAACGGATGACGAAATGCCTCTGTTATTTAAGAACTATTGTTACTCTGTACTTTGTGGTTTTTGATACTTTATGTTATAAATTTAATATCCATCCAATCCCATAATTCCTTAGTGTATGTTTGTACTTTTCCGCGTTTAATTTATTGGTAAAATCGAGTCTTTGTCAATGTTCCTTATTCGAAATTTGAATATTGTAGTGATGTTGTGTGAAAAGTAATAAAATCGTAAAAACAGTATTTTTTTAATTAATGAAATTCTGAAAGATTTTAGCATATCATTGTTTTTCGGACTGTTCGGCCAACGTGAGCATATCATAATTCTTCGAGCAATCGAGTAGTTAACATCTGATGATGCCGTCTGCACGTGATGGCGGCGAACGTCGAGAACCTCTTCTCGCCACTTCTCATGGCCATGAAAACCTTATACAATTTATTAAAAGATTTAAGTTTATTTTATTCAGGGAATTCATAAAGAAAGCGCATGTATACGTCTAAATAAGTATATTTCTCATAATTGTTCAATACTATTTACAAAAATAAATATCACAGATAATTAACACATCAATTCTCTATCTTGAATCACATTAAAGATTATCTTTATTTAAGTAACTTAAACTTCAAAGAAACTATTATTTTCGTCTATATTAATATTAGTTTAAGCCTGGTCATTGAAAACTTTGAAAAGATATTTATGTAATTTTTTGGACAAAAACAGACGATGGATGAGAGAAAAATACTGTCCAGGGAACTTTTTCAATACAACGAATTATAGATATTAGGAAAAAAATGTTTAAATTTGGCCTGCAACACGATGAAGACTGTGCCTAATAAAGGTAGTTAAGATATAAAATTATTACTGGATAAGACATTAAAGACATGAAGCTCTTGGTGCCGACCGCTGAAGAGAATCCAGTCTGCTAAAGAAAAAATTTCATATCACTAGAAATTTTGATAGTATACATGCAAACAATGAAGGAAGTAATGAAAGTTAAATAGTTAAAATGTAAGCAGAACAAAGGACGATGTTAAACATGTCTCTAAAGACAATACGTGTCGCAGTCTTGTAGCTATGAAAACTTGAATATTGATGTTGTGCATTTTTTATATTTTGCAATGGTTAGCGAATAATTTTGCATCACACATTTAATTTAGTAATAAATAATATAATCCATTAATCGCGCTATAAACAAACATAACAATTTAGATTTTCCACTCTCCTTTTGTGTTTTGACGTGTGTTCATAAATTTATACCCACTACAAAAAGCACAACATCGCTAGAGAAGTTTTCACTTAAATAATAAAATCAGATTAATATTATATTAACAGCGCTGAACAAAGTTAAACATTTTGGCAAATCAAAATTTAAGCATGGTGCTAGGTGAAAAGTAAAATTAAATAGTTCATAGTATTAAAACGTTAGTTTTTGGCTTGCAACGTTCTGCAGAGTGGGCATTGCATACCCTCTCATTTGTTATAACAGAATACAATAATTGACTTAAATATATAACAACGAACAACGATAATTTTTACTGTTAGATATGGGGGTTACATAAATAACAAGCAACTCAAAAAATGTTAAATATTAAAGTAACATTTCATCGGTCATAAATATAGATAACCACCTCATCCGACAGTACTGTTTCGGTAGAGTTGTCAAAATAATCTAAAGTAGAAAATTTTTCATAATTCTCTGTAGTGTTTTCATCATTACTATTCAAAACAGTGGAGCCTTGTACATTATTTTCAGTTGTAAAGTCTTGTGATGTTATATTTGTGAATAGGAGATATTCATTATTTAAGATCCTTTTAAATTCGGATTTCTCCAAAAGATCGTAGTCCCCAGTTGTTGAAGTGTCTTCAATGGAGGTAGTATTTTCGACTTCGAAAACACTGGGATACTTTGTTGTGATATCGTTTGTACTTGGATAGCGTGTTGTGACTTCAGTAGAAAGAGAAAATTCAAAAATTTCTTCAGTATTTACCTCAGTAGTACTGTCTTTATTAAAAGCGAATTCTGTTGTAGTATCTGTATTTTGAGTTGTCAATTTACTCTCCGTTACCGTACTGGTTTGTATGTCTAACTCACTTTGATCGAATTCATCTTGTTTACTGACATCGGAAGTTGTATTTATAAGTTTATCAAAAATGAAGCTATCATTTAAATGATTTAATTTAATTGTTTGATTTTTGTCTTCATCATTTATTACACTTTGATTATCTGATGAATTATCAAAATCACTACCAGGTGATAGAGTTACGTTAGTCATTACATCATTTTCATCGTCACTATTATAATTATTTTGTAGCTTTTGTACATTTTTAGTGTACTTTGCAATATAAGGTCCTAAAGTACTTTCTACGTAGTCTTTTAGTTTATGGCATTTCTCTATTGAATTCACATCATTAGAACTTCCCCATATGATTAATCCAGAAGCGTTTGACTTGTATAGAGATTGAAGAGCGATGGATAAGTCTCCCTGTAAATGATTAAAAATAAAAAGTCATATATGAGGTAAGACAGCGATGAGATACAATCTATATTAACTTTTAAGTTATAACGAAACTCGTAATTTAGCGGTACGTGTTGTAATAGTACATTATGATATAAGTGCGGTAAGTTGAAAATTACAGCCGCGGCGATATTACTATAAGAAAGCAGAGGCTGTAATTTTCAAAGCGCACATATGTCATATGACTTTTTATAACATATTTACGAAGAAATTAATAAAACTCCTTAGTTAAACGAACATGACGACATTTTCAAATGAAAACAATACAGCGAAAAGAAAAAGCGCGCGGATTTTTTTTTACTTGTCCACAAATAAGCGATGCGCGCGCATCAACGTTACTTTTTAGGCAAAGGTACAAAAACAGCCAGTATTACTAATGAAGTAAATTAATATTTTTGTTACAGATAAATGGTTGTAATTTATTGTAAAAATTAATTGAATTAAAGGTGTATTTGTTATATTTTATTTCCCAAAGTTAATTTTATTCATAAAATATTCTTTCTTGAGATAAAACCTCTTTGCTAAGATTTTTAAAAGTATCGTTCATTTTTAGACGGAGTATCTTAAAACTCTATTTAACAAAAACACGTGCCTTTTACATTACATTATCGCACAAGTACGTAATGAGATACATTACGATATTTAAATTGGTGTAATTACAACCACTTTACGAGCAAATATGTTATAAATATAAATTACCTCTTTCAAAAATCCACCATCTCTATATTTGTACCAGAAGTATGGCAATATTGGTGTACCACGACTCTTTAGACGCGATGCTTCTCTCAATCTACCTCGAATAAGTTCGGACAGTTCTGATGACGAGAGATCTTGGGAACTGTATACGGACGGATAAAGAGCAGAACTTTCCTCCCATAGCCAATAAGCCCTGAAAGTGAAAGTGTTAAAATAAAACATTTTACAACGTTATACATAGTGCACATAAAAACGGTAACTAATGCCTAAAGCGCCTATTTCTTTTAGCACAATTTTATAAACTATTAAAGAAAATATTGAAGTGGCAAATGAATAGTGGTAAAATATTGCACTATTCTATTAATTTTATGAATACTAATTGGACTTAAGCTTATATGTTTATGAGGTCAACTTACTCATCGTTCTCCAACTTAACTTTTTTCGGGCAATCTTCAGCCTTATTATTAGAGGCCATATTGAAACAATATGGGAACCCATAGTACCCCCAAAGAGCTTTCGGCCTCATCTGTTTTCCGATTGATATCGTTGTCTGCATGAAAGTACGGGCGGAATCTTCGAAACGTTGTTTCGCCTGAAAGCATTATTTATTTATTTATTATTCCTTTATTATTTATAAAACACACCACAGAAAATACATATTATTTTCATATATTATATAAAAATTAATTATTTTATGATAACGTAGCAAAGTCTAGTAATATAAAATAAGAAATGAAGGCAGGCTTTTTTATCAGTATAGGCACAGACCTAAACTACAGAGTTTACGCCAGTTGGTGATATAAAATAGAACACTTTTAACGGGGATCCCCCCTGCTCCCAAGCCGATAGAGTCTGGTTGTCAGGTTAACAGACTGGCTTGTCGGTGAAATGGTTAAAATAGGTCGTTGGTTCGATCCCCACCGGGTTCAACGTGTTTTCAATCAATATATATTTTTTCTAAAACACGTTGGAAATCTGGATGTGTTAAATGGGTGATAAGAATATCGAAATTCCGTCCGGGTCACGAACCACAGTTCGTACAGATAAAAAAGCAGTAAAGGTTAATCGTGTTTTGGTTTCAGCCAATGGATTTCCTAATAGCTAAAGCAAAAATAGATCGATAGCGCATCTTGTTGTTAGGTATATGAGTTATTTCACACTGTCTATAGTTTATGCGAGTAGTACACATTTAAATAAAACACTTTAACGGTTTAAAACGCGATATATTAGTTACACTTATTTGAAAATGATTTTTAACTGCATCCCAATAAACAGCGTACCGGCAAACGCCGAAGACACGGTTAGTCCATTCTATAAGGACCCGGCCAGTTTCGCCAAATACCAACTTCGACGGAACAGATGGCGCTAGCGTAGCAATGTTTTACTTTGACGTCAGAGACATCCTCCATTTTGAGTCTCCTCGTGAGGAGCAGCCTCACGAGGAAAGCATCCGAAACGTCGGACCGAAGTTAAAAATCATTTTCAAATAAACTTAACTAATATCGCGCGTTTTAAACCGTTAAAGTGTTTTATTTAAATGAGTTATTTAATTTACCATCAAGTGATTCGCATTCTATCCTCCTCTATTACGAACAAAAAAAAATAGGGTTAGGACATAATATAAGCTTTATAATTAATTAAAGATTCCTTAATTTAGCCTAAAGACAAGAACAATCCAATATTTTTCAAGACCTGAGAGAGATCAAACATAACCTCAGTTATGCACATAGATCTGATTATATTAAATGTAATAAACGATTCATCTGAAGATTTGTATCAATCATTACTGCAATAATAATCAAAACGCATTCCGGCATTCGTCCCAATTACGAACTATGTAGGTCGGGTTTCAGCACGCTATGTTGTAATCAACATGACGCTTAAGCCCTATTTAACTACGCTGTAATATATTACTATAAAAATATCGCTTTATCTTGTCTTTAATATTGTGAGTTTATGCAATTCTTAGGCTTTATTTTTAAAGCCACTGAAAAACGCGGAAGGTTCCAGGTTCTAAAACCGGGAGAACATAATTATTTCGGGCTATCAAGCCAGTCCAACAACAACAACTCGCTTGTAAATAAAGTTAAATATTAATGCCCCATGTAGAGCAACGGGACTAAGTGTGTCCACAATATATTCGATGCGCGATATAGCATAGTATTTATAGCGTAGTCTGAAGAGAGCCTTATTGAATTATGCAAGCTTTTAATTGTTATGGCACTTAGATTAAAATCTAGTACCGCATTTAAGTTTATTGTTGTGTTGATTTTCCTTCATTATTATAACACATGCATTACATTTCAAATAAACAAGAGAAAAACAATACAAATAAGATTTATTGTTTTCAACAGCTACACAGCAGTAAAAATTAAATTTTCTTATACTGACGTAAATATTTCAGAAGTTGCACTCACCTCAGCAGCTATCCAGGTTTTTGGCCACCACCAGTGCTGCTTGTATTCTATGTCATAGGAAACATTCTTATATGGTGTTAAAACACCAAAGTTCTGTCGGAAAATCGGGCGCCAGGATTCAAAATCGATTATTGCGACACCTGGAAAATTAAAAAAAAAATATGAGATCATTCCTTCATTTATGTCTTATGTTGTAAATTAATATACATTTATTGTATAGGAGACTAAAGAGCTTTGTTTAAATAGGTAGGTATATTCTTTTATTAATTAATTTTAATAGACTGTGTAAGGCTTTAAATAAAACACTTTAACGGTTTAAAATGCGATATATTAGTTAAACTTATTTGGAAATGATTTTTAACTTCGGCCCGACGTTTCGGTGTTTTGCAGCAGCCGTGGTCACGGGGAAACTAATATATCGCGCTTTAAACCGTTAAAGTGTTTTATTTAAATGTGTACTACTCGCGTAAACTATAGACAGTATTGTGTAAGGCTTTCGCGGCATCGTACAGCAATCACTGTTTTTCGACCGGGCAAGATATCCTAAACGCCTATATTGCAAACGTTTCAACTGTAAATGACCCAGAGTGTTTAAGAACTTAAGCTACATGTTGCTCTACTGCGGGTTGGCCGTACTTCAACGACATCACATAATTAGTGATGATAACAGGGACCGACAGCTACTCGTACTCCTCCGTAGCTCATTTGGATAGAGTCCTGCCCGCGTCGTTTTCAATTTATAGTCGATTTTTAACTTTAAGTAAATTTGTAACTTATTTTGAAGAAAATTATAACTGACATACTCGTGCTAATACAGTGGGCCGGTAAATGCCCTAATTAAAAGGTTTTATTACGTTTTTTTTCCGCCTAAACAAAACACTATGCCGGCTTGCCCGTTTTGGTAAACAAAATGTTATCTAATGCTTCTATGTGGGACGCTTAATCAAAAGTCAGTAGTATTCCGCGCTGGCTTTAACGATAATGGATGGGAAATGGACAAAAACGTGCCCTTGGCACGCCTGATCTAATTACTACTGATTTGTTCGCTCGCAATTCTAGCCAAGTTGGCACTGTTGACGTATCTGAGTACGTGATATTGGCTATACGTATGCTAACATTATAAAGCTGAAGAGTTTGTTTGGACGCGATAATTTCGGGAACTACTGAATTCGAGAATAGGATTTAGACTAAACAACATCGCCCTGCGATCAATAGGAGCGTAGAAACAGTGGGAATATTAAAAAAACGGGGAAATTTTTACACCTTTAGAGGGTGTCCCTAATGTCAAACTTTCGCGTTTAAATCCGTTAAAAGTGTTTTATTCAAATGTGTACTACGTTGTGTGTTTAAGAATTAACTTGTTAAGGTAAAATTTAATTACGTATCAACTTGTCATTAACGTGTGGGCGTTGTTATGATGTCACTTAATAAATCATTGTTGGACTTAAGTTGTTTGACCTTAATGTATGGTCAGCAAAAACGCCTTTCCTCAGGTGATTAATGGTGGTAAAATGTCTCGCCTTCCTAATAAACGCAGTCTCGTTTCTCCTAAGTGAGACGTGGATCAGTTATACGTATGTGTTTTATCACTTTTGTCAATTTTATTTACAGCATGAATTAGACATCTATAACGTGCAGGATCATAAATAATTTGTATGTTCATTTTTTACCGGGATTTCACAAACTTTTTTATATTAAAGGTTTAGACTATATAAATTAAAAATCGAAAATAAATTTAAAAATTTTTCGACTCGCACAGGACTTGAACCGGCATCGTCAGCGTTCCGTGCTGTTGCTCTACCAATTGAGCTGCCGATACCTACACCTCATCATCGAATTTTTTCAACTTATTGATATATGCACCACTCGCGCAGTGTAATTTCAACCTTATGCATATTAGTATCAATTTTATTTTCGATTTTAAAATTATTATATAGTTCCTTCAAGTGCAATAACATGTAAAAAATAATTAAGTTTTCAAAGGTTTAGACTAAATTAACGCTCATGTGATAGGTATTGAATAGATTTTAGCAGAGGGATGAAAAGGTATTAATTGAAAAGCCGTTTAAAAACTTAGTGTATAACCAGGTCAAGAGCACTTTAAGCTGTTGACTAGACTCTGAAAGTCTATTAAATAGAAATACCGAAATGCAAAAAAAGTTTCCCGTTGGTATTTAGGTCAGAAACGCCAACACAAGGGTATAGGATCGTTTTAACTTCATGAACATTACCTAAATTAATAATTTATTTTTGATTGAAAAAAAAAATGCGACATGGGCAGGGCTTGAACCGGTATCCACAGCGTTTTGTGCTGTTGCTGTAACCAATTGACCTATATATGCATCTCTCGCACAATGTAATTTCAACCTTAATCACTGAATTAATATACAATGTCTTGTGCTTTGCAGCTTAAGAATATTATTGAAAATGTAATTAGAGAGACATGTTTCATATTATGTTATTGCCCAGTCTTCCGTGCTGTTGTTACGGAACAGTGTGGATGCCGGTTCAAATCCTGCCCGTAATTTTTTTTTAATCCAAAATAATTGTTTAATTTAATGACCGATGTGAAAAATATAAAAGTTTTCAAAATAAAAATTACCGTTAAAATCCGCATCAGGTATACTCTGTTTAACTGAATTCTTGAACGCATCCAAGTGGCTATCGAGATTGCCCTCCTGCGGAACGCCGCCATTTCGAAATTTGAATTTCCCGCTCTTTTCATCTTTCAACAACGCGGGAAACAAACCGGGGTCGTACAAAATGGCGATGTTTTCGCCTAAAAACTTGTCATCTTTGTTTTGTATGATCCCGTATTTCTCATGGAGGTTGTCGAATGGTATTTTCTTCGATTTGCATTGCATCGTCGGCACGTTCCAGTATACTCGGAAGGGCTTTTTGTAGTCTCTGCCAACGTCTGGGACCTCGATGACGTAATAGTTGTTGCTGGAACAAGATAAAATCGATTTGCAACGGAACGTAATTTTATTTATTTTCTCTAATCTAAACAATGGGATTTACTCGCTTCTACTAAACAAAAGAATGTTATCTGAATTTTATGCCACACCCAGCAAACATTACTTAGGTATGTACTTGCATAGTTGCTATTTGTTTTAACCGGTGTAAGATTGTATCTAATTACTCATTGCAATTCAAGAGCTAAATTTGTACCGCACTACGATAAGTTTATCGTAGTTGATAGCAATAAAAAGTAAGAAAGTCACTTGAGAACTTTGTACCTATTGCTAACTCGATTTTGTACTTACTAAATTACTATTTATTAGTTATGTAGTTGTGTGTTGTCAAGGCATTAAGTACAGTTTTGGTCTATATATACGTATAAATATAAGTGTTTAGTGACTGTAAGAAACCTTAAATAAGAAGAAAATTTTTAATTGCGCATTGACGACAATTTCGACAAAAGGAATTAGAGGTTTAATATCATTTATTAAGGACGTAAAAAACTTATAATCTGTGGCATGACCTCTTTATTATAAACCGTTTATTAATACCAGTTTCAACCAGTGTGCTGGGACGCTGTCTCATTCATGTATCGGTATTACATACTCGGTATTATTACAACATCTCCTTGTAATACACATAAGGAAGCCCACTTTTTATTGGTTCAATTAAAATATTAAGGGGTTCCTCTGCTAATAACCGAAAAATCGACTTCTTAATATCCGTCTGCTTATAAATGCCTTATATTTTATAAAAAAAATCGCAATTAAGTCAACTATATATTACATATTTTCACCTAAAATAAAAAAAATATACGAGTTCTTCTAAAATGTTTCAAAATTATATTGACCTTTATGGCGTCACTGCTGTACGGAAGTTATAATTTTATCTCAATATCTCGTGAGATCTCGGAAATACAGACAAAGGAATAAGTCGTCGACTTTCATCTGCAGATACAAAGAGATATTGCGTATTAGATTATTGAAGCGTTCCGCCATCAGATTAAATTTTAAGAAAAAAAATATAACCTAACCTAATCCTAGCCATAAGCCTAAAAGAAGACATTAGGCGAATGTTGTAGGAAATAAAGACATTGCTTAACTTAGTTAACTTTTATCTTGTCAGTAAGTACTATACATTTATTGTATGTTTGTATTTCTCCTGTTAGTAGCGAGAAAAATACAAGCATTTTGTACTTCAAACCGAATAAAGTATATCGGCGACGAAAATAAACATGTCTTTAACGAGTTAGTAATATAATATTTGGCGCGCAAGCGAAATATTGAGGTGTTACGTGCGATTTGTTTGAGCAATCAATGTCACTAATGTTTTGATTAAATACTTCCTATTTTGCTTCTTATAATATTGGATTATTAGTTATTCGTATTATTAACACGAATCATAGTAGGAAAATGTTCAGTCAGTAATAATAAAAATAATTATTGTCATACATTTAACATATGATGGGCAAATTTCCTTGAAAAAAAAAAAACAAGAAATACTCATAACTCGAAAAATCCACAAAGTTTTTAACAATGTGAATAGTAAAATCCTTTTCGTTCTTGAGTCCGAGATGCCTTTCCAGGGATCAAACCCAGACCATTTCACCCAATGCGTTTCTCCATTACACCGCAAAGACAGAAAGGAAAAAAAATAAAAATAGACATTGTCAATCATGTGTTTGGCTCGTTAGTGTGTTTATTATTATATTTTTTAGAGCAATGACCTTTTGACGTTACATGTAGACTGTGCCCAGTGTAATAATTTTTCTAAATTAAAATTATTACTTACTTCACTTTTATTTTGATCCGAAGAATATGATTTGAATAGTCATTGTTATATCAAGAAAAACTAAAAATAAAATTAAACGTCCACAAGCCACAATCATAATTTAATCAAATATTTGCTCGCGTGTAATTTTAAATCATTTTAAATGTTACGATGTTTGCCTACGATTTAAATAAGTCAATATTCGAAATTACTAATAATAACTTTTGTGACTACACATAAGTTTATTTAAAGATCTTGTTTGAATATTGGCAAATACAGATTATATTGTTTGCAGAATTTTTATCTGCTTATATGAACTGTAGATTTTTATTACCTTACCTTTCATCGTCGCACCGGACCGCATATCTCGTCAAAACCAAAAACAATAAAAATCTCATATTGAACACATACAGACTTGTTTTGTCTTTGTCCTTTGCACCATAGTCTATGTTTATTAAAAAACAATACTAGCGTTTAATATTACTGGCTGGATATAAACTATTTAAATATTGTCCTTTAAATATACGAAATGTTTGTTTATCGTTAGATCGTTAATTTACGTATCTTATGTACGATATACGTTGACGATGAAAAGAAATGAAAGCTCGGAGTGTTGTTAAAACCGCGCGTATTATTTCCCGCCAATTTTGATGTGTCACTGTTGTATGGACGGTCGTTCACTAACCGCGCTTGCTCGCGACTCTTAACATGATAGAACACAACGATATTAAATACCAATTCATTCAGGTTTAGGGCCGATGACCAGAGTGCGCTGCATTCTTTGCGATAATATTTTTACTCTTTATTTTGTAATGGATTCACACACTGCTATAAAAACATCATAGACTAAATCAAGAAGTTAGTATCTGTGAACTGTGTATTTTTATACGCTGTCAATTATTGATGGCGAGTGATAATATGCTTTTAAAAATGTAATCTATTAAAGTTCCTAACGTCTCCTAACATCATAAAAGTAGGTGTTGGCAATACATATTTAAAATTCTTAAATAAACATTCCCCTCTTCAAAACACACATATAAAAAATCCTTGTGTTTTCTGCGACTGGTTAGCAATCCTTATTTTGAGAACTTATAGAAAATAATACATTGTTTACAAGAACTCAACGTGATAAGAATCGGATATTTAAATAAAAGCTTTGCGATTCTTTCAGTGAACATATTTGTACATGTTTGGAATATTATTGGCGGACAAAAATTTGGGAAATATTGTTTTGGGGGCTATTCTCGAAAAGGAGATATATGATATACGCTTACATTGATTGCACGATATTTTTCAGAGTACTTACTTAGAGTATATTGATGGAACATGAGACAATAATCTCATCAAAAATTGATGAGATTATTGTCTCATGTTCATATGTATATTATATATTTAAATATATCCACGACTGTACTCTACAAATATAATATTTTCATTACAAAACCTCATTTACTTAACAATAATAATAATTGCATAATAACGATACTGTTTGTTTGGAAAAGCACTTGATATATATCTTAGCCATCTACTTCTCTATCTCATCCATTACCTTCTCTCACGACTGTGATCATAGGAAATAAATAAATACTATTGTAGTAGTTGTATTATTAGTCTAGGTATATAGTTTAATTTAGAAGGAGCACAACTCTATTTATTATAAAAAAAAAAACAATAGTAAAATGAACGTCCAATTATATTTTATTTCTTTCCTTACCTAAGGGATCGGATTTTTTGACGATTGTGTAATTTTTGTATTTCCCGACTGCTATATCTTGACTTTATTATATACTATGTATTAAAATGATCACAGTACTTTGATCAAATAGTCATCTAAAAAAGAGGCTATGATAAAAACACTTTAGTTTATGAAATAGCAGTATCAACATACAATCATTATAATTTATCAAGTTTTTTTATAACATTTAAGTATTAAATATTTCAAAGCTACATATATTGTCTGTTCCATCGGAGTTGGTATTTGGCATTTGAAACGACGGAACTAATGTCCCCCCATGACCCCGGCTGCTGAAAAGCATCCGAAACGTCAGGCCGTAGCTAAAATAATTTTCAATTAAGTTTAACCAATATACTATTTTTAAGTTAAAGTGTTTTATATAAATACATATATTGTATCTGTATTACTACCGAGACATACAATATGAATATAGATTTAACATATATTTCTATAAACAACTCTTCTTGACAGCAGAATAATAAAGAAATGTCTCCTTCTGAGAATCCGTTAAATTTCCCTAGTTGATAGACCGGATAAAGTCGTAAATCGGTCGTAAATGATTAAAGAAATGTGTCAGACATTTAGGTGTCGCTATTATAGATAACCTAGTTATTAATGAGCTGCTTGAGAGATAGTTCTAGCGAACTCGAAGGTAGTGCAATGAAGGTAATTGGAACGAAGTGAGTCAATTTTCGTATACAGTAAGTTTATAAAAAAGAAAGAAGAAGAAGAAAGAGTAACACTAAGCACAATTAGGGCGGAGCAACATCATATCGTTTTGTTAAACAGTGTCGGTAGCTTACGCGGGTAGTACATATTTAAAGAAGACAATTTACGGTAACGAAATTAACAATATACATACCCACCCAAAAAATTTGACTATTTTGGAAATTGACTTAATATGCGTATCACATGAAACGGCTACTAGTAAAACACGATGATTATGTTAAATTTAAAAAATAAAAAAAATAAAACCGTTTAACTTAAAAGGTTTTTTAAGATACTTGTTTAAAAAAAAAAAAAAATTAAAATTTTTTTCCCAATCCCTAAAGGAGGTGGGTTGTTAAAAGATTAACTTTTATTAAACCTATCTCTACTTGTATTAAATATCATCTAAAACCCATTCGATCAATCGAATCAATTCTTCCGACGTCTTGCTTAATGAAATATGATTAACACCAATTATAACACAAAAACTTCCATAAACCCAAAGAAAACATCTATTGGTTTTATCACCGATCTTTTCTTAACGTAACCAATCGGCCGACAGAATACTTAGAGAAGACAGAAAAAAGAATCACGGGACAACAATTATATATATATTACTTTTTTTAATATACGAGTAGTCAGGTGGGTTTATTGCATTTCAGACTGTTTTTTTTCTGCAAATCGAACTTTTGACCTATGCTTGACGCAGTTTTTATTAACTGAGATATATAATAAAACTGCGCATTGATATTTATAATTTTCATGCGCTAACGCATGATACTAGACTTGAGCTTGATTTTGACAACATATTCTCACTAGTTTCAATCATCAAAAACATTATTCCAAAACTAGCTTTGTTTTTGTCATTATTGTGCATCCAAATTTGTTTTTGCAAACCTCCTCATCATCTTGCAAGTTATTCTTAAAATTGTTTTTTTCATCTCTCAAATCATTTAAAGAGGATGAATATTTTTTGCTTATCTTGAACCGCTTTCAGTTTTGTATCAGAAAACCGGATAATTTTCCACATCTTGTTAACATTTTCCGCTGTTTTTTCGCTCCTATTCGTCGCAGCGCGATGTTTTATAGCCTAAAGCCTTCCTCGATAAATGCTCTAACCAACACAAAAATATTCAATTCGCACCAGTAGTTGCTGAGACTTGCGTGTTCAAACAAACGAACTCTTCAGCTTTATATATTAGTATAGAATCTGTTTCAACGATGAGAGTACGTACTTGAACTACGTGGCCATTTAAATTGTTACGTAAGTAATTACACTTCATGAGTAATTATTCCATCAATGACGGTCAATTAGAACGCATCAGCTATTTTCAGGACGACTACAAGTAAACAACAACACGTCATAACCTTATAAGGCGCTTACACATCCGTGACCGTGAGTCATTAATTTTTATTTGGTATTACTGTAGTAAGCTGAAATGGGGAATTTCTGCGTAGATCATTTTAACGTTGTATGTTTTTTTTTCAAACATAATTTTTTTTTGATAAAATTTCTCCATTTACAGAACGTTTCATTTAAGGATATATCTATAAGGGTAAGTAAGGTATATAAAAGTTATATTTCCCTAAATAATCTAGACCTACTATTTGAAGGTATTTCAAATTAGAAAATTAAACGATACATTTAATTATAATTTTAAAGTATGACTTACGTTATTATTACAAGTCTATTAATGGCTTCAAAATGGGATTTACTAATACATGGTTTTATTTAGTTTTAAGTAGTAATACACCATATTAAAAGGCGTTGACATTTTATATTGTTCTATGCATAAATAATAAAAGTAAGGTACAATTTTATTTACGACTTGGATAAAATTATCTCTTCACATACCTATTCTTACCCCAGCAACTCCTTTCCCATTGTTTGTAAAAACGTTTGTTTGTATATAATTTAGTTATTTTCAGTTACAAAATATTATCTTGTTTGAAAAGTTGCAACACGTTATCATGAGATTTCAAATTCCAATGTATACTGTTGTTTATCTTGTTTCGTAAAGAGAACAATAAAAGAATTCATATGTTGCATAGTTGGGAATCTATACATACCTACAGGTTTCTCTTAAAGAAAAGAAGATCATTGACAATATGTAACTACTTTTAGTTTTGGGCGTCTAAATTTGTTTTAGCAAAACTCCTCTTCATCTTTATAAATTTAAACTGTTACCCACGACGTCGGCTGCGACCCGTTGTTCGGGTCCCGTCGTTCTTGCAATTTGATCTTTGATAGACTATAGTGTCCCGGACATTTTTTAGATTATTTGAAGAGGAATCATTCTTTCATATCATTTTTTCCAGCTAACGTGTCGGGAACCCGTATAGATGAATAATTTTCCCCGATTTTGTACATTTTCCACTATTTCTTCGCAGGAGCGAAAACATTACACTGTAATTAACAGGACTTAATTACAGTGCAATGTTTTAGGGCCTATAGACTTCCTCGATAGTTGTTCTACTCAACACTAAAATCTTTTTTCAATTTAAACCAGTAGATTCTGAGATTAGCCCGTTCAAACATACAAACAAACTCTTCAGTACTTCAAACTATCTATTAAATAGATATGTAAAATACTGTATATAATGTATGTATAACCAGCAAGATAAGTAAAACAAAACGATGGTGTGATACATTTGTTTTGTTTTGTCTTTGATGGGAAATATTATTTTTCTTTCTTTCATAACCCCTATGCCGTAAAGAGCATGTTGAGCCCTTGCTAACGGTTACCATCGCTAAAGTACTGGTTGTAGTCGTTCTGCGATGGTGGCATTACATCGAAATAAATTTATACTTTAGTGGCTACCTACCTGGTACCTACTCCTACATAAACGATAGTATTTTACGTCCTTAGATAGAGGAAGTAGTCAATTTCATGCATTTTAAAAACTTCACATAGAAATCAGTAGAAGTTAATAATAAGATTATTGTAGGCCACGTATATTTTTGACATCTCGTTCTAAGATTAGAATAAAAAACAATATCACCAATAAAAAAATATATCACAATAAAATATCGAATATGAAATGCAAATGCACAATTCAGACGTACCAAAATACCAGGGAATAAGTTCCCGAAAATCTACTGTCCTATGTTATTTCCATCCCTGTCCTGGAGAAATCTCCTATAATTCCAACCATAGCTTCTTTGAGTGCCACTTCTACTAATAGTGGGGGATAGAGAACCCTTCGACAAAAGAGAGTCATATTGCAAGGATTGAGACATAGAATCTGGAGATAGGTCGGTTTTAATATCGTCTTCTAGTTCCTTTAGTGTGCTTGCACTGCATAGTGGCGTTTCTACTTGTTCTACTGTATCAAGATTGTCTGTATCTATCATGTACGCTTCTTCTTTCTTGGAATACCTGAAAAAAAATATTTGAGAGCGCTTTTTTATGTCCGTTTATCTTATCCGTTTTAAAAGGTGAGTAGCTGTTGGCCTTAGGTGCTGCTCATGGAATAGGTTTTTTAATGTAGTGTCTATGTCATTTGATATGCGCTTACATATGAATATTCTAAATCAAGACTAGAAACTGAAAAAAAATGTCTTCTGCTCAACCTAAACTACTTTTTTAATGTAGAACCGCATTTAAATAAAACACTTTAAAAATTCAAAACACGATATAGATTTATTTGTTAAACTTATTTGAAAATTATTTTATTTACGGCGTCTGTTTCGTCTCCCCGTGACCACGGGCAAAGCTGCAAAGCATCCGAAACGTCGCGCGGCAGTTAAAATATTTTCTAAAAGTTTTACTAATATAAACCGCGCTTAACCGCATTTTAAACCGTTAAAGTGTTTTATTTAAATGTGTACTACTCACGCAAACAACAGCCAGTATTTAATATACAGCATTACAACTTTCTTACCTAACAACATTCTTGAATCTGTATCCCCAAATTATTTCTTTAGATAGGTATGAGGATCTGCTCTGAGTACACGTCCCCATGCTTTTGGATGAACCAGTAAGACACACCACTATTTCGAACCTGTAATCAACATACATACATATATTAATAACTTTATCTGTTTAGATAATTAAATAATAAATAATAATAATCCTAATATACTCTGTCTTAACATTTTATAATTTCATGACAGTGGAGAACAGACAAGCTTCGTCCACTTAATACCCTTATTATCCACTGAAGATCCGCTGCCTGAAGACCTATTTTGGCTTTTTACATTCGGAAATCAACAGACTGAAACCTAAAATCCTGGTATCGATGTTCCTACCACTTAAGGTTTGGATTTCGGCTTATAACATATTCTTAAAACATTATAAGTCGATTTAAGCCATGTTGGCTAATTTGGTTTTCAATCATACATTGTAACCATCCTATTTGGTAATATGGTTTTTTCTATCTTAAACACATATGATACATATTCTAGGTTTACCTGTAATCCATCATATCCTGGGCAGATAGATCATACAGGGGACTTTCAGAGTCAATAATATGAACCACTGTGATTGGCCACAATAGGAATGAATGAGCTTCCTTCAGTTTCATCTGATGTATGTAGTTGCTCATGTATTCTCCTTCTACAGTTCTGAAAACAAGTAGAATTGTAATTTATTATTTAGTACTAAGAAATTAGGGATTATTGGTACATTTTATTAATTAGTTTGGACAATCGACTTCATTTAGTTACTATCTAGTCTCGGCGTAAAGATTGGGTGGATCTAGTTCATAAACAGTAGTAAAATATGTGAATACTGTCTGTAGCTTACGCGAGTAGTACACATTTAAATGAAACACTTTAACGATTTAAAACGCAATATATATTAGTTTCGGATGTTTCGGATGCTTTGCAGCAGCTCCGGGACGAAGTTAATAATTTTCAAATAAGTTTAACTAATGTCTATATCGCGTTTTAAACCGTTAAAGTGTTTTATTTAAAAGTAAAACATGTATTACCTGATAGGTTTTAGTAGATAGGCTGTGATGCTGCTTCCAACCAAATGTAGGTTCAGCAAGTCCCATACACGAAATTGAAGACATAATTTTCCGTCTCGAAGACATACCTGGAAAAAAATAATTTTAAAACGATTAATATGTTATACTAAGGTAATGAGATAAGCGTAAGTAAAAATCTAATATGTCTACTAACCGTAGCCTTCTTGCTAAAACCTACAGAGCAAACGTGCTTATTTGGTCGTATCAATTTTGTAAATAATAAACTCGTAAGACCACCGGACAGAGCTGTACCGGCCACTATCTGAAATGGTAAAAATCTCCTTAAAGACACAAAACATTTTTACTATAAAAAGACAAAACGAAAACCATGTTGTTGATAAATTTTAGAATTTTTTTTTTCAACTAACACTTTTATTATACTTCAGTTGTACGTACATAACTGACTTTTGGGGTTCCGCACTTTTCACGATTGTGATATTCACATTCGTGATTTTGCCCCTACGGAACCACACGTCGGCAGATCTATCTCGCACTTCGCCTATTTTGTAAGTGAAACGTTACATAAATACTCTACCTCCAAGACCATAACTATGATGGCTTCGGGACATTCTTCATTGGGATACCGAACGCCATATCCAATCGTCATCTGAAACGTTTAAAAACATCTTAAGATACCTCACGCACATTATGAAAGACAATGCCATTGAATTTAAATAAAACAGTTTAAAACGCGATATAAGCCGTGACCATGGCTGCTGCAAAGCGTCCGAAACGTCGGGCCGAAGTAAAAAAATCATTTTTAAATGAGTTTAACTTATATATCGAATTTTAAACCCTTAAAGTGTTTTATTTAAATGTGTACTACTCGCGTAAACTATAGACATTATTTAACGCCATTGAAACAAAAGATACCTGAGTCTCTACAGCCATCATGAGTAACCCAGCGAAAGAAGACGTGCCCGTGACGCAGTGAGGTTTTCCATCTCCGATATCGTCCTGGTAGGATGATGAAACCACCCACCAGATGCTTGCGAAGAACAGCCAGAATGCAAAATGGGATACCACCATTAGTAACAACAAGTAACGCCATTTACTGTTTATCTGTAAAGTTCATTAAAATTTGAAGGAAGGAAAATAATTTTAGGAAAATAATTAATTCGACATTGTAGGTATGTTTGACATACATTTAAGTATGCTAATCTGTAATTGTATAAATTAAAACGATTTTGTTAGGAGAAACAGCTTTTCTGTGTCATGGTAAAACGCATTGCGCATGTGATAAGCACAAAAGTTCAGAATTTCTAGAATAATAATTAAATAAATAATTTCGGTTGGGTAGGGCACAGAAGTCCGATAAACTTTAAGTAAGTAAAATCGAGTAGAAAGAATATACATAAATTGTTCAACTATAAATTCCTATTTAAATAAAACACGTCTCCCCGTGACCAGGGCTGTTGCCAAGCATACAAAACGTCGGGCCATAAATAAGTTTCAAATAAGTTTAACTGATATATCGTCTCTTAAACCGTTAAAATATTATATTTAAATGTGTAGTAGTACAACGGTAAACTACACTAGTGTAGCCGCACACTAGGCGAACCGAAATTATCCGAACCGTCGGACCGTAGTTAAATTACATAAAAAATGAGTTAACTAGTATATTTCACGCTTTAAACAGTTAAAAGTGTTTTATTTAAATACACATATACACTATTTAAATGTTATACTTACTACAGTATTAACAATGTCCCTCATGTATTTGACTGATTTTGCCGGTATATTACTTCGGATAGGAACGTTTTCTTCTCCGCTCTTATATACCACTCTTCTAGAACGTATCTGTCTGCCAATTCCATGTTGTCGACTGCAGAAGTTTAATACGTGTTTAATTAAAAAAGAAGCTAATATTAAGTTTACATATTTTATTGTGTATATGTTTACTAAAAATACTTACGTACGTTTTTTTCCATCTCTTCTCCGTCTACTTGTATATGGTGTTGCATATCCATACGATGGTGGTATCTCATTATACGTGCTATCATTAATGGTATCCGCTGGTTCTATACTCTCATAGATATTATCTGGTGGACTCGAGCTAACTAGAGGTTGGGTGGATGCATCAGAGGTATGTCTTTTCTCTGATGATTTAGGACTTTCGGTTTCAACGTCAATAGTCATCACTAGGCCAGTATCCGTCTGTTCATCATCGCTGGATGGAGAATCAACATAGCCTCCTCCCTCGAAGCTGACTGGAATTTTGGCGTCAAAATTCGTGATGCATGGAAATGCGATCTCCTTGCCTAAAGAATTTATTACCATTACGATTGTCCAATACTCTTGACTATTACAAAATAAGTGCTAAAGCAAGCTTAGTTAATCTTCTTTTTATGCGATGTTAGACAAACAGTCATATCATCGCCTTTATTGATTGACAAATCTCATAAAACCTTACCTTCGACGTATGTTTGGGAAATCCTGTAGTGTTTCTTAATTTCTTCATTTGCGTAGACTTCTGTATGAGAAATCCTTGGTATTTCTATTGACGATCTTCCTGATACATTGCCGATTGCTTCTGAATAACTTAGGGATCTCTCTAGCGCCCTATTTTTACTACCTCTTCGTTCACTTTCATAGATATTGTTCGCCATATCACTTAATGAACCTTTATAAATGGACCATCTATTTAAATTATATTTTCTAAGAACACAATTAGTCTGTAAATCCGTAAACCACTCAATTACCACAACCATTATCTTTATGATTGATTTAGATAAGCTGGTACATTGACAAGACGTAAATTTCATTATTTTATATGTAGATTATTACTTTTTTGTTATTAAAACTTGAAATAACTTTACCACGTACCGCGTCGATTTTACATAGATTGTCTTTATTTTCGAATGTTCAAAGATGTGTTATCTCATGTCAAGATATGTCGCACCTTAAAAGATAAGGATATAAGATATAATATATCAATAACAGCCCTGGAATTTAGGTCGTGGTATTGTTTACTTTATTTAAATACAAATTTGTCATTTGAACTTCTACATATAGATTGTTTTTACAATCTTGTCCTCTGTTGGGGCAATTAAAAAATATGTGAAAATGATTCTATAGATTTTTTGCACAACATTTTAATATTTAAATGATTATTAGTAAAAATCTCAAATAGAATATTTATATGAAGTTGTTCACAGCTTCTTTTTCTTAAATGAAGAGGATCTCTTTAGATGAAAAGTGGATATCTTCTCGCTGAAGCTGCCTGGTGTACCTGGACGTTCTGCCTTTAGGCGTGATGAAGGGGTCAAACTAGAAAAAAATATTTAAGATGTTCTTAATCAGCCCTAATCTTAGCCCAGTGGGTAGTCTATAGATATATGTGTACATATTGTATTTATAAATTGCGCATCTGATTACTTAAAACTTCGAATAGTACTATACTATAAAGAAAAACTAAATAGATTGATTTTCCCACCCACCCTTGTCGTTTTTTTTTTTTTCATTTTTCAACCGTTATCATTATTTTCATTTCAGGTTACAGAATCAAGGAGATGGTCCCTCAATTGGTTAGAGCAGCAATGCGGAAGGCTGTGTATGCCAGTTCAAGACCCACCCGTGTCATATTTATGACACGGGTGGGTCTTGATTTGAGTTGGATTTTGATTCTAAATAGATCTTTCAGTTATATAATTATTTAATGTGAAAACAGTTCAGTTCAGGCAGTTTTCAAACTATATTTCATATATTCAATTCTAGATATATCAGGAAATCGATTTTAATATTAGATAGAAATTCGCCAGTTTAAACGAGTCCTACTTTAATTTTAAACCGAATTTCGGCCTACTGTTTATATTACCCACCTATCCAATTCGTAACTACTGCATAAGGGTGTGTCGACTTGCTCAATTGTGTCCAGTTTGTTATGTTCTATCACGTATTTTTGTTTCTTCGTATCATATCTGTAACAATTTTTGCATATTAAAATTTCATACTTAAGATCTATTACTTATATAGTAAAATTAAGTCTTAATAGTAATTTCTTTACTTGTTATTCTAGTTAGTTGTATTGTTACTACATTTTAAGAAAATTGGTTAACTTGTGTATGTGATCTTCTACAACTTATTAGTAAGATGTGATTACATAAATTGAAACTTTAATATTTTTCACATGTTATTGCACATGATGGCACTATATAAATTAAAAATCGATTATAAATTTATACGCAAGTGTTGAAATTATATTGCGCGAGAGGTTGAAAAAATTCGACGATGGCGTGTATGTCCTAAACGCCATCGATAGCTCAATTGGTTAGAGTAACGCACGGAAAGTTGTTGATACCGGTTTTAGTCCTGCCCGTGTCATATTTTTTTTCTATTTATAATCGACTTTTAATACGAATAAAACTCTTTTTACCTCACAACAGATGGGAATTTATATCCCCACATCACTTCACGAGGTAAATACGAACTCTGACTTTGCGTGAAGGTACCCATTGATGCAGAAGCGCCCTTCAAGCTAATTGTTATTTCATAACTGAAAAAATCATCCTATTATAAATTAAGAAAGCAGAGTACAATTGGGTGTATTCTATAGGGCTAGACTGAAATTTTTGTAGTTTTGTGGACTGTGTTAGATATGAAATAAAAACATCACAATCTAAACGGCTAGAAATACGAAATATATTGGTTGATTTAAATATGATTATGACCCGACATTACAGTGATTTACAGCAGCCGTAATCACCGGGGGACTGAAGCTAGTGCATTGATATTAGAGTCATGGTAGCTGTAAAGTATCTTGAAGGTTAAGTCAAGAGTTTGCCTTTAAACCGTTAAAGTGTTTAAACCTGTGAAATAATCATACTATTAGCATATACATATTATTAAAGTTAAAACTTTAATACTTAATTTTTTTTTCTTATTGCCTTACTACCTGTTTTCAGCAAAGTGTTTCGGTGTGTACTTATAAAGAGGACTGTCGGAGTCAATGACGTGAAGAAGTGTCACTGGCCACAAGAGGAACTGGCGCTGATGCAGCTTCAGAGATTCCGCGTAGTACCTGACGACCTCTCCTTCTTTCGTTCTGGGGATAACAAAGTAACTAGGTTTATTTCAAAGAACTCTTGTTTTTATGATCACAATTTTATAATCAAATATGTTTTTCTGGTATTTTAATAAACAACTACTTCATTTTATTATTTTAGTAGCGACTTAAATTTTGTTTATTAATCTGTAAATTAAATATGTACATCATAAGAATAATGTCTAATGTATTGTTTTATGTTACAACGCAACATATTATGTCGTAGTAAGAGGTTTGAATCCCGGGAACACGTACCTAATAGTTTTTATCTGAACAACTACGTGCCTGTAAATAGAAACGATACTGCTGCAGCAAAGCATCCAAAACGTCGGACCATTATTGGATTTAAAAAATAAGTTAACTAATATATTTCGACACTGTCAGTAATTTACGCGAGTAGTACACATTTAAATAAAACACTTTAATGGTTTAAAACCTTAGTCTTCCCGTAAGCACGGCTGCAGCAAAGCTTCCGAAACGTCGGGCCGTAGGTGAAATAATTTGTTAATAAGTTTGACCAATAATTCGGGGTTTATACCGTTAAAGCGTTTTATTTAAATGTGCTACTTACATAAACTACATACAATACAGAATTGATTAGTGCAAGAGGTATAGACTTCTGTACTGTAGCCCACATAGGGTAACGAAATGTGTGTGTGTGTGTGTATATAGTTTACCTTCGAGTGTGAATGTAGTGAGCAGTAAAGTCCGAGCAGATGATATGATCATAGTTCAGGTCCCAAACTCGAATCATCAAACATAAACGACCATCGCGCATACTGATCTACGAACATGCAAAACAAACAATGATTAACTTGTCTATATAACTAATTCAATTATTTTGTATCCTAAAAAACATGCGTGTTAAATACATTTATTCGGGTAGTAAAATATAAGAGGACCAAAAGAGGGAAAACCCGAAAAACGCAGCTCGTTGGTCTAATCATAATTGGTTAAAGGTGGGCTCGACCCGCAGTGTGTCAACTGGTTTCCAATATATATAAAGGGTCCCTCCACAGATAAAAAATCCGTGAAGTTTAATTCAGACCGAAACGTTTTCTGGATTTTCGAATATAAAACAAACTAGTTGGCAGCACCTTTCATTAAGTGTCACGGTCACTTGCCTGTTATACTCTATCATATAAAAGAAGATTATAATTAAAGTTGTATACTCTATCTTTGCAACAAATTAGCGGTAAGTCTTTATGAAGCTATTTCATGAGACTTCACCATACAAGCAAATGCGAGCAGTACTAATAAAAATTAATAAGAACTGTAATAAATAATTAGATGATATGTGTTTTAATATTACTATTCATACCACAGCCTTTTTACTGAAACCAACGCCATCTCTTGACAGTTTTTCCGGACGAGTTAGTTTAGCATACACCACGCAAGTTAGTACCCCAGAGAGTCCCGTGCCCAAAATAAGCTGTAAGTATTGAAATATATTTTTTTCAAAGAAAGATACATAATCATATGTTTGTTTATAAAAATTATTTGATCTTACTTACTTACTCTTTGTATGTTCTATCTTATTCGTAACGTAAATAATATATGTATATTTTTTTATTATATAGGTATATATAATATTATTCATCATATTACCTGCATTACAAATAGAAAAATAGACTCCGGACATTCTTCGTCAATTGCTCGATCTCCAAAACCGATAGTTGTCTAGGAATAAAAAAATACTTCATTTCAAGCGACGTCTTTGTTGTTCTGACTTAAAACTGACTGTTCTTTTGCAAATTATATTTACCTGCGCTTCAACGGAAGCCAAGAAAATAGTCACAAAATCCTTGCCACCAGTCACGCAGGGTCTCTGAGGTGGTTCCGGCTCGAAATCGTAATGAGCTAGCGCAGTGATGTACCAGAACACAGCGAAGACCAGCCAGATTGCAAAGTGCAAGCAAACTGTGCCCATCACTATCCATCGCCATCGGAGGTTAATCTGAAATATTAGATTACCAACATTACCTAAAAGACTCATAGTATGTTTTAATTGCTTACTCGCCTAGAAGCTGTCACGGTTTCAAAGGTCCAAAGCCGTCAGTACCCAGTAAGCCAAGCTAAGTGTTTTTTTTCTACAAGAATACAACTTACCAGAGTATGAAAAGTATCATTCAGTAAACGTATCTTCTCAAAAGGAACGTTGGAAATCAAAGCGACATTTTCCATTCCATTCTTAGAGACTAGCCGCTTTGGGAATTCACATTGCCGTCTGTTACGCAGAGATGGCGCTGTTCTAAAATAAATATTCGTTTCCTCCTTTACAAAATACACATAACGATGAGGTTCGTTTTCTATTGTTTTCTAAAGGGCAAAAAATTAAATACATAAGGACAACACAGTAATATACTATTGTATAACTATGTAGTCTCTATTGTTTGTACGCAGCACGACGATCTATAGTTATATTGTATAGTTAATTATTAATGAGTTTTATTTAGATATTTTTTTAAAACAACAAATAAGACTTAAGATAATAACTCATAACTCAGACTAAGTTATAAGTTTGCTTCCTCCGATTTTAAAAGATAATAGAGGTATACTACATGACGCTATATATAAGACGTGTATCCACGTGTACTTACCATTGTATCTATAAGCTATAGATACAACGGTAAGTATACGTACTTTTGTCACTTTTAATCACTTAAGACACCTCACAAGTAAGAAGTCGTGATAACAGTATTTAGTTTACTTCATCATCAACTAAATATTGCACGCTAAGATAAGATATTATAAGGACATTTTTATGCATAGGATACACATAGTATGACGACACTACCTGCAAGAAATATTTATTAGTGATATTTTTATAATTAAAATAACGAATTTCGTTATAGAAGAGGACAGACCACTCATTTGATGATTAAATAACGGTGTGGAACTAATTTGAATTTGGACTTTCGAAAATCCACAGACTGAAATCGAGACGCAGCGTTAAACTCTTTAAATTTTCATTATAATAATCGGCATCAAATAATTTACAATCATGTTGGAACATGTAGGAAGGTAGGAAATTTGTATATGCAATCAATCTAATAAAAATCGTTTAATTACCAAACTAATATTTTTTATGTACCCACATTACCGCAAAGACAGTTTAAAAATATTCACACTAACTTTTTTGGTAGCGATTTCTCGAAATTGTTATTAATTGGCACAAAATGCCTTTCTTCTTCCTGTTTCTCTAAACTAGAATTGCTTTGCGTTATTATTATCTTCGGTAATTGCTTTGACAGGCGACGCAATCTTTCCGATTTTGTTTCACCCGGTAACGAATTTAAGCTTTCATTGGATTTCAACTCGTTAATAACTTTATAACATATTTTATGGTTTTCGCTGATTTTATGACTATTAATATCTTTCTTGTAAAATTCTTCACCATTCTCTTTATCACTATAGCCTGTCTCAACCTTTTCTTTTCTTTCAACTTCATATTTTCTTTCGTTTATACTCTCGTAATCAGCGTCATCTGCTTCACTTTCATTAAAATCGCTGTAACACTTCAAATACTCCAAACATTCATGGTATATGTGATTTATTTTTTCAAATTCAATATCTCTTAAATGTTGTTCTTCCATTTTTATAATCTGTGTACTTACATGAACTTTTACATTATATTACTTCTCTTGACCATGTAATCTTTTTTTGATTTTATTTCCAGATTTCTCGAAGTCTTCCAGAGTCTGTGAATAAATATATTATTTTTGTCTCTTTCCTGTAGTAGCTCATATATTCTCTTCCGCTTAGGTACTTTCACTGAAACGTATTAAACCTTTTTTCCAGTTTTCACAGCAATGTCACTAACATCCAGTCAGATTGTTATCTACACGTTATCAGTTCTAATTGCGCGCTGAGACACATCACTGAATGATGTGCGACCTTGTCCAAGGGGGGTTATTCTACTAACGTTCTCTTACGATATGTATCTTTTAAATAAATATGTTCTCTAAAAAGGTATAAAACATTTTAATTTGCATGTGGAATATAACAATAAGCGTGAGATGTACAATAAACAATATAAGACCACTAAACTGATTTTTATAGGGTCACGTTTTATATGGCGCTTTCCATCTTAAGTTTAATCACCTATACGTGAATACTGTCTATAGTTTACGCGAGTAGTACACATTTAAATAAAGCACTTTAACAGTTTAAAACGCGATATATTAGATAAACTTATTTGAAAATGATTTTTAACTTCGGCCCGACGTTTCAGAAGCTTTGCAGCAGTCAGTCTCCCCGTGACCACGGCTACTCCAAAGCATCCGAAATGTCGGGCCGAAGTTGAAAATAATTTTTAAATAAGTTTAACTAATATATCGCGTTTTAAACCGTTAAAGTGTTTTATTTAAACCTATACGTGTCCAAGGTAAGATATTTCGTTTCTAAAACTTCATATGAATAAAAATTTAGTTGCAACATCAAGGTTAAGGGCAAGGCATAAGCCTGTGGCGATTCTTCTATTTGTGATTTGATTTATTTCTGGCTTAAAACATGAGTAAAATACGTATGTCATTTAGACTTGCTTGAGAATAACCTATTGTCTTTCCACGTTCGCCATGGCATTGCTTTGTTTAGTTATTTGTATGCTTATATGCTGTTATTAAGTTAAATGTACTACATACGTAAAATGTATGCACGATTATAAAAGATGGTTTTTTGTACAGGATTATTAACGTCAAAATAACTTATGGGTTATCTTGAACCGTTTTAGCAACGCATGGAAGGGCAACCCTTATAGATACATTTTTATTGCCCATTTTTTTCTATATTTCCTGTTTCTTTGCTCCTCTTGGTAGCAGGGCGATGTTTATTGCTCTAACTAATTAAAGCTCTAACCAACATAAAAAGACTTTTTCAATTCGAACGAGCACTTCCTGAGATTAGCGCGTTTATACAAACAAACTCTTCAGCTTTATAATATTGTTACGTATAGATCATTTAAGTTAAATTTAAATAGAAATTTGTTTAATTAATTGTGTTAATTCTGGTATAGGAACGAAGAAGAGTTCCTATCGATGTCAAAATTTTCACTTTTTAATAAGAATTACATATAGCAACCCTCTTACGAATCGTATTCTTATAGGAGGCATATGTGTTGATAAGTCCACGAAGAGTTAACCTCGTTGCTAATCTTATTACTATTTTCCTGTGCGTAGACGCAGTCGTAACGGACGGCAACTCAATGTGGTATATGAGTCATATTGTCTTTCTTCTACGAAATGTACAGTCAACTGTATAGTCAAGCTATTATGTATGGACTCTTAAATGAGTTACATGTATTGGATAAAATAAAAGTGCTCTAACACGAACATAACATTTATATTTTTATGAAATTTAGTTGACATTCATATTAAGTAGTATTTAGTAAGGTATCTAGTATATTAAAGTTCTTTATCTATATCCAAGAAAACATAGTTATAATCTAAATAGGATATCTATGTTATATAATTCTAACACGTATGCATTTGCAATTCTATTAAAATTACATTTCAACATGAAATATTTAAATGTAAATATTTTTAAATACAATGTAGTGTAGATATGTTTTATGTAAATCGCGTTTATTATTATTATATTTGTACTCAAATACAATAATTATAATGCATAGAATACAACGAACTTTCGTAGAGACTTTTTAATGTTCTATTATAATTTATATCCTTTTTTTTCTATTACAAATGTCACAACCATATATATTTACATTTTTGGGGCGATCTAAACAGAGATGTATGTTCTAAATAGGATTATTAATTTACATAATACATACAGTTACACAAGTAAGTTACGAAAATTAATGTAAAAAATCAAAATAAAACAACAAAAATATAAAAATACAACCTTTTATTACTATAAGCAACAGAAATTTTAATGTTTATATGACAATAACGTTAATATAGGTATCGTGTTAAAATATAAAGGAAAAACAAAAAAAAAATGTTCTAAATAAAAATCGTTGCCAAGACAGCATGGCCAGTACAAGTTAATTTTGAACGTAATAACGTAACGTAGTAATAACGTGTTTATTTTAAGAAGTAATTACATGTTGATCTAGAATTATAATTTAGAGATGGCTCAATTTCTTATAAGGCTGAAAAAGCTGAGTCAAAAAAATATTTTGCATTCTAGCTTTGATATAAAAAATAATTGCATTTTACTATGTGTGCGAAAATATAATGTTTCATTAAATTAAATAATGTGTGTAACAAAATCTATATAATTATGACGTAAATATTAATGGTAAATAAAGTAAGTCCATGTACTTTGGGGGGTCTTATTTGACCATAGCAAAAAAATTTTCGCCTTGTCTCGGACATTTAGCAAAATTCGTATGGCAAACTCGGTTCTCATCACATCTGGTGCGTTAAAGCAAGAGTCAGTAATTTACTAAATTTTGCCTAAATTTCAAAGCAATCAAAGCGTCAAATATGACCCCTCCCCTACAGATAATCTATGGTAACAAAAATGAATTTTATATAGTTAAATATTAGAGGTTTGTATATTTAACAGTTAAAAATATTTCAATTTTGGACCTGTTATTCAGAAACATGGAAAGTGGGGAACATGAGACCTAGAACCCACACCGTTAGGTTAGACAAACCGTAGAGCACATTTTGATTCATTAAACTCTTATTGAAAATATATTAAATGCCTAGAAGAAGAGACAGTATCTGCAGAATTCTCGTGGATTCATTGATAATGATTTTTAATATGAAACAATATAAAAATGATACTAAGTAAATAACAGGCCCGAAATTATTTTTACTTAAATAATATGCTTAAATTATTTAGAGTATACTTTAAATATTTAATTTGTAAATCCTTACACATTGTAAATATCACGTGGACTGATGGCACCTGATTGGTATCTGTTGAAATTGTAAGTATAATATATTAATAAACTGAAATTAGGAGACCATCTGAATTCCTATTCCCAAGATTACAGCTTGTATCCCGAACTTAAAGGTTATTGACTTAATACTGTCTGTAGTGGACGCGAGTAGTACACATTTAAATAAAACACTTTAACGGTTTAAAACGCGATATATATGCGTTTGACTTATTTGGAAATGATTTTACTACAGCTCGACGTTTTGGACGTGCGTCCAAACCGTCGGGCTGTAGTTATACCGTTAAAGGGTTTATATGTAATTGTAAACTTAGCTTGCACTTAGAATACATACTAAGTATGAAAATTGTCATTGCGACTTTCTATCCTTTCGAAAGCGGTTTAATTAATTTCGATGTGAAAAATAATTAGAAAAAAAACAATTACACTATATGTAATAAACTATTTTTAAGACGATTTTCTTTTTATTATGATTAAAACTTTACCAAAATAACCATATTGAAATGTTTAATCAAATGGACGGTACTGTTCAATGTGAATGTGGGATTTTGGGTAAATTTAATACTATAATAGAAGTGAGGTAAATTCTGTTAGAATTATAAAGTGTTTGAAAATGTACCAAGAAGCTGTAAGTAATTAATAAGCATACCATTTAAAATCGGCTACACGTCTGTTGTGTACCTCCTGAAACGATCACAAAAAAGGTTACAGCTAAGACACAGTAATATCATGAGCTTAGCTTGATAGCGATTAGTATGGCTAATGATAAGCAGAAAATGATTTAATTTTAGTAACATTAGTAGCATAGACCGACTGAAGTAGTTTTCTCTTATTCGCGCTGTCGGCTGTTGAGTAAATGATTAAAAGTGCGTTTTGCATAATGATGAATGGTGCTTACCTATTTGGTGTTGGAAGTGCTTCATCATCAGAGTCCATGTCATACATATCTCGCATGTAGCTCTTGTTAGCGAAACCGGTATCTGTAAAAACAATAAACAAATTTTCATTCAATTCAATTAATTCAGATTCTTTACTATTTATGAAAGGTATTTTGTTAGTCTAGTTATGTACCATATGGTGTCAAATGATTCCTAATATTAGCTTATATACGACGTCGCGTTCCAGTTATCATATAGTCAGGTTACACAACATCTAAGATGAGCATTTTATGGCTAATCAATCAACGGTTGTGACTTCGATCCCCACCGGGTCTAACATTTTTCTGTTGGTAGTTGGGCTTCGTTTTGAAATCTGAATATTATATGGGTGGTCAAGTAAGGAACATGGGGATTCCGTCTGGGTCACGAACAGCGTCCACAGAGGAAAAAGCCAAGTCAAAAGTCAAGAATAATCGCGTTTCGGTTGCAGTCTGTGGATTTCCTAATATCCAAAAGCCAAATTATTTCACCTTCAATAAAGTAAGTCCCACGTTTGTCTGCCCTCCTCTTTCGTGAAAAATACCTACGTGTTGCTCTAGATAAATTTTGAACTACCAAGAAGTACGTAATTTTTTCAATAAAATAATCGTGTTAATATTGAACTAATATAGCCATACTAATAAGTCATTCATGCTATTAAGTACATTACCTTTAGGACTATAGACGTCATCAGCCCACTTGACATTGTCTTCTGTGTATAGAGGGGGCAGCGTTTGATGGGGGGTTGGATACAACTCCAATACTCGCTTCTCGTTCAAGCTGTCTGTATCGCTGTACGCTGGCATCCTGGAATTATGAATATGTAAATTAAAAGATGCTTGAGATCTTATTGTACTTTATAACTAGCTGCTGCCCACAACGTTGTCCTCGTCCCGTCGTTCTTGCGAGTAAATCTAAAAAGATGACATATACATATTTTTATAACATTTTTTATAACTACCACGAAATTTTTAACCAGCGTGGTATACACTCTCATAAGAGACCTTAAGGTACCTTCAAGAGGCCAATACTCGTGAATCTTACTTGGTATATTCTTCGAAACAGCTGAACCTCCACAGTGCAAAAGCAAGCATGGCCATCGAGATAATAACTCCAGCTGCTATCACCAACCAGACAGTCAGCGTGCTTTCATCATCTGGATAGTTGAATTCCTGGAAATCGATATATTAATAAGAGTAAAATTTGATTTAATGATTGCTGTTATGAGAAACATGCGTTAAAGTATTGTTTTCATTGAAGAATAATGTAAAATAACTTTAAAAATTAGAGACGCCTATAACTATGGAACCAAATTACTAAGTTTGACAGATATCCAAACACTTAAACAATAATTAGTATTGTAAAAATGTATGTTTAAATAGAAATGTAGAAGATTTACTTGAACGTACAGCGAAGTATTTGTTTATAGTTTATTAGCAATAAACTTTGTTTAAATTTTGCGCAAGACAATATAAATAACATTAATTTTTTCATCATATTGTTTATCTCGTACTAGGAATCTAAAGCTACAAATGATCTGACATATTCAATTCCCACCAACCACCAGCACATTTGTAAATCGACCTTCTAAAGAGTGAACACCATGCTTAATTGTCTTCTTCTTTCATAAGAATACTCAAACATACTTGTATACCCAGCCTTTCAAGTCGCACAGCAAAAGGATCAATTCCCGAGTAGCTGTTCCACATATCCCGCAAATCCTCCCGAGTGAATCTGGTTTCCAGATCCTCGTTATCGTAGACCAGAGGCACGGAGAAGGTGATTTCGGTGCACTGGTCTGATCCGGGCCAGTTGTGGAAGCATAGAGCTCTGGAGAGAATCTGCGTGACTTGTAACCTGGAAGTAGAACAAAATGTTAGATTTTGAAAAAGGAAAATCTTCCACTGAGTTGACAGCTGATCTTGTTTAAATGTATGTGGCTGGGGTTTTTTTTACCTTCCATTGAGTTTTCTTTATGATAGCGGAGGACAGATAAGTTATGTTTTCTGAACACTTCTATCATAAAAATATATTTAAAAAAAATAATGTCATTTGCATCAGAGCTTCGGTACGCTCTTCTCTAGTGTTCAGCATTCATCAGATTTGTCAACTAAATGAAAATGTGTTTTATGACATAAGTATTTAAATAGCAGGACTTAAAGAATTTCATATTTATTTTCCTGAGATACAATGTAAACAGTTACACAATATTTTACATCTTTGACGCTGTAAATTTTCACTCGCATTATACATTCTAGGTCAAGTGGGTCAAAATAGCATACAGTATCTAGATACGTGATTATGCATAATGCAGTAGAAGTGTTACATAATTTTATTATTATACAGTTTTCTACAGCATTTCCGTGCTGGGGACATTTTGTAAAGTGAAATCCTTTTTCCCTTTATGGGCATTGGCCATTGTAGTTTGTTTAATAATCCATTAATGGGTATACAGAGTTAGAGATCAGACGTCTTCTAGAAGTTTTAAACAATTACAAACCAATGTCTATAAAATAGCGATACACCTCGGAAAATGATAATCAATTTATATTCATGAGAAACTTGGATTTTTAGATTATGATATTAAAACTACTCAATTAAATAATTATGTAATATTTTGTAATATACGTCTTAATATACGAATGTAGCAACAATTACTTGTGATACAAAGTAAAAACCCTGATAGTTTTATAAATTTTAGCTCTTGTAACGAGAAAACACTCGTCTATTTTTATTTAGATTTTTTTAGACCTTCTATGTTACTCATGACAAAAAGCGAAGCAAACATAATAGGAACAATGTAGGTAACACAGCTTCGCTGACACAACCCGAGACTAACTTTGGACACATTCCAAATGCTGATTGGCCTTTGGGCGGCGGTACTGCAGGTATGCAGTTTTATTTTTAGTTCCTATACAGTTTTAAAGTATCCAAAACTGGAATCTCTATACTTCTACATGTTACATACTTGCGAGCTTTTTTAATAAAAATTGGATAAAATAGACATTTAATTTATATAATGCCATCATGTGCACAATATGAAAAATATTAAAGTATTTGAGTCTGTAACTTTGTATATAATTTAAACGTTCTGTTTGATGCAGATGGACAAGCAAAGATGCAATGTTTATTTATTTATTTTTTTTATTCATTATAAGTTTCACATTGATTATAGTAACACAAAAAAGCGTCACCAAAAACTCATTCCAGTTTTTTCGTAACGCCCTCGTCTCATTACACATTACACATATTATATAATTATATTTCGAACAGCTTTACACATTATGATAAGCAATAAACAAGCAAGTCGGGATTAATTGGAAAGTATTTGGAGGGAGTAGAATTTTTAGTTTGGATTTTATATTTTTAGTCCTAGTAAGTGAATCTTTTATACTATTTGGTAATAAATTTATTATTTTGGGTACGACATAGTCCATTGTTCTTTTACCATATAGGTTATTGTAATAAGGCACTTGCAAGTATGTCATATCCCTTTGTCTGGCCGAGTAATACATTTTCCCTACATAAAAATCGAATAAGGAGATTACTCTAGGTACAATTATACTAATAATGACCTGGAAGCTAAGCATACACGTAAGTGCAGTCAAGTGCTAAATTAGAAATAGTCCGAGCACAGCGTTTAATTACATCTATTTTTAAAACCGGGGTAAACGGCCTAATCGCTAAACATCTAACATTGATATGCCTAACGAATTCCTGACTAGATTCTACAGATTTCAAAACAAAACTAACGTCGACATTTTAAAATGTAATTTGTACAGTATACTACAATTACTGTAACATATGTCTTCGAAGGTCTTGTTAATGATAGCGATGTATTCCTAATAACCAACGGGTCGTGGGTTCAGTCCCCAACGGGTCCAACATTATTATCAATGTAAACGTTTCTGAAACATGATGAACTTCGTCTGTAAAAGTAAATTTATTATTTTTAATATTCGTTTTGATTTGTAAAGGTATATCCAAAGCCAAATTGCTTTTATATCATTATGCCAGGGAATATAAGAAATCATATTATATCTAAAATCATATAGTGAAAGAGATTCCCCCCCCCCCTTCCTATTTCAATTCAATTGTTCTTGGCGTAATTCAAAAAGTAATAATTAATGCGATTTAGAAGCAAAAATACAAAACTTATTAGTGCATAATATAGACAAACTTTGCTTTATCTATGCTAATATTATAAGGCTGAAGGGTTTGTTTGTTTGTGTGAACGCGCTAATATCAGAAAGTACTAGTTTGAATTAGAAAAATCTTTTTGCGTTGATAAAATGTGGAAAAAACGAGGAAAATATTCATTCATGACGGTTTCCGTTGTGTGCGCAAAAACAGTCCGCGATAGTATGGGTCTAGCTTCTAAGATAGATAGCAAAACGACAGTACGTCATTCGTAAATGCTATAATTTATAAAGATAAGGAGGAGGTTTATAAAGTAATATTCTATGCGGACGAAGTCGCTGGCACAGCTAGTTAAATGAGAATGTGTAGGTATACAGGTAATAAGAAGCAAATGTGCACTAGTCAGCAGACAATGTTGTCATCAATTCTTCTGTTTAATCCTAACCAAGCGATTTTCTTACATCTAACGCTAGTTCAATAATTCTGTAACGGAGTGTTTGGTTCCAAATAAAATAAGTAAGCAACTAATGTACGATTAGTAAAAAGTAAATGATATGTAATTTATTTAATTAGGTATTCATATAATAACAAAACAATTCCCACGATACATTTAAAATGAAGGTAAGAACTCATTTGCATAGAAATTGTAGTAATTAATAATAATATTTCTTTTGCTTTGGTTCTCAAAATTAAATACTGTCTATAGTTTACGCGAGTAGTACACATTAAATAAAACACTTTAACGGTTTAAAACGCGATATATTAGTTAAACTATTAAGACTGTCTCCCCGTGACCACGGCTGCTGCAAAGCATCCGAAACGTCGGGCCGAAGTTAAAAATCATTTTCAAATAAGTTTAACTAATATATCGCGTTTTAAACCGTTAAAGTGTTTTATTTCAATTCTCAAAATTATATATTACAATAAGCATGGGGTTTTTCTTGAAGGTGAAATACGTTCTCGACCTATATTGGCTTTGGTTATACGAACATCCATTGAATGAAACCAAAACGCCATCAATCTTCTCCGTTAATTCATCGGTTTCATATGTGTCCATTCGACCAGTGGTTTATATTCCTACCACCTTTTACTCGATGTCTTCTTTTTGTACTTTTTTTATCTGTCAATACTTTGAACATGTCCAAAATAGTCAAAATCTATTTTCCATGTGTGACATGGGGCGAGCCATCTCCGTGTCTGTTGTTTGTTTTTTATTTAATACTATTTTAATCACACTTTTGTTTTGTTTGACTATTAAGCTACGACTGCTGAGGCCGGATTTAAACGAAGTTAGTTAACAACTATAGTTAAAAAAAGCTTTTTATACCGTTTCGTTTAATCAGTAAAGGATTAGTGACTCTCAGTATTACGAGAATGCTCCATTTGGCGAATAACGAACAGTTTGGTTACGTAACCAAACGGAAATGCAGTTACACTAATTGGATTTTACCTCGAGTGCGTTATTCACGGGCCGACTGACACCCGAAAGCCTTGACTTAAAGGAAAAAGGATTACTAACGAAAATTCCAACGCGAACTAAGCACAAGTAGATGCTAATAAAAACGTAAATCTGTTGGGTATTGTCTGTAGTTTACGCAAATAGTACACATTTAAATACTTTTAACGGTTTAAAACGCGAAATATATTATTTAACCCAATTTTAATCTCTTGTCAAATCTGCTATGCTAGCGCCATCATATTTTTTGCTTTACACCTAAAAGTGTTTTATTTAATGTATGGCTGTTACCAGATTGCTCTAATATTTATTTTACAGCCTACGCTGTAGCATACCATATATTATTACAGATACGTAAGAATAATGGATAATATGGGCCATCTTATAAAATAATGCATATTACGGCTCATCATAACTTATTTATAAGATAAATGAAAGCGAAAGATATAGAAATTTAGTTGACCCACGCCCTACAGTTGAGGAATTAATGGAGAGTCAGTTTTTTTTAATTTAAAAATATATTAAATGTTATGTCCTAAACCAAATTCAAGCTTAAGAAGTCAGTTTCGACTATGAAACTGATTTCGAAGTTAAGCTTATCTAAGTGTGTAAAATAGGACATTTGTTCCTATTCATCGCGAAACAATGGACGATAACATTAAATTAAAAAAATACCAATAAAATATGATATGAAACTAAATATGAAGTCATAAATATATAATAAACTTACCGTATTCAAGACTTCATTCTGCTTCAACCGCTTTATCGTAAATTTATTCTGAGACGGAGTCGAGAAAGATATTATCCTAGTACAATTTATATACAACATCTACTAAGTTATTTATGTAAAGGTATACTATGTCCAGTCTTATTTTTATTTACAGCATTTTGTATTTGGATATGTTTTGTTTCACTCGCCCGGGTCGTTTGTACCAATATTTCCATCTTCTCAAGTGAAGACTTATATTGGCTAACCCTCATACAAGCTTCTCTTCTGCGAACTTAACTGGCTTCGATGAACTTTCTTCATTATTACAAGTATTAATTCTTATTGTAGACTCATTATTATTATCGCTTTTAATTGTAACTTTAGTTTCTACTGTCTGAGGTTTTGATATATTGTTGTTATCTACTTTTATTTTATCTTTATGATGTACTTTCTTTGTTTGATGTAGGTGGTTTTCCGTCTTGTTCATTTGCGGATAATGATGTAATATAGCCGTTGTATTGAAGGTTATTTTAGCATATTTTACATATTGCGTAGGTTTATCCTTACTAGTACTAGCTATATTTAAATCTATATCGTCTGAAGGAGTTCTTAATCTTATACTTTTAATAGGAGTTTCAACTTCTTCTATAATATCTCTAGTGTCATCTATTAAATCTAATGCAAGTTTTTTGCTTTTTCTTAAATTTTCCATGTATATGTTATAACGATTCATATCTAATGTATTATTTTGTTTCAATGGCAACGAGTTTGGCAATTTGATCGGAGGACGCTCCTCGGCCGCGTATCACAATTGTTTATGGGTGTTTTGGGATTTTGTATTGCTGGTGTCTTTTGCCGCAACGCCGTCACGCGCGGCGTTCGATAGCTATGTCTGAGACTGCACCATTGATATACTGGTGGTCTCAGTGACAATTGTAGGTGCCGCGAAATCCTCCCTCGTGTAATCGTATATCGGGAACTCACAACAAACGAAGCATTTGAGGAATTTTGGCACTTCCACGTAGAAGGACGGCGGTATCGGTATAAAGGGTGACGTCGACGACTTGTAATATAAATAATCTGGGTTATCTCGGTACTTTTCGTCCGCCGATCGTTCGAGCAGTGGTATTCCTGATAAGAATAAAATTATTGCCGTCGTGAATAATGGCGACAGTACGGCAATGAATTCCATACCCTCGATAACGTTAAGGGATATTATAAATATACCCCACCAGAGGACCACTTCGCCGAAGTAGTTAGGATGTCTGGACAATCCCCATAGGCCGTCATTACACCATTTGCCCTGATTGGCTGGTTCTTGTCTGAAGGCAAACTTTTGTAAATCCGCATACGTTTCTATTAATAAACCACAAACAAAAACACCAGCTCCCGCTGAGTCCAATGTTGTCATGGTTTTCGGTGCCTTAGGGTATGAATGGTGAGGAGAGTTGATGATGATAACAGGCAAACTGACTATGTACACCCACACAGCTTGAAATGTGTAAAAGACAGCGAACCTAAGCGTGTTACTCTTTCGATCTTCGAATTGTTTGTCTCGACCAATATGGTAAATTCTGTATAGGAGATACCCAGAAAGCCTCACGCCCCATAAGCATACAAACGCCGTGACCATCAGCTGTCGACTGTCGTAAGCCTTGAGCGTGTTGCCTCCTTGTCCAAGAAAAAATGTGAGTAAAGCTATGATGATAAAATTGGCACCACCAGTAAAATCTGTTACTTTATCACTTTGGGAGAGCGATGCGATGGTGAAAAATAGGATTTGCATCGCGACAGTAACCATGGCACTTACTGCGAAGTTATTCCTATCGATAAGGGGCTCCATTGTATATATTTGACACTAGGAAGTTTTGGCATCAGGGAATACTGTGATCGAAGTGGCGCATTGCTGCATTTTAACACTTATGTTAACGCTCTTTAGGTTCTACTATTGCTCGAATGGCGTTCATGTCCGTCGCTTTTATATCTTTGGTTTTATGTTTTGTTTTTTGTTTAATTGCGCGTTTGGTAGGTGAGTTAGGTTTTGTTAACGCGATGCGATATGCCGACCCGAATGGGAGCTGCCTACTAAAATAGACGTGACGTTGTTCGCGCATGCGTCCGTACTGCGCATGCGTGGATCATTCTGGCCTACTCACTGAAATTGAAATTTGATTGGCACTGGTTTGATGAATGATCCATTAAACGTTTTTTATTTTTTATTTTTTTTGTTGCATTTAAATATTTATCTGCCGTCTTGCTGTATATAATGTGTTTTCATGTCGTTCATTAGAGTTAGTTATCAGCTGATAAGCGAAACAAGATAATAATATTTATTGAGGAATAATGCTGAATATTTATTACTACTAATAATGCACTGACAGATAAATATTGTTAATGTCCATGTATGTATGTGAAGTTCCGAGTAACTACTTATAAGAGTAATTAATGTTTTGATAATTTCCACATATTAATGCACATGCAAACTTATAGGTAGACGTTTATTATGGTATGGTCTTATACATGGAACTTTCACAACACTCGGTTCCACAAATAAAAAGTTGAATTGAAAATGTATTTATTTATAAGCATTATTGCTGCATTAGAGCTGTGTTTTTTTAATTAGTAATGCAAGGTACAAAACTGCGTGAAGTTATTTTTGTTTTTTTTATTAAATATTACAATTTTACAAATATAACACCATTATAATATTAGTGCGTCTGATATTTAACAAAATATTTTATACAATGAGGCACGAGGAATGTTTTCTGTGGTTTTCTTTATATATCTACCTAATAGCTGCACATGACCTTTCTGAATTATAATAAAAATTTTAAAGGCCTTCAAACAAAGTAGGTTTTAAAGCTATAATAAAGAAAATAGATTCGCATCATCGTTCATGATCTACATAATTTCTCAGAGCAATCAAGGGGAACTTCGTATATATATATTTCGTTTAAAAAACTCGAATGGATGTCTATGTTTTTATAAATTGTTTCATTTAAAGTATTTTACTAAATAGGTTTTGAGTAAATTAATAAATTCTTAGGCTTTAAGTTTTATATAATCATGTTCCTACTTACGTAGTGTTAAGACCAGGTTCAATGTTCTTAGCGTTGATGTACAGCGTCGCCATATCAGCAATGATTCTTCTGAATTCTTCTTCTTTAGCTATAAAGCCATTGATAGACACTCCTCCTAAATTAACACTCAGGGTATGGTTTGATGTCCATGTTGGTATCTCGTCTTCTTTTTCCAGATCTACTATTTCTACTTTTGGCACTGGAAGATGCAAGTATTCCTATTATAATCTAGCATATAGAAAAATATATTCGATTATTTAATGCGTTAGGTTTTCCACAAAAGTAATAAAAAAAATGTTTCATAGACATACATTATTGAAAAAAGACACTTTAACTGTTTAAAACGCGATATATATTATTTTGCGTGTGAAGCGTTAAAGTGTCTTTTTTAAATGTGTACTTGCTACTTGCAAACACTACAGACAGTAGACACTAATTAGTTTGTGTTGTCTACGTTTAATTATAGACTAATAAAATATAGTACTCCGGAGCTTTGAAGTATTCAGTCAGGGTTAACAGAACGCAGTTAGTGTCTTTGGTCTGTGAAGTCTGCCAATGTCAACTGAATCACCGAGGAAGACCTAAGTTCTAAAACCCTCTCCCATATGAGATAGGAAATTTGCGCCCACCAGTAGGACATTAATAAGTTAAAGAGAATATTATTCCTATGTACTCACTTATATTTCTTAGAGTCATATTGAAACCTCTATACTGCATGCCCTGCTTTGTCTCTAAACGTATGAACATCCGGTCTACGTCACTAAACCGGAAACGACGCCCAGAATTCAAGTGGTAGGTTATAATAATTCCGTCGGAACCCTTCTGTTCAATTTGACCTGAAATTATTAAAAATAATATTTAGCAATAATATATTGAAAGTAGTAAGTACTCTTTCACACAAAGTAGACTTCTCTTTACTTCACACCAAATATTAGTAACAGTCAAGCTCAAGTCAGCTCTCTGTTTTCCTTACTTATTAAGGATGTTTGAGTAATGGCTGGTTGGTATTAAAAAAACTATGATGTTATGTTTTGGCTGGGTATTAAATTACCAAGAAGATTTACCTAAAAGTGTATCTACTAAAGTATCTAGGTGTATTTTCTAAATGTATTTTATGGCATTATAAAAACCTGGGCTTTGAACCGGTATCACAGCGTCTGTGCAATCACAATGTGCGAGTAGTAGTGGGTAGAAGGAAATCGATGATGACGTGTTAGACACGATAGCTCTATTGGTCAGAGCAGCAGCACGGAGTCTGTTCAAATCCCACCCGTTTCATTTCTATCAATTTATTTATATCTAAAAAACGCTTACCTGGTATTATTAATACATAGTCGCCTATGTAACCGTTGACAGCAAAATCTGTTACATTCATTTCAATTCCTTGCCCTTCACCCGTGATGATGTAATCTACGATAACGTTTGAGGGATAAAATCCTGGATAATTCGGAGACGTGAGAATCGAGGTGTTGTTGACAGATAGATGGAGACGAATAGTGCTATTAGTAGGGGAAAGTGCTTCGCGCTCCGCAGTATATTTTTCATAAAACTCTGCTTTCTCGTTCGAATCAATTTCATCCAGCTCCGGTAATGGCTTTGTCGTTTCAGTTTTTGAAATTTTGGTAAGTTTTGGTGTGGCGGATTCCTTTTCATCACTTACTGTGTTTGCAGTATCCGTCATGGATATGGTATCAATTGGAGTGGTATCAGAAACAATATCTATAGAGTCAGTGGACTCGGTTTTTGAATCTGCAGTTGTTGAAGTATCAGTCGGTGTAGAATCAGATGCAGATAAAGCGTCATTCAAGTAAAAAATGGGTTGGTTTTCTTTATTTTCAGCCGGCGAGTCGTCTCTGTACGATTCGCCATCGTAATCGTTCTCTTCTGACTCGTCATTAAATATTCTGTCCAAGTTGTCGTCACTGATTTCTTCATAATCTTGGTCGTCAGCCTTATCGTAGTTATCATCATAACCAAGATTTGTTTCCTCATTTAATTTATCATTAAAATCACTACTCAGCTTACTCCAAGTGGCATGTAAATTGTCCAAATCGGTCAGTAAGTCATTGAAAGCTTTTTCTTTTGAGTCATAATTTTCTTCTACTTTTGTAGTTGATTCAGTCGATTGAGTACTGAGGGTGTTTTCATCAAACTTGTCATCGGTCTCATTTAATAATTTGTTTGTTTCATCAACTACATTTTGTATATCTGCACCTTCATTTAAGGCTTGTATTTTCTCAAAGTCGTTACCATTATCTTCCCGTAAAATAGATTTTGTTTCTTCCAGAATATCGTTCTTAGAAGATTTTTCCTTAGTTTCGTCTAAGTAATTGTTTATAGCCTTCTCAAATTCAGCGTGGTCCATTGGACGTTGTTCAGTTGATTTGTCATCTTCGTTAATCGACTTGACCAAATCATCAACAGGAGCTAAATCAGGGTCACCGGATAATAACTTAAAATTTGTTTCTACGTCACCATCGTCTTTTATTGCATCTTGGTCCGATCGATTATCTTCGATCTGATAATCTTCGTCTTTAATTTCACTATACTGAAGATCATCATCTTTATTATTGCTGTTCTTGACGTTGTCTAAATCAAACAATCCATAGTCATTTCCTAATGGCTCTACCTTATGTTTAGTGGGAATTTCTTCATCATCAGATGCTTGGATCTCTTTACTATTATCATCATAGTATTCGTAGTCGAGTTCTCCCGAGCCCAATACTGTAACAAATCAATAAAGATCTTTAAAAACATTTTTCGGTAGTTTCTAGGTAATCATGCTCATATAATGGTTGAGTGTTATTTTCTTCCATAATACATATACATAAAAAAAACTCTATGTGTCACAAATATTTTACGCTATGCTTCAAGGTTAAATATTTTATGGTCGCGATGTTATTTAATTATCTAATGAATTAGTTTTGACGCAGTTTTTAAAAATAGATCAGAGTTACGATTATGGCTCATAACTTAATAATTTAAAGAACGACAAAGACTCATAGTTGGGTCATCATCTCTGCAATATAATCAGAAGTTGCACAATATTATTTACTAAAGAAGTCCTAAACAAACCGTAAAAAAAAAGGTGTGTAGTACCTAAATGTTATATATCTGTATTGCAATGTAATAGTTATTATAAGCTTACGTACTTAGTTGAATTTTACTATATTTCTTAACTAAAGTGTTCGAGTAAGTTAGAGCATAATTTAGTGACGTGATTAAAAATCAAAGAAAAAATACAGGCCTTTGTGTTATGTAAAGTCTGTAAATGATTGCAGCGAAGTGTAGGAAAGCTATCAGGTGCCAAAAAGTAACTGACATGAGCCGCACTGCGGGATATTACAATATAGGTTATCTACTTATACGCAAAGCCTAACGAAAAGCATGAATCTTAAATCTGACTAGGTTTTGTTTTTATTAATTTTAGTAGGAAACTTAAAAATAAAGAATAGGTAGGTAGTTATTGAGTAAATATACATATTCAAATAAAACGCTTTGACGGTCTAAAACGCGATATATATTAGCTAAACTTATTTGAAAATTTGAAATGGACGGACTCTAATTCGCTCTTGAGGGTGGGTCTAATTTTCAAATAAGTTTAACTAATATATATCGTGTTTTAGACCATCAAAGCGCTTTATTTAAATGTGTAGTACTCGCATAAACTACAAAGTATGTAAATATACTTATTTAGACTAATACGGTCATACATCGTGGCCCTGTCGGCATAATTAAAACTTTATTTGATTTTCATAAATAGCTATTACAGTATAAGCAACTTGACATATTTTTTCTGGAAACATTAATATTTCCAATACGTGCGTAAAACTGCCACTTTCTTAAGAAAAGATAAAAAGACTGTTTTTTGTTTTCGATAAGAATATTATAAGTTTACTAATATTTTCAATAATTATTATTTACAGTCGAATCTTATGAAATAACTGTCGTTTGAAATTTTAACTTATACACATCCAGCCAATACATTTATTAAATATATACATATACGTATTATCGCTTTCTTCAAAACACATTATTTTCGTAAATGTATTAAGAATTTTCTAGAATAAGTAGTGACGTAAACTTTACTCTTCTATTTGTTGTTTATTGAAATTTTAAGAATTCAATTCTACGTTCTATTTACTTCGATGAAAAGTTATAAGCCAAACAATATTCGCCAAAACACATTGACATCGGCTACGTAACCTCATTCTGCGTTTATTAGGCATGGGACGAAACTTAGTTCACATTCGGCTTAGCCGAAAAGAACTTCGGCTTTTTATAAAGTTCAATATTTTTGTTTATAATAATTCATAAATATAAAACTGTTTATTAGAATATAAATAATATTATTATAATGTGGTCAGTAAGAAAAAATATGTAGTGCACTGAAAGTACATGAAAAATGTAAATTAAAACTTGGTGATACAAGGAGTGACGGTGAGTTTGGTGCCAATTTTTCTCGTAAATTTTAGCTAGATTATTTAGTTTTGTGGCGTTCATAAGTGTACCTAGATACCTATATGAATAAATGATTTTGACTTTCAATTTGACTAAGGAACAGATTAGATTATTGTTGCTGTATCATGATTAAGATTATTTATTTACTATGCGAAAGTTGCGAAAAACTTAATGGTGATTACATTAATTTAAACCACTATTTAAATTTATGAAACTAATTATATCATTTATACTTTTGTCAATTTTTTTATTTAAAAATAAAAATTTCCAATCGGTTCAACCGAATTATGGAGCGTCAAATTCGGTTTCGGGTAAAACCACATTCAGTACGTCTCTACTGTTTATTATAATTTTCATTATATCTTTCGTTAAAAACATCGTCATCGAATAACTTTGTTTTATATGAGTCATCAATAAAAACATGTCGTTTCTACGAATGTATAGCAATAATAATAGTTATTTTAACATTATTTGGGTCGCGTTTGGTTCTGTCGAAGACGCATAAATATATTATGTTAATGTATGTTTACAATTTGAACACTGTCTGTTATTTTTGTTCCCATAAAGAGAGCAACATAATATATTGTCTGCTAAGCTGTTATCAAAAGACGTGTATGATATGGCATTGATAAGATTTTCTGATAAAATTCAAATTTTTAATATACACAATTACACATAATAATTAAATAAAATGTATTTAATGCGGTTACATCACAATTGTACACACAAGAAACAAATAAATTTCGTGAAATTATTCCATTCAATTAAAAACTAATTTCACTCGTATCTATTTTAAGTGTGGTATTTTTTATTTTGTGTCGTTGTACGTGGTAATTTTTTTAAGAAATTAAGATAATCAGATTAACTTTTTTTGTTAATTACATTTAGACAGATATACACAATACCTCACTATATCATACACAGACCTCACTTATTTCATTAGAAGGATCAATGGCAAAAGTTAGCTCATAATTAATTATATGACAACATAATCTATACACCCGACAACAAAACATAAACATTGAGGAAAAATATTTGCATCCACATGTGTATCACATATTTTCTACACATTTGCACACAAACAACATGTGTATATAAATACCTAATTCATGTCTGCGCTTGCACATAAGTACGGCGCAGAATATTATGGTCTGTGCCCAATATTTGTCATGTAGTGTCAGGGTTTTACATGTATACATTCGTCTGCGATTTACGACTTACCGGTATCGAGGGAGTATCCGATCACACACAAATAAATAAGTATTTTTAACATCATTCACGCGCACGATTATCCTCGAATGCGTCAGACAATATACTGAAGACCACAGTATATATTTCATGTAAAGCCATTACATTATGCTTACAGGATTTGCTTAATCCATAACCAATATAATTTTCTCTTTGACAAAAGTTGCAAGTTGCAATCTAGCCAATGCAGGCGCTTTGTTAAAACGATTTAAAATGATAACTTCAGAATACATAAAATAAGTGAAAAATACGTAAGCTTTAGCCTGTGATAAGCAATTTGATGACCATATAGGTAATTACATTGAAGTAACAAACAGACATACATTCGTTTTGAGTTTTAATATAATAATATGACGAATAATGACAGAAGCGGCTTTGTACCTACGTGTGTTTGTAGATAGTGCGCTACGTGATAACCTGTCGTTATCTAGGAATAGATAAGACATTTTTTTGATGTTTTGTAAAGGAAATTAATAAGAAATTGCTCGATTGAAAGAGACAGCTGTATTCGTCTGTAGTTAATTAAAAAGTGTATACAATGGAATTCTTAACGAATTGAGCAAAAGAATTTCCCATATTCCATATTATAAATAATAATTAAGGAATTTCGCAATAAATGTCTTTGTTAACTATGACATCAGCGCTACTGTAATCTATGTTGATACTATTAACTATTTATTACAATGAAAATGTATTGATATTGGAAATAAAGCAAATAATAATTTTTAATGACTTTTATAGTTTCATAGTCCAATAAAAAGCGGGCATTCCCCACTTTAATTTACAATTATAAATAATACAATAATATTCGTATCTTATGTATCTTGTGTATGTGTGTCTATATAGTTATAGACACACATACACATTTATATACATATTATCGAATTCAACATTTCACTTCGACTATTCAAGCAAAATACGCAACTTTAAATTATATTTTATAGCTAATTTAAAAATAAAACAAATAATATAATATGTTAAGTTTATAAGCTGTTGTAAGCCCGAACAAACAATATAATAAAAAGTATAGGTGGACGCTAAAAACATAATTAATGAAAACAGACATAGATGTCTCTGAAATACGATTTAATTGTAAAGACTTCTTACGAAACTAGAGGGCGCTTATACATTATTTTAGAACGTAATTTAAAGTACTGTTCAGTTTCTACAAAGTCTACGTTAATAAGCGCTAGATGTCACTTACCTAAATTTCAAAATTAAATTTTGTTTAAATAATTTTCATGAAAGAAATAATACTTTAACCAAACATCCACTTAGATTTTATATTTCAGCATTTTATTTGAGGAATTTTGTAGGTCTGAATAGATTTCAATAAAATATATTTTCTATTTTTTTTTTAATTTTTTCAAAACCTCTAATTTTGTAAAAACAATATATGAATGTACTCTTAAATGGCAAACCACTCGGTCCAGATACACATAAACAGACATACAGTATAATTAAAATATATAGTAATTGCGCGCTGTGTGTTGTAAGGTAAAGAAGAGCAAAATAATTTCGCGACATTGAATATTCGCAAGACCTTGCTCCTCAAGGATTTGTCCTTCTTGCGAGGCCGTAGCCTCCAAAGCGAGGCCAACCTTGGCTGAGGGCGAGCACACTCGGGAACCTTGGCACCAAGGTTGGATCATATTGGCGGACTTCATGAAGGTCAAAATCGCGTAATTCTTCGACTGATAATTACGTAGCTTCATCGTGACGTGTCACATACGTAGTGTTGCCTTGATTTCCATTTATCTTTACCGTATGACGCAAAGAGCGTAATATTACGGACATCATGTAAAAAAACATGTTTTTTATTAACTCTACAATAATATTTTTTTTCAAAAATTTTAATGATCTTTAAAATCGAAACAATCTGGATCTTGTTAATATGGGTTGAAATAAAACAACAGACGATAGTTTTTATAAAACAATTTCATTTATGGTCTATTTCTCTATTATGTGTCATTATTTTTATCGTCACAATCACATTTATAAAAACATTGAACCGGCCAAATACGTTAAATATGCATTAATTAATTTTATTATACATCTTTTATACAACGTCCTATGTGTAATTTACCTTATAACATGGTAACATTATAAATGAAACACTTTAACGGTATAAAACGCGATATATTAGTTTAAACTTAATTTGAAAATGATTTTTAACTTCGGCCCGTCGTTTCGGATGCTTTGCAACTAAGGATGGAGAATGTCTCTGACGTCATAGTTAAAAATCATTTTCAAATAAGTTTAACTAATATATCGCGTTTTAAACCGTTAAAGTGTTTCATTTGAATGTGTACTACTCGCGTAAACTATAGACAGTATTTATGGTAACATTATAAGTTGCTCTTATTAAATATTTGAACTAGAGTTTAATACTCGCATTATGAAATAATAAAAATAAAATAACTAAATAATTATTCTTCGTACGATAAATTAAGCTAAAGCTGTCTTATAACGAAAATGAGATTAAACGTACATTTTTGGATAATGAAGAAGCTTGTAAACTTATTAAATTTATTTATGAAGGCATAAATGTTTTCTTTCTAACTTTCTTTTAATATAATTCACTATACAAAATAAATACTTAAATAATAAGGCGTATAGATCGTCGGCCAGATCGTGGGGTAGTGACACTATATTTTTTTTTTAATTTTCGACCCTGTAACAAGTAATTAAAAAAAAAAACTTGTGACATTCATGATAAAAGACAATTCTCTAAGTAAAGTTATGATTAACAAATTCTTTTGTAAGACTGTATTTTATTTTGTGTTTGTTTCTTTAAAATATCGTCCCTTAGGAACATGAAGGCGTGGTCTTTAAAATTATCCACGAGGCATCATTGAATGTTTAAAAATAATCTCTTCGTCAAATACGTGTTACCCCAGCAGAGCACGATAATGGAAAATGCATCCAATCCAATGGTATTTGGGTATATTTTCCAATGAGTCATTTCTCGACCTTAAAAGACTTCTTTTCTAAAGTCAAAATCGAATTGGTCACACTTAACCCTTAAAACCCGAGCGAGTTGCGGTGGTCCGCAGTAGAATACCGTCACTTTGCCCTTACGCTGTTCCTGTATGCGCTGGAACATTTTATCCCAGTTCGGTCTACCCGCATTTGTGCGAGTTTTCAAACCCGTTATTAGATCTCGTTTTTCCTGGAATGCGAAATGTGGATCAAACAAAAAACTTTTAGCAACAATTTTAGTACAACATTAAAAAAAAAATACTTAATATTTCTTATTACGAACGGGTTTGATCGAATAACTCACCCCAAAATTACTATAACTACTTATTTTTTTAAATTGTATAGTAAGTATTTATTTTATACACAAGAATCGATATAAAGTTAAGAAAAAAAATAATTTTAAACCGTTATGACGGGTTTATTATCCGTTACTCGATTGACGTGATTTTTCTAGAGGTGACTTTTTTCATGCAAATTCGTATATTACCTTCTCAACTATTTCTTTCAATTAAACAACATGAAATATTAATTCTGGTAATTTAAAAAATTTTGTAATGAAAGTATTCAGAAAACTATTGCTAAATCGTCAAATGTGTTGTTTATTGAGTTGGGTCAAGTGCAAGAAGTTCGACTCCAGAGGAATAGTAGATTGTTTCGTTCAGATACGACACACTTGATCTACTGTAAAAAACTCTATCACTAAATCGGACATAGAAATGTGTTCGCTCCTAGTCTTACAAGGGCATCGTGAATTCACAATAGTATACCAAGTGGGTATTAAACGTTGGTTGGTCGTGGTCATGAATAATTAGCCATATACCATCAACGAGATCAAGAAGGATACCTTCTCATGTAGCAAATCCAGTGCCAGCTGAAGTCCCACTGCCTTCATGTCACTCTTCTGTAACGCACTCGTGATGTACATGTGCATCTCTAGAAACCGCTCAGCGTCACCAGATTCCGCCTGCTCGATCTCCAGCTGAGACAGAAGAGACACGAACCACTCGAACGAACGCTGTTCTCGGTTTATCCAGAAGAAATCGACCTGAAGATGGAAGAATTACAAGGTTATACTGGATTATTGCTTCTTAAATTGGATTTTTTTTTATTTGTACTATGAAAGAAATTCAAATGTGCAACAATAAAAAAAAAGCCTGGGGTACACTGGATGGAAGGTGAAATACCCCAGCCATAAACCATCTAAACAAGATGCGCTGTCGGCCTATTTTGGCTTTGGACATTCGGAAATCTGACTGAAATAAAAACCCGATTAAATTTCACGGTGTTTTTTCAATAGTCCTACCACACAATCAATATCCAGATTTGCAGATGAAATCCAAGATGTTTCAGAAAAATTATAAATTGATTAGATACATGTACGACCCGGTGGGAATTAACCCATTGATAATCAGCGATACATTACCAATCCGAATATTCATAGCCAAAAAAGGTCGACAGTACATCTTATTGACTCGTTATAAGACTTGGGTTTTCGCCTATCAACTGGGGTTTTGGCTTAAAAACATTCGCACCACAAATTTTTACGCTTTTTAACAGAGAACCAATTCTAGAGTAATAATCTTACTTTTCTTAGAGTCATGTCTGTACGAGGCAAACTTGACCACGTATGCTCGCAGTGAGGGCAGGTGACCCTCGAATGACGGTATTTGTACATGATAGCCTGAAGAATGGACGCGAAAGGAGTAACGCCGATACCAGCCGCTATGAGCACTGCGTGTTGAGCACGGAAGATATGGGAGGACGCAGCGCCGTAGGGACCGTCTAGGTAAATCTGAAAGATTTGGAATTTGTCAGTAGTTGTATTTTAGTGAACTGATTTGTTTAGATCAGGTGAAACGTGAAATTTAACTAATATATTCCAGAACTAATAGTTAATAACACAGCTGCTGCAAAGCATCCGAAGATGGCCGTAGTTAAAATAAATGAGTAAACAAGTTATATATTTCACTTTTTAAATCGTTGGAAGTGTTTTATTTAATTATAAATGATAGAACATGAATTAATGACTGTGACTATGACTTTAAGTTTTTAATCATTTATTTTTGTATTTTCTTAAGGGAAAAAATTATTGAAAATTGGCTTAGTCGTCCACAGAAGTGCATGAAGACTGTTATAGATACTGCTTGTAGCTTACGCGAGTAGTACACAATTAATAAGACACTTTAACGTATTAAAAACGCGATATATTTTAGTTTTTTTAAAATAATCGGCGACGTTTTGGACGCTTTACAGCAACCGTGGCCAGGGAGAGAAGATATAGACAAAGGAGCAGAAATTAAAGTTTAAGCACGTACTAATACCTCAAGCGGTTTTCCAGCTGGATAGTCGTCACTGCAGCTAGCATCAGAAGGGCTCTCGATATTGATAGCCGGTGCTTCTTTTTCAACGTCACGTTCTGGAGAACGACTTTTCGAGAAGCGACGACGAGCTGTTAACATGGAAATGCATTTATTATGATAGAGGAGATGGCAAGCATCGTGTCCACTTGATGGTAGGTGAAATTTCCCGGCCATATAGCATCAAATCCAGATGGTCTTCTTATTTTGGCTTTGCATTATTCGAAATGCCTGGCTGAAACCGAAACGCGATTAATCTTCACGTTTTTTTCTGTGGAGGCTAATTTCTGACCCGGACGGAATTGTGATATTACTACCACCAATTTACAGATTTGTAGACGAAGTCAGAAAAATGTTTCAGAAAAATTATAAATGGATTAGAAAAATGTTTGGATCCGGGGATCACATGAACGAGCTTAATATTTTTTCTATCTTTGATGACGAGGTATAATCAGAAATTACAATGTAACAGCTTATAAACAATCTAAAATGTCACTATAAAAGAATTCCTTAAATTTAAAGCGAATGTTATGAACAGTGACGTCATCTATACATACTTTTAGGTCAAAGAATTATTTTAAATATATGTGTAAATTTTTACACAACTATATACACAAACTAAAGTTTCGATCGGGTTGGACACAGAAGGTTCTTCTGATTTCAAATCTGGTCTGTTCTAGTCTGGTCTGAATTATGTCCACTTCCCACATAAGAGAATCGAGATTTCATTATGCATAGTAAAATAAACTGTATTACAACGAACCAAGGCTCAAAATGCTTTCGTTGGAACGGCGTCTCTCGCTTGGCGGTCTGCAAGCTATGATGGTAGGTTTGGTCCTCATGTACCGGAAGCTGTGGGCTAGAGCCGCATCTTTGGTGCCGCGAGTAAGAAGACGACCAGACCGCGGAGTCTCCACGAAACAATGCTCGGATTCAGATCTGTGGTAGTCCCTTGAGCTAGAAGAAAATAGGGAAATTGGTGAAAGTTAGTTTTTCATTGCAATTAAAATAAAGATGAAATTATAAAAGTGAACACTAAATGCGTCTCTTCTGTGAGGGAATAGGGAATACACAAAATTAAAAAGACTTGTTTAAGTATTGCGTGCTTATGCGATTAGTATTATTATAATACATTACATTAAAAAAATTCGGTTTGAAACGTAAAATAAATAAACTAACAACTTAACGTTCTTAACCGTTAAAAACGATTTATTCAGAATTTGGAATATAATATAGCATAGAAATACGCTATCAATTTCACACATTCCAATAGCTTTGTCAAGCCAATAATTGAACTGCTTTAATGCAACTATATGTTAAATATAACGTAAGATAAAAAAAATACAATACACACAGAAAAGGTTTCTGCTTCTTCTTCATGTTATTGAAAACATCCGGCATCGAATGTGACTTCTCCATTAGTTTCATCGGCGACAGAAACAATGGACGCATGGTCTGATGAGGTGATAAGGCTGAAAATAATAATTAATTAATTATCAATAATATTTATGTTATAAGTATTAAGTACTATAGTAAACGCAAACAAAACTAATTTTGCAAGAATCAATTAAGAGATGGCGCTAGCTTTACAAATTCAACCAAAGTCAGCATAAGACCATCATTACACCCACTTACTGTAAAGCTAATATGTCGAGTTTTAGAAAACGTAAATTAGATTTATTTCAAGTTTTGAACAGTTACAATAGCTTTATTTTATACATATACCGTATAGAAATTAATTATAGCAAACAAAATAATTTTCTTTTTATTTCAGTAAGTAAATAATATATATATATTTTATCTGAGTTACCTTTATAACTGTTTCCCTCATCAGGACAGAAGGCATTATTGTCAAAAGCCAACGGAGAAAAGTCGACTGAACGTTTCTTACTGGTCCCGGAATCTTTTCTCTTACTCGCCAAACTATTGCAGCTCTCGCCTGAAATCGTTCTGCCAACTTTTCTGAAATATTAAAGAAACAGTATTCTTTTATGACATGTCCCTCCCACTCTTTTAACCTTCTCCGCTTTTATATTACTCTTTCGGGATTATAGGGTTATTTAATCTAAGCAGACTTTCCTGTTAAACCCTTCCGTTATACTTAAAAAATCTTCTTATGTATTTATGGTTGCTAAAATTTAAAATCTATACTAATATTATAAAGCCAAGCCTCTGTCTGTCTGTCGGTTTTACCTCCGTAACTACTGACTAATTTAAATTCAATTTGTTACACAGATATTTTAGAGCCTGAGAAAGGACATACTTTTTGAAAAAAAATTGAAGGGGTTGTAATTGGATTGTATTTAGAAATTCGTCGTTTGGGAACAAATGGCGTGGGAGTAAGATGAGTATGAGCGGGTAATATTTAACTATCCCAAGAAATTGCACGGACGAGCAGGCACAGCTAGAATGTTCTTAAATGTACTATGTGCAAAACTTACTGGTGCTTTCCGTCAGAAGTTCCATGCAAACGTTCTTGTTCTAGCTCGAAATAAGAGTAGAGACGGTTTGTCCACTCACCCACGCCGCGGATGTGCAGCCAAATAAAATCTGTGTATAAAGAATAGTACAATTATATATGTAGATTCGAATATGAACGAATTAAGAACCCAGAAAAAAGAGAGGTCAATTGAGCATGACGCCCAACAATTAACGGGTTCGATCCCCACCAGGTCCAAAATTTTTGTAATCAATTCATAATATTTTCCTAAAATTTTGGACTTCGTCTGTAAATCAGAATATTAAATGGGAGGTAAGAATATCAAAATTCCGTCTATGTCATCGCGTCTTATACGATCCACAGACAAAATTGCCGTGAAGTTTGAACGCGATTCAATTTCAGTCTGTAGATTTCTAAATATCCAACGCCAAAAATAGGGCGTTAGCGAAACTTGCCAAGATGTTTTATAACTGGGTATTTTACCCTCCATCAAGTGACTCCCATGCCTATCCGTCCTCCTTCATAAAAAAAAACATTTTATAATCCGAAGTACTAGTGCTTATTCTGTAGATATGAAACTCTTTTTATGAACTAACCTTCTTGGTCAGGAGCGCTGCTGATAGTAAAAGGATGCCACTCATATCGCGCGATAGCTGGTATGTTGACGAATACGTAATCTCCAGCATGGAAATGGAAGAGGGCTGGCCGTTTCACCACTAAGTGCGTAACACGAGAGGGGAGAAGAATACCAGATGCTATGTAACTCTTGCCTCGTTCTGATCTATAAAGAATGAAGGAAAAGCCAAAATGAGTCTGAGATAGCGTCTCGTTTAGACATTATAGCTGTACTTGGACGTTGGATGTTAACACTTTCCAATTAAGTGAACTCCATGTTAGTTTGTCGTCCTCTATCATAAAAAAGAAGACATGCAATACTCTATTTTGTTTAAAAGATCTATAACACTGGTTTAGTAAGAGGTGTTTTTCGAGGTCTATAGTGGAAGTGATAGAGGAGACACATTAGGATACCCGTTTTACGGATCTAAGATATAAAAAAGCAAGTGTCCAGTTAACATAGGTACGCGATTGAAGAAAGTATTTCTGCCACGCCTTTTATCCTATCTCCACTAACATGGTGAATATTTTTTTTTAATTTCAAAAGCAAACTACCACCACGAGACTCATATATGTCAAAAAAGATGGATAGTATAAAGTAATTATTACGAAAATCAAATATGTGTATTCGATTTGTATCTCGGATTCTCGGAGATTATTGGGACAAAAGTTAATTGGTGAATTTTTTTGAAAAGCTTTTCTGTTATTCTTACCTCATCCATGTAAGTCTAAGAATCCTCTCCATAATGTAGATAGTACCAGGTCCAATGAACCATTTCCAGAAATTGGGCGCATGGAATAACAGTAGCACCCAAAAAGGTATGTACAATAGGTGAGTGAAGTAGAAGATCTAGAATATATTAAAAAACAATCGCCCTTACTACCTAATTATAGACATAAAGAATAGAATAATATATAAAGGGTGTTTGTTACAATTATAATTTTTCCAAATGTTTATAAAATAGAACAAGCAACGTGTGGGGTTATTATTAACGAGCGATTTTATCTCTTTAAATTAAGATGTTTTTATCTATAATGCCTTACTTTTTATTTTTTGTGTATTTTCTTTTTTTTATTATTAATTCTATTTGCTAATTGCTATTTTTTAAATAAAATCCCGTTTTTTCCGCGCGACATGTGTCCGTTTCACCAGTCTTAACGCACTGCTAGGCATCGTGTTAGCCACAGATGCGATCGGCAAAAATTATAATTAAGTAGTCACTTCTTTATATTAGACATATTGATCATCTTTACCTCGAAACATCCACCACGCCGCACAGCAGCTCTGCTGCAAGTCGCTAATACGAAGAGTGCGACACACAAAGCTAGACCGGTGGGATTCGCACATCCACCTATCAATCCAAACAGACCTGGCTTGGTGGATCCGATCCACTCCCACACTGTGTAATTGTTCGCGTTAATAACTGGGTCGTTTACCACTTTTAAACCTGAAAGACATAGATACATTAAAATTAATTCGTTACTACGCGAGTAGTACACATTTAAATAAAACACTTTAACGGTTTAAAACGTGTTATATTAGTTAAACTTATTTGAAAATGATTTTTAACTTCTGCCCGACGTTTCAAATGCTTTGCAGCAGCCATGGTCACGGGGAGACTAAGGATGTTAAAAATCATTTTCAAATAAGTTTAACTAATATATCGCGTTTTAAACCGTTTTATTTAAATTTAATTCGAGTTATAATAGACGAAAGGAAACCTACAAACACCATTTTACATTTTTTTTCATATTGTTTATTAGTGGTATATTAAGTTTTTATAAAGATTTTTATAACATTACAAGCTGATCGTTTTTTTGGCGTTTGCATGATTAATATTTTTATGTTTACCCTACTCTAACAAATAATTGGTAATAATTAATTTTGACCAACAAGGTCAATAATTTTAACGGTTTTTCACATTTTCATTCAAACAAACAAACTCTTCAGCTTTATACTGCGACTATAAATGATAAGCAAATTTTAAGGTCTAGATTGTAAACACTTCAAGTCTACGACTAATTTTTAATGTATCACCATAAATAATAAATCAGTATACTTACTAAAATTACACAAATGCATGATAGTATGGGCGATGCTGTATACAATAATGAGAACACCGGTTAGTTTGTGCAGGTAGATATGGTGGTCGAGAGGCAAAATCGCTCCGAACCCATTAGTCCTCAAGGCTGTGATGCAGCACCGGAGCATTAGAACCAGTACCCAGCTGCAGGTGAAGTTTAGACATTGGCCTGAAAGAGATAGTGATGTAATTTTGAGCTATTAATGTACAAGCTTGAAATAGCTTATCCAGCACGCTGCTGCTTGTGGGTTGGTGGGCTTTAGCGAATTTACGATAAGGTATGGTCCGGTGAGCTATTAGTTATTACTAGTGTCATGCATGAAAACTTTCATATTTTTTACATGTTATTGCACACGATCACACTATATAATTTAAAAATCGAACAAAAATTTAAAAAAAAGTTTCGACTCGGGCAGGACTTGAACGGGCATCGTCAGCGTTCCGTCAACAGCACGGAACCATTTTTTTTTTTCATTTTCGATTTTTAAATCAGTCATGAATTTTATAATGATTTTTTCAATGTAACTATATAAGTGGACGTGTTTTTATTATCCAAGCAGCGAAGAATATTCGTTTCCGATGTTAAATTATATAAATTAGTTACTAGTTGATATAAACAGTCTTTAATGTGTAGAATATTAAACTCACCACAAGCTCTAGCGAATATAACAAACACATTAGATTCCCAGTATTCTACGATTCGAGCCGCGAACAGCGCCAAGTTGACCAGAGAGAACACCACCAGGTAGATCACGAACACGTAGTTATTTCGGAAGTAAGGCAGAGACAGCTGGTAGGGTTTAAGTGAGGATATACGAGATAGAAGAGTTGGTCTGGGTTTTGGAGTTGTTGGTACCAGCCAGCGGTCTATACTGGAAAAAAAAAACAAAATTTGTTGTTCTTAGAGACGCAAAAAAACCAACACTGCATTATTTATTATGTTTACGCAAATAGTGTAAACATTTAAATAGAGTTTTAATGATATTAAATGCTGAATATATAGGTATAATGCGAGTCATTTTTGACTAGAGAGTGCTATAAAAAATAAGTTACTTAATATATTTCGCGTTTTAAACCGTTAAAAATTAGTTTTTAATAATGTACATATACAAATCTTTAAACGTGAAGATATTTTTTTAATCTACAACTAAATTCTTAGCTACCTGTTGCGCAACACGTAAATGGTCCGGCGTTCGAATCTATTAAAAATTAAAATACATTATTAAAAGTCTTACCTAATGGATAAATTCTCCAACAACCCATTATGCTTACTCAGCTGATCTCTCAACGCTTCATATGTGATAGCACCTCTGCCTTCTACATCTGCATCACTAAACATAGCTTCCGTAAGATCACAGAGCTGTTCCTCGCTGAAGTGCATTCCATTTTCGTGCATGCATGCACGCATTACGTCTTGAAGTTCACGATGTTGGATCAAGCCATCGCCTGTGCAAATGGAAAAGTACACACCAACGGTATAATCTGTTGTGTTATTCTTTAATAAGTTGAAATAATAGGTAGTATTATAAGGAACTAGCTGTGCCCGCACCTCCGACCCCGCGTATTCAGGGCATTATAATATTCGTTTTTCGCAAATTACTTCCTTTTTACCCAGGACTTCTTATTGGTCGAACCCTGATGTATAATAGCCTAAAGCCTTCCTTGATAAATGGTCAAACCAAAACAAAATAAATTTTCAATTCGAATCCGTAGTTCCTGACATAAGCACGTTAAAACAAACTGTTCAGCTTTATAACATTATTATTTTTTATGTGTAACTTAGAATTAACTGGTTACCATCAACATCGTAGACTTTAAAGAGGAATCGAATTTTATCCTCCGCGGTCTGTCTTCCAAAACGGTGTACCGCTGCAATGAACTCGTGCATCGAAATGGTCCCAGAGTTGTCTTCATCGAATATTTTGAACACACGTTCCGTGAAAAAAGGCTGAAATTTTTCAAGATAAAATAATAGAAAAAATAATCATTTGCCGCTTGACGACACTATTAACTTAGGATTAATAATTCAGGGATGCATGCCACTCTCTGTAGCACAGAAGTCTGACAAACCACTTGCTTGTAATTACAACCAATCAGGCAAACAGATACGAAAATGCGTTCGCCCCTTGCCCCACGGGAGGAAACGGGATTCCATTACTATATACGCATTGAAACGATACTCAACAATTTTTTTAATACCATGAAGCATCATAATTGGTGTATATCCAAAGATCAACTTACATTTTTAGAGACAAGTATCTTTTGAAAGTTTTCTCGAGTAATCTCACGCTGGTTTCCCACTGTGTCTCGAAAAAGCTGTTCTAAGCGATCCACGCTAGGTTTGTCTATCCCTGCACGAGGTCTAAAAACAGGAATTAACAATTATATACTTTTTGTAAATATTTTATAAGTGCGTTTTTATACATACGATAAACAGATAAATTAATTGCAAAAACGATTCGCTTACCGAGAAGTACTAACGGCAGATAGGAAGTCCATAATTTCATCAGCCGTGGTTGAACCGTCACCATCAGTATCGACAGCTCGAAGAAGCTTCTTCGTTACCTGTCAACAAATATATTTTTTTAATACGGACGAATCTAGCTTTAGCACTTAAATTTGGGGCACACACACATAGAAGATGTAAAAGATCATGTACGTAATACGTAAATAAAATAAAATAAGATTCTTAGCAATTTCATAATTTATAGGAAAGAATTCTTTAGTAATAGCATATATTTCTCTAAACCTATATATTTACATTACAGTAATAGTGAATAATAATCGTACATTTTGTTATAACGTAGTCAACATAATGCAATAAATTTTATGGTGGGTATTAAACAGAAAGTGAACTTTTTAAAACTTACCACTTTATTCTTGAGTATAAGTTGAAATGCATGTGGTGTTATAACTCCATCGCCGCATAACACATAAGCTACGCTCTCAACTTGTTCCACGAAGTCCAACTGTCTTTCTTCCCTAATTATAGAGAATAATATGGTTAACTCAAATTTATATCTAAATTAAGAACTTACAGAACTTGGTTACATACGTCAACCTCTCCTTGAGGAACTCAATCCAATCTTCTTGCACTAATTGATCGTTACCATCTATGTCAAATAGTCTGAATATTCTATCGAGAAAGTCCTGAAAAGAAATAAATGGAGCTAAGTAGTAAAGAGGTCAAGATTTCCCATTAAGTGTTTTACTATTTTTTCCTAACTACCCGCAAACGATAATTTAAACAAACGATTCTTAACAAAACTAAAGCTTATCGTTTTCGAAAAATAAAACGTTAACAAATTCACTTAAAAGCTTAACTTGCATAATTTACCAACAAAATCATTAACTAATTTACATAATAATAATCCGTGTATGCGACGTCTCGAAACGCGCGGCATGTTAATTACCCTCGCCGTCAGATTGATGACAGCTGACATATGTCATTGAGCCGTCAAAAAGTGAATTGACATATGTGCAGGCGGGATCAATGAATTGATATGATAAAATGATTTTGTTATAAATTAATATGACACTAATTTGTTCTATTCGCAAATAACGAGTTATAGATAACATTTGAATCGATCGTTTTAATTAGAAAAAATCATAATTTAAGAAGAACGTATGTATATCGTAACTAATCCATTGATGTCTTGTAATCAAGTACATACTAGCATCTTAAGTACAGGTATAAAATATATAAAGGTATATGTATATCAACTGAAGTATTTGTTAAGTGACATATATTTCATAACATTAGTATCGAAGAATCAATTTAATCTTGCAGCATGTGGTTCTGTCGTGACGTGTCAAGGTGTGAACTGTCACGATATAGCTATTAGATCACTGCCACAGATGTGACACTGTCGTTCGGTTTAGAAAAATAATACTCCATGTATTTACGTTATAATGTATGGTATACTATTACTAAAACAAATACCATGTAATACTAAGATTCCTGGCGTAAACCTAAAGAAGAGGCTCCTGCAAAGAATTGATCATATCCAAAAAGATATGTCTTAACTCTATCAGACATGCTTTAAGTTAGATAATAATATTTTCTATAAATCATTTATTAATGTTATTAGTGTTTAACCTGACGGTTTATGTGTCTATTTAACAAATATTTATCTTTTGAAATGGAGCAGTTGTTTCGTAGGTTAAGTAGGAATTAGGTGGTAAACCCTTGCCTTGATACCTACGATACTGCGCTAGTCTGTCTGGCTAATAATTTCGAAACAATTCATCTAAGATTTGATTCAGTTATCACTTCTTCACCTTGGACACATTTATGATAAAATCAAATAAAAATACGAGTAATTAATATTACTATTAAAACGATTGAAGAAACATATTAAATTTTTCTGGTGTGTTCAATTTTACCGATCGGTTTACCGGTACCGATTAATTTATTCAAAAAGAAACACAATCATTTAATGATTGAAATAATATTTACAAATACAAAGGATTCAACAGGTCCTTGTAAATGATCATACAAAAGATTGTTCAATATTATAGCTTAGCGTTATGTTTCACCACATTTCAAAGACAAGTTAAGCACTTGCCATTAAACTAATAGCACTCAAGTTATAATATAATCTTAGAAAATGACTAACGGTCTTGTTAAATAACGCCCATCGTCTGTTCGTTAACGCGTCTGACAACTTAATCTAGAAAATTTACTCCATAAGCCTAGGGCTTTTCTTACGGCATAGAATACTTGTAACGGATTATTATTAATTTTGTAGGTTGTACTTGTATTGTGACATTTTAGGGTGGAATTCTGAAGAAAGTGATATACAATTCTTTCGGCTTTTGTCACTACTATTTTACAATGCTAATTTAATTAACGATTTGAATCGAATCATATCGTATATAGGGATATACGAATTGACTCAACTTTTGACAATTTACACTAATTAACACAGACACGCGCTAAAACGTGATCGTACAGATAACTTTAAAACAGTATATGGCAATAAAAAAAAAATACCTATACCTTAGAGTAAGCATTAACGCAATTTTTTTAAACGTTGTTTTCAGGTTGATTTGCACTAGTTATTAAGCCATCGTAGTATCTAGCAGGAATCGAATAAATACGTACAAATATTTGACATAGGTATAAAATTACTTTAAGTCGAAAATTATCTCTATCACTTGAAGATCTTTACAAATTCTTCTTAATATACAAACATTATATACTCGAAAAATGCTGTATAAGAGTTGTTTTCGATTCGACGACATTTCGTATGTTTTATTCTGTTTCAATCGCTTTGAAATCAGTCGGTGCTTTCATATGTTTAATTACGTACCTATAAATTAATCCCACTGTTAGTCGACCTCAGATATGTAGATCAATGCTACACACTGACATGTAACACTGATTTATTACGCATTTACATGTTAACACTTAATAGCAATTACAGTGTTATTTTAAACAGGATATATATATATTTTTTTAATCTATGGCGTACAAAACACCACAGTTCTGTCTGCCAAAATTAATATGTTGACAGCTACAACTATGGTTATGCAATCTCAAGTACATACAGTTATATTATTATTATAACGATGGTTGAAGACAATTCTTAAGTTTATGTTAACCGTAGTAATACCTAGTACCTACCTCCATAGTTTCAGTGGCGTGCAACTCAAATGAACTAAACTTACAAATGAAATTGAACGATTAGACTATTTGTAATCAGTGTATGATTTTATTAAAACACTTTCAACTTTGTCTGGAAATCTAGACATTAAATGTGCGAGAGGAATAACAAAATTCCGTTTAGGTCATCAACCACGTCCACATTTTTAGGAAAAGCAGAATTTATTTTGCAAATTCAGAGGACTTACAAGTGAGTACTAATTACATAATATGTATTAGAAAAAAAAATCAATATTTAGGTATTGACATCTGATTAATAACGAATAAAAAATGTGCTCAAAGCAATCCACTAGGAAATCAAAAGACAAGATCAATATATACTACATAAAATATATCAATGTCATCTGAACATCAAATCGGAGTATTAAGTTAATGCCTATTTCGTGACGGCGAGATTAAATCGCGTCTGTCAAGACCCCAGAGTATACGAGCGACTGATGTGACGATTTTAAATCGCAAAGTCGTTCTTTAAAAATGTTGGCTTTCCATTTTCAAACACAAGATTGAAGGACCAATAAAGTGACTGGTTTTTATTGACTTTGACAGCCTAAAAATACGAATTCAAGTCATTTAAGTTCTAGCAAGAATATTGTAATATTATGAGTATTAAAAAAAATCAATTAATCTATGATTATTTCTTTAAGTTGTAGATGAGTTCAAAAAAATGTATGATTATTTCATCAGTTGATACATAATTGTAAATGTCGCCCGTTTGGTCCTTGTTTAAAGATTACGTGACCGGATTACTCTGTACGACATCATATTGTTTTATTTTTAATAACATCAACCACTCATTAATAAATGTAAAACAAATTACTGATAAAAGCCGTAAAGTATAATCACGATTTGGTTCAATTCTTTCGATTTCTCAGCAAATATATGTCAGCACATCTTGATTATATGCTTTATGTCTGGAATATATCACTTACAATTAAAGCAACTCATTTCCACTCCTTTGTCAAAAAAAAAATTTTTTGGGGATTTATGTAGAACGCACAAACTAATCTTGTCAAAGTTATGACGGGCTTGTTGGCGTAATGGTAGCAAATTATGACCAACAAGTCGTGTTATGGGTTAGATCCCCCCCGGGTCCACTATTTTTTTAAATCTATTTATAGTTTGTCTGAAAAATGTTACACTGGATATTAAAAAGATGGTAGGAATATCGAATTTCCGTCCGGGTCACAAGCAAAAAAGGCCGGTCTAATCGTGTTCCGGTTTTAGTCTGTGGATTGCCGACTATGGTAATCCAATAAAGATCGACAACGCATCTTGTTCATATGGCTGAGGTGTTTAACCTACCATACCTCCTCTATCATAAAATGTACCTATATATAGTCCACTCGACAATAATGTTTGAAATAAGCGAAAACTTGTACTAACCCCGTACCTTATTATATAATTCCTCTAAACCATTATCTCTAATCAACAGACACGAATTTGCACTTACGGTAAGTCACATACCTCTCTCAGAGATATTAGGATTTCTTCTAATATAAATTCAGTAGTTTTTTAAGCTGATAACAAACCTTTTATAGAGCTACAACTTGCTTGTCTCCCCACGATACCGCTTTAGGCCCTAATGAGGCTGTATACACTTATTTATGATGCTACTAACATTTTATAACGCTATATTTGGTGTCATATTTACTTTTTATAGTATTTATGTCAGAATTGGACCTTACTAATTAACTGACTGCTGTGGTTTCATCGTAATCGACTTTTCGTCTATTTGATTAAATCAAAATTGTCGCTTGTACCTACCAGAGAATTCCTAATTCAAACCATTTTAGATTAATAAGCGTACTTGGTAATGCGCTGGAGTTTACTTATATACCTACCTACGCGCTGGAAATTCTCTAATCAATCAATAACTGGTTAACAAAAGCAATTACAGTAGTAACCTAGAATCATTCATTGAACTGACACCTCATTTTCTATGATTGATTGATTCGACTATTTGAATGAAAGTAGTTGTGTATATAAGATGATGCTTTTTACCAATAGTAACGATTTGGAGTTCTATCCATATATATTGCCAATCCATATCTATTTAGGTAATAATTGGTTTTATTATGTAAATTATAATATCACATATTTACTAGAAATAGTTTACACGTGCGCAATAGATAATATTGCGTCTGTATTATTTTAACAAATATATGTAAAAACGTATGTAGAACTATACATTTATATACAAGCAGGTACACTAGTGATAAAAATCACGTAGAGGGGACGGAGATAAAATCAAAATATTATATATCAAAATATGTGACTTGACTTGTGTAAGTTGAGTTAATTAATACACCTGTACGAGTAAATGTACAAAGTGTCTTATATCTTTCTTTAAATACATATTAAAGCACAGCAAGCAAACAGTTAAATTAATGTCACGTATTACTTTAAAATTGACCTTCTATACAGAATAGTCTATAGAAGTGAATTGTCGCTCACTTTGTTCTACGACATATTTCAAACATTTACAAGAGAAGGGCACGCCTCAATAACATTTCAATTAAATTATGCAAGAGAAAGCATTCTGAGCCTTCCACACAATATGCAGTGGGTAGGAACATCTAGCAACAAGTTTTTCAACGAGTTCTTTAACACGACTACAAGATGCGTGGGTAACATTGCTCTATAATCTATAACACTCTTATTACAAAACGAAGTTTAACATACTGGACTAACTATGGTATTAACTTAGACCATTCATTTACACCATGGTTTAAGAACTAAAACAAAGCCTTCACAGTCCTGGTTTAAGTACTTTTC